AATGGATAAGAGAAAAGAATTGGAAAAGAAAAAGAAGAAACTAATGAAATAATTAAAATGTTAAGAAAAATGGAAGAAGAAAGAAAACAAGATATAAAAAACGAGAAGATATTGGGAAAGAAATTAAAAAGGAAATCAAAGGACATAGAACGAATGGAAAAGAATTTTGAAAAGATGGAAAGGAAACAAAATATAGAACAAAAGGTGACAATACAAAATACGAAAATCGAACAGACAGAAAAGGAAAACAAGAGTTGAGAAAAATGTAATAACCAATAGTAAACATATTAATTTAATAGAGAAACGTATGGAAAAAATCGTTCAAGACAATTATAAAATAGCAGAAGAAGAGAACTTAAAGACAAGAAAAGAAGTGGAACAAAATTTGAAAGCAATGAAAAAGGATATTCAATTGAATGAGAGAGAAATTAAAAATTTAGAAGAACATGTTAAAGAAGGTTTTAAACTGCAAGAGGAAATAATTACAGTATAGACAAATAATACAAAATGTAAAATAAAAGAAATAGAAAACAAATTAGTCCAAGATAAAGAGGAATTTAGAAAAGAAATGGAAAGTAACATAGGAAGAAATCAAATTGTAATGACGACTGGTGTAATTGATAACATAATGAAGTTTGGTGGTGATATTAATAAAATGCATCCGAAAATAATGTTACAGATGTTGAAAAATAAAGTTAAAGTATCAACCAAAGTCACTTTGACCAAGGTTTGTTAAAAATATTGAAAAATTAAATAAATAAATAAATAAATAAATAAAAAACGTGCTGCTTACACCTCAAGGTGGTATGGAAATGAGTTTGTTTTCGCCAAAACGCGTGCTTAACTACATTTATCGGCGCCCATACGCCAAAACGATTGATTTTTCGAAGAAGAAGAAAAGGTTATATATCATAAATTGAAAGGAATTTTCTTTAGTTTCATTTTGTATAATATAAATGTTTTTGTGAAATGAGTCTGAAAGAAAATATTGTCTAAAAACTGCTTTTAGGTACAATTTTTCCAATATGGTGGCAAAATTGAATTTCGGAAAGAACACATCGAAGTCTATAAAAGTATCCATTTTCAAAACGACTGTACAAAATACCTTCTCGTTTTTCTAAAAACGTTTTAGTCCACCAATCGCCATAATAGAAGCGTTTGAGTAATTTTAAGCTAAAAATAAGTACTATCTATATATTTTACATTTGTTAACATGTACAATACTTATAGTATTTAAGAAAAACCGCTAAATATTTATGGCAAATTTTAAATTAAACCATTGTTAATGGGCGAAAAATGTTTCAATATCGAAGGTCTAAAAAGAAAATTTAATTAAGATATTGGCATTTAAAGATTTGTTTGTACTTTTGTCCCCATTTATAATTACAAAGTAAATGCTTTTGATAGCTTGTCTGTGTTAATTTATAGCAAAAATTATAACAATTAAACTGATTGCTCTTTTTTAAATAACGTTACACCGAAATTAGAGCAATGCATTGTCAGATTTTTAATGTTATTCTTAGTTTAATGAAAAGCTTAAAAAACGCGAAAGTTATTTTTTTACTTACAATTATGAATGAGAAGACTTATTCGTTTCTAAAACTAGATTTAGTAAATTGTTGTATAAAAAGTAATGGAAAATATATTAATTTCTGAAAATTGTAAATATATCGAAGAACGCAAATCCGAAAGGTCGGAACGATGTGAAATATTAAAACCACCCTAATACCCCAAAGGAGAAAACAAATTCTTGAAGTCTTGAAAAAGCCTGTCGTTGCTATGATTCAAACCTACTTATTTGTTCTGTACACAAATGCCCCCTCTCTAGACCATCACGTCAAGCTTTTTAATCTAACTGTTAATAACAAAGTGAAAAATAACATTTTTTTTTACTTTTTCCAACGGGAATCTCGTCTGAGACCGTTCAAAAATTGCTTCAAAGAAGATAAAAATCTCAGATTTGTAATTTAACAATTATCATACTTGCAGTGTTCATGTTCAAGTAGGAAAAAATTGTTAATTAACGAATACATAATTAATAGAAAAATCGCGATAAAATTTTTTTGACAGTGGATTATTGTTCATTCATCTATCCAGTAGATACTTGAATTTTTTCAATTCGTAATTTTCATATTTAATAAGTTTAAAAAATAATATTTATTCATTAAACGTCCACAGTGGGACTTACGAAAACCAGAGTCTCCGTTTTGGGACGTATTTTCAACCCTTTGGGAAAATTAATAAATATTGGTCCTACAGTTTCGGAAAAAATGTCAAATAGTTTTTGAGATTTTTCAAAAAACCAAACCAATTTTTTTCCAGTTAATTGTCTATAAACTTTTGCATTTTTTTTTTACCTAATCAAGTATTTTTACGTAATTTGTATATTTACTGAATTTTATGTCTATTTATTTTGTTAAATTTTGATGAGAAAAAAAGTTTACTCACTTAACAAACCGTAAAGTTTTTAAATTGGTATTTTGTATAAAAAAAAAATTCAGATAGGATTTTTAAAGTAATCTGGCTATTGAGGTCTGAGGTATCAGTTCATTTCGGAAAATGGTCTCATGTCTAAAATAGTTTGAAAATCCTTGCTGTAGAGGTATTTGAAGATTTGAGAACGAGTCTGAAACGGCGCTTGGCCCGAATTAGCACATCAAACTGTGGTCTAGGAATCTCGACAGTAAATATCGTGATAGTCCAGAGAGGTAGGGCATTTGTGTACATAACGAAGAAGAGACTGGGTTCGAATCTCACGAAGACAGACTTTTTGTTATATCTCCAAGTATTTTCTTTGGGGTTCGGGGATGATCTTAATAATTCATAGGTGGATTTTTGAGACTTATTTTCAAATTATTTCTATTCATTTCTTTGTTAAAAACTTCGACTATTTTTAATACGGTACTGTCATATATAATTTGTGTATTTCTCGAATGATTTGCTTGATAAGAAACCGGTATAATTAAAGTTGATTAAGAATAAACAAAATATTAATTTTTGTTATTATTGTCTCTAGGTTGAAATTAAAATCATTTTACTATTAAACTATTTCAAACTATTAATAAAAGGTGTACGTAGGTATCCAGGTGTGGAAATAAACGCTTTAAATATCTAAATTTTATAATATTGGCCAAAAAAGTCAAGTTGTTTTAAATTCAAAATAGAAATGCTTGTAAAAAAACACAACTTCTGAAAGTAATGGCTTTATCAGACCATTTTGGATAGGAAATTACGATTCTTTAGAAGTACAATAGAAGCCAATTTAGAATTTGCAAACATACAGGATCCGAAGAATCCTATAGTTAAAAAAGGCTTATAGAAAAGCAATTAATAATACCATTGTCTAAATAATAATATATTGATAAAGCCACTGATAAATCTAGTCAAATTAAAAAAGAGGAGATAAATATTCTGGCCGATGTTTTTAACAACTTTTTCTGTAAATAATATAAAAACCATTATATATTTAATTAGGAATACTGATGATATCGGTGTTATTGACCTCTTAAAAAAAATGTATGTATCTCTCCATGCCGTTCATTTTATTTAAAACCAACAAAAAATTTATATGGAGTATACACGATGATTAAAAAATTGTAATTAGTAGAGATGTATTTCGCTTAGGCACTAAAATTTAGCAGACTTAATAAAATTACTTCTGACTCACTTATTTAATGTCTGAATCCAACAAAATGAGTTTCACGAAAACCAAAAATTAGAAAAGGTTATTTCTTCAGCTAAACAAATGTAATGAAGTGTATCAAATGATTTTCGTATCATTTCTGTTTTACCACAATAGGTATTCTCAAAAATATTAGATGATTTATATGAATAAAACAGTAATTGTTACATATTTTGATAAAAAAGTTTGTTTCGAGTATTTAAGGGGAAAGAATACAACTAAAGCAATAATAGCAGTTCTAAAGAAGGTTATAGAAGCTATAATCAAAGGTTTTCGATTGTGCAAGTCATACAATTATTTTGAGAGAGTTATAAATCAGTTAAGAAACTTTTTAAGTCCTATTTAGATAATAGAAGTTCTTCCATAACGCCATATTTTAAGTACTTTCAATTAATGCCGGTGTGTCTCAAGGATCGATTATTGGACCGATTTTATGTATTTTTTTTTACACTACAAACGTTGGCGATTGTTTAGTTCCTTAGAAGGGTAAAAGGGTTACATTTGATGATGCAAATTGGTGGTTTCAATCGAGTTCTTTTAAATTGAATATAATTTATAAACCAAATACTAAGAGGCTCAATATATTAAACTTTTCGAGTGTATATCGATCAGTACTTAAATTGGCACACATTATATTGACTATGTGGCAAAGAAACTCAATAAAGTCGCCATTCAAATTAAAAAAACGTGTTCAGTTAACAACAGTTGATACAGCATCAGTAAATTTGCAGTCTGTTATAATGTGGATGAGCTCTTTATAATGATTTGGTACTTTTATAATTTTAATTTATTTTGTTTTCTATTGTAACTAATTTAGTTTTACATGTATTTGGACAACTTGAAATGTATTTTCACTACATAGCTTGGACAATAAATTACTTTCTAACTTAATATTGTTATTTAGTCGTTTTTATAACACGAAATCAGTGAAAATGATTTAATTAAGACTTTTAATGTAAAAAAAAGTGTCAGCGGACCCAAAACTGTTATGTATATTGTGTTTCAAAGAGTTTAGAAAAGTTATGCAAAATTTCAATAGTAATATCCGCCGTTCGAGTATCGGCGTATATTACCATTTGCAGAAATTTATCAAAATAGAGTAGGTATTCGAGAGTTTGATACAAATATCGATATTTTAAAGAACGATTTTCTTATATTAAATTATTATGGCTGAATATTTTAAAGTAGGTATATAGGTAGGTAAAAATATGTATGGGTTCATTTCGTTTTCGGCAGATGCGCCCGCCCCTATAAAATTTCGTTTATATTTCAGATAGATCGGCCACCGGTTTAGATTTGAACGAACCGTTCTGCTTACCGGGGAAGAGGGATTCTGTACAGGTGGCATTTGATGTTGCTGCATGCCGTGCATACTGTTTTGTAAACTTTGCAAAGTATTATGCATATTCTCCATCGTTGAAGGAGGATACCACCATTGGGCTCCTTGTGCAGGTGCTGACAACGTAGGATTCCCACCTGTCATATTATAATCGTAGCCGCGAATACCCGCCGCACCAATCGGCGAAGTAGACGTCACGTTCGACTGGGTAGTAGCGGGATTTTGAAAACTGTTGGCCATTTTGTAATTGAAAGTCTGTTGTTGTTGGGCCGCATTAGCGTCGTTTTCCATTTGCTGCTGTTGTTGCTGGAAGAATTGTTGGTGTTGTTGCATAGTCTGTTGATCGGCCACAACGTTACCCGGCCACCACATTCCTTCCTCGCGGTTAGCGCCCCAGGCGCGATGGTCGGACATAATCGAAGAAAAAAACAAGGAGGGGCTTTACCTACTCAAAAGTTGCCCGCGCACTACCCTCCGAGAACAAAAACCATGAGGCCTGCACTATAAAAAAAACACACTTCACAAACTCAACCTATAATCAACATGGTCACGACAGAAGATGAAAACAACTGAAACATCGGCTTTTCAAAACGAGAGACGGTTTGCGAACGCGGCAACTGCTCGACACGATCTGGCAACACGGTGGAGGCGAGAGTCTGAGCGAGGGGACGCCAATACATGGACGCGATCGAGACGCCCTCACACGCAGCGGAGATTCCGAGAATTTCGGACTGGGTGTTTGGGTAGCGTCTCCTCACCCTTGGTCTAAATGCTGTGTAGCTCCACGGTCAATAAGAAGGCGAATCGAAAACCTCCCAGGCCCAGCTCTTGCGGGGCGATGGAAACAACGCAGGGACGGATTCAGAAAGCAACAATTTCAAATTTTTAAGATTCGTTTGAGATACCGGTATAAGAGATTTGTAACAAACACTGAAGTTTTTTGATATAGAACAATAATGATACACACGAGGCTAATTTTATTTACAGTTTATAATAAATTGACACCGGCATTTTGAATCAACTTTTTTAACACGAAGGGCAAATATGATGACTTGATGAATAATTTAAAATAGAGAAAAAATGATTATTTTATTGGATAGTATAACAGTATATTGCAAATGTATTTACTAGTTGAAGGGCCATAAAACATTTTCCATTAATTATAAAAGCTGAACAAAACGTAAAAACCTTGTAAAAAAGGTTAAGAAATGTTTTTCCTTTTTTATCATTATCTATACACATACATTTTTTTAAACTTATGTACAAGAGCCTAAACACTTTTATAAAGAATTCAAACTCTCTAAATGTTTTCAAAAATACACTAAAACGACTGCTCTTGGTCTCCCAATCTCTGGGTCTCTGATGTATATTACAAAAAATGGTTTTCTCATAAAAAATGTGTTTTTAAAGTAGTCTCTCATAATGTATTTAAGTGTAATTATTTAATTTTTTTAAATCTCTTTTTTCTTTGTTCTTAAACATAGGTATTTTTTTTCTTGATAAATATTGTGTTACTGGAATTTGCATATTATATAAAAAAGGTATTTATTATTTACAGTATATATAAAATGTATAGGGTTAGATGTAAAAATAGCCTCAGACTAAGTCTCGTCCTAGCAAATTTACATTCCTTTTTTTGGCATGTACAAATAATATTAATTAAAAAAAAAAATCAAAAACAAAAAATTTTTAGCAATCAAGCTCTATAAAAGAAAAAAAAATCTGATTAAAAATGGGGGGTATAAGGAGAGTTGAAATTAAAAAAAAATCTAGTAAAAATCAAGCTTTATAAGGAGATTAAGCTTATTAATTCAGAAATAAATATGGATAAAAATGGGGGGTGTTAAAGGGGGGTTGAAATATTTAAAAAGTTCCTATCTCAAAAACGAACAATAATATCAACTTGAATTTTGGGCAAAAATCAAGCTCTATTTAACTCTATTAGTGCCTATTGATTGAAAAAAAATCTGAATAGAATAGGGCCAATAAAAAAAATAGAAATTAAAAACCAAAAGCGATATAAACATGAAATTTTTGGTAAAAATTAAGCTCTATAAGGGAATTAATAAATAAATAAAAATGGGGAGATAAGGGGGGTTGAAATATTGAAAATATCTTAACTTAGAAACAAAAAAAAAAACGATATTAAATTGAAATATTCAGGAAAAATCAGGCTCTATAAAGGGTATGAGCCTATTGATAATGGGGGGTTAAGGGAATCTGTTAAACAGTGAAGAGTATTATAATATAGAATGCCAAGCATTATAAAATGTAAATATTTACACTGAGGACTAGATAAGCATGTTATACAGTATTTTTATGCCTTATTATACAAAAATGCTAATCATATAATTATGAAAATGTTTTTTAAACATTCTGCCCCTCGTTGAATTAGAAATTAAATGCTTTTAATAATTTTTCTGCGTCAATTTATAGTAAATATTATAACGATTACAGATTGCTTTTCCCTAATGCTAATCGGCCAACATTTAATGAAATTAATATTACTTTATCATAAAAAACTGAAACAACTAAATATTTGGGTCTAAAGTTAGATAAAAAATATTAAATACTCTTCAATCTTGTTGGGAATATATATATTTAAAAATTGTTATATATAAAACAATAATTGTATAAGTGGTTTATATAAAAATGCATTAAAACCACTTATTTTCAAAATAATTTATCAAAAAAATAAACTATTTTCAAAAGTCTTTTTATAACAATATTATCCTTAATGTCAGATCAATATATTTTGTTAAATTTCTCATAGCTGTCCTGTAGCACTAAAAATATTCAGCGCTTTACCTTGTAATATAAAAAATATAAAACCATTTTCTAAAAATGCTAAAAAGTTAATCAGTACTATTATAAAAAAATTGTCAAAATTGCTTTAATCAGCTCTAAGTTTTCACTCCTAGTAAAAAATCATTCTATAATAACTTCTATTTATAAGCCATAAGTAAATCTTAATTTTGGCACCTATTTAAAAAATAATATATGTAGTATACAAAAGCTTTAGCACATTATTTTTTTCTATGTCTATGAACCCAGACCTTGCCAATACAAATAACCTAAAATTCGACAATATGTTATCTGATATCATATCTGATTAAATAATTCGTAATAATATAGTAAAAAATACATTAATTTTGCAACGAAGGATAAAAGTCCATTTTTTATTTTAAAATTAAAATTTATATATTTCACAAATAAAAATTGCATTTAGATGAAAGATTCGACCGTGGATCCAATACACAAAATAAATAAAATATTCCACAAATTTTTAACATACTATCTAAAACTAAATGCTCAAATCTGATGATCATTGCTAATATCATTATTTTAAAAATCCCAGCACAAGGGGTAGTTTAAACAAAAATTAAGAATTTGCTTTTACTTGAAAATTGGTCACAAATCGCACTTACTTTCCTATAAATAGCTAGAATTATTGGGGAATACGAATCCAAAATTTTTATTATAAACACGATAAGTCATAAATAATGTAATCTTAACACTTTTTTAGCCATCCAATATTCCAAGACCTTTGACTTAAATAATTTTGATACTAACATTCGCTATTTTACCGTTAGACAAGTTCTATATCATTCTATGCTTGGTGTCCCCAGTTATTAACAAAAAATTAATTGCCCCAGATGCTATCTGGTCCTGAGTCCGTCCCTTATCGGCCAGGCAAAGTGGAGAGGTGAAGGAGGACGCATACAAATTGTTTCTCGCCCTCTCTCGCTCTTTTTTTAATTAAATTTTACTTCATTAATTATTCCAAGTTGACGATGTTGTATAATGGTGACTTTCTAGATTAGCCAAAATTAGGGGCATGTGTGTTATAGGTATATATTTAAAGAAAAATGTTAATTATATAAAGAAAATTAAAATGATAGGATCATAAACGTGATAAGGTTCCGAAAAAGTCAAAGTTACGTAAGGGTAATCGTTTGTAAAAAGAAAAAGAAGTTACTATTATTTTCAATCAAAAAACAGCTTTTAAATGAAAACCGATTAATAGTATTATTTTTTTGTACAGAAAATATATATAAGAGACCATTTTATAAATATTGAGGGCAGAAAAATATTTACTATAAAACAGCCCTTGTATTGGTATCTTAATACAGTTTGTGTATCTGCTAATATGGCAAAAGACCTTGCAGAGTATCCAAAATCAATAATTCTCAAAAAAGGGGTGGAATCTCTAATAATTTATAAATTTTATAACAAATAGGTATAATACAATTTTTGTATAGTTATTTGAATCTTGATACCTAGGTATACTTACTTTATGAATAATTGTAGAATTAAATTGGTCTAGGTAAAGTTAGACATCATTTACCCAAATCTTACACATAGAATTAAAAAGATGGTGCTTTAGTAGAGTTCTCTATACAACTTTCCATTAACAAAATATAAAATGTATTCAAATACCATTTCATGTTTTTCAACAATATAAATAAAATTATACCTAATAACGGCTATTCAAACGAAATAAGTATGAATAAATATATTAACTTGTAATCATATCCTTAGGTATCCTTAGGTATAGGTCAAACAATATTGTTGAACAAGTTTCATTTTTGAAAATATCGAAAACAAATTTATAAACATAGGTAACTTGAAAATAATAAATATGGGGAAGTTCAGTTTCTTTAAATTAAAATATTTGATTTGGACACTAACAAAAAAAGTACCTAAGGACAATATATTTATCGAAATTGTTCAACTTTTCATTTATATAAACTAAAATTGCATACATTAAAAAAAGCATTTTAAACAAATTTATTTTAATTATAATCGTGAAAAACTAGTATCAATATTTATAATACGTTAAGCAATTAATGCTTTCCCCCGCCAATATGAAAAGTTAACCCAGGTAAATAACCTATCTAATTTGCAAATATGCATCAATAAAATACCTACCTACCGAGTACTTATGATAAGAAATATCTTTTAGGTACCTACTTGAAACCTTTCTCAGTAATAAGAAATAAGCAAGTATTTATAGGGTGCCTAAGTACCTATGGCTTAGAATAAGACTGTTACAAGGAAAAACTGAAAGAATATGTAGTAGGTACACTGTAAACAATGAGTTGAAAAACCGTTATTCCTATCTGTTTATGGCGTTTACCGATTTAAAAAGGGAAGCCAGGTATATAAATCATCATAAGACCCTAAAAGTGATCAAAATAATATACATTTATTTATTTTTTTTTAATTTAAATACTTAATATACAGCTTACTTATTCGTGAAAACTATATTTTTCAAAAAAAAAATAAAACAATTTTATAAAAAATCAAAAATAAAACAAGGCGTGGGCCTTATCATTCACACAACAAAATGGTCGATTCTAATTGACCATAATTCCATCCAATTTTCCTCTCAAAACCCCTAACAGTAATTTTGAAAAAACTGCGGCGCCAATTCAACAAGAAAACACATAGTGGCGGCAAAAATCAAAACTTTTCAAGTTATTTTCGATAAAACGTAAATTTTTAACAAAGGCGTCATAATGAGCTACGTCATCAATAAAAGTAATCTTAATTATTTTAGAGCTACCCCATAAAACCTCAGTTATTCCAAAAAACCTTCAAATTTTACATAAAAACGTAATTTTATAACCATATACCCTATACAATGTACGTATATTATGCCGTAAGCTTAGTACAGCATAGGGAATACACGGTGCAAATGGAGTCTGATACGTTTGTATAGCTTTGCCATATGAACAAGCCAAACACTTCAAAATTTAATTTCAACATCTTCCCGTTAAAGCGAAACAATGAAATTTCATTAAAAAATCACAAATAAAATTAGGTATCATATAAAAAAATATCAACCCTTCAAAATACATAGAAACAGTAAAAATTAAATCAGTTCGGCGTTTCCATAAGAACCAATGCTTTGCTTATGGCAGCCATTTGCTATAGCAGTTACATGTACAGTAATAGGATTTCACGAGTATAGATTCACAATAAAATAAAGATTTTCGAAAGTCGCGACTATTATTACTTAATTATAAATTAAAATACCTATACAGATATAAAATATGAAAATATGACAAGATCTCCTTAAAATATAAAAAATAATTCTTACCTCTCAAGCTTCGAACTACTAATACACGGCTTCGTATTTCGTATTTGGAACCCCACGCCACTTGTGAGGTGGACAGAGAGCACTGTTTACAATGTGTTGTGATTGGTGGGCTTCGAATACAGCGCGTAAAAGCGTCCAATAGTAACAACAGAATGAGACTCGATTGGCGTTCGGTTAGGATTCTTTTCTATGACCAATTAAATTCTTACTTGTACAATAAAGGCGCCCGTTTTTGTTCAGGAGCGGTGTGAAATGGCGGGAAACTCATTAAACGTTATTAAACTTGATTTACAAATTAAAATAATGTTTCTGAAAATAATGTATGATGCATTTCATCTTATATTAAAACATAGAATTATTGGGCAAATTTTGTTACACGTACTTGCTGAATTTAAACGGGTTTTATTAACCAATATAAATTAATTTGATATACCTACCTATAAAACAAAACAAAAAATAAACGATGGAAATGCATCTTTTTATAAATAAAATTTTATTTTTGTGATTAAAAAAATAAAAAAAAAAATAGTAAAATTAATTATATACTTTTGCCAAAGAAACCATCTCTAGAGTAACTGGAATTATTCATTTGCCAATCAATAATTTTCAATATGTAACTGAATATTTTTTTTATTTAAACCATTTTAATTTTTTAAAAAGAGCCTTATGAAAGAAAAATAGTAAATTAATTTTTAGATTTGGAATAAACGAAGATACTTTTTTAAGTAATTCGCAGAAGCAATTAGTAGACAGCATTAATTACAATGTAGTATAGGGTGTTGCCTACTTTAAGTGAGGGATTGAAATTATCAAATAATTTAATTTATAAAATAAAGGTAATCAAAGTAAGTATTTTAAAATTATTTTAGTTCAAACAAATGGGGGTTTATTATTATTTTTAGCAATTTTTGTTGTTATAAATGCTAAATGTCAGTGTTTTGTGATGTCAACTGTCAACCACAAGAGCACGCTAGTGTAGCCGGCAACAGTCAAGTTGAAGTTGTTGGAACATTTTAAAATAAAAATTAAATCATATATGTTGTAAATAAGACGTGGAATTTGTGTAAGTCTTTAAATTTTGAAGTTTAAAATTTATTGAACATGGTTTTATCCAGCCCTTACTTGCATTTTACAATAACTTAAATCGAATATAAATAAAAACATTGAGAGACCATGCTGTTTGCCAAGGTGCTTTAAATAAATTTCGTATTTTAGCATCCAGAATCACCAAAAAGTATGGCTGGACCAGACGTGGCAGCTCTGGCTGCCGATTTAGCACGTGCCGTGGAACTTACCATGAGTACAGGAGCTTCTCAACAAGATAGAATGAGAGCCTATCAAGCTTGTGAGAGCTTTAAAGAAACCTCACCACTATGTGCTGAAGCAGGCCTGTATTTAGCTGCGGATACTCAGCACTCTGCCATATCCAGACATTTCGGATTACAACTTATGGAACACACTGTCAAATACAGATGGACTCAGATTTCTCAACAAGAAAAGATATTTATCAAGGTACTGTGATCCAGAAGAATTGAAAGTCAACAGAGAATATTTTATACTGAATTTTTAGGAAAATGCTATGAAATTACTATCTGCTGGTGGTGTAAGTGATGAATCACACATGAAAGATGCTTTGAGTCGAGTTATTGTTGAAATGGTTAAAAGGGAATGGCCACAACAGTGGCCTGGGTTATTAAGTGAGTTGTCAGATGCCTGTGCATATGGGGAAACTCAGACTGAATTGGTTTTACTAGTATTTTTACGTTTGGTTGAAGATGTGGCATTATTACAGGTAATTTTAAATCATATATACATACTTTTCCAGTTTTTGACTAACATTACTTCATTTTCAGACTCTAGAATCAAATCAACGTAGAAAAGACATTTACCATGCTCTAACTGCGAATATGGCAGTTATTTTTGACTTTTTTCTTAGACTGATTGAACTTCATGTTGGTCAATTCAGACTCAATAGTGAAACAAATATGTTAAAAGCAAATGCTCATGGTAGGGTTGTTCAAGTAGTTTTATTAACTCTCACCGGTTTCGTAGAATGGGTTTCTATGAACCATATAATGGCTCAAAATGGAAGACTCCTACAAATATTGTGTCTTTTACTTAATGATCAGGCTTTTCAATATTCTGCTGCTGAGTGTCTATCACAGGTAAGGGAGAAACAGGTTTGCTTTAAGGTTTTCATTCAATCTATTATTTTGGCAGATAGTGAATCGTAAGGGGAAAGTTGATGAAAGGAAACCAATACTCTTATTATTTAATAATGAACCAATGCAGTGTCTCCTAACTGCTGCTAAAAATCCTGGTACTCTTGGTGATGAACAACATTATTTATTCAAAAAGAAACTAATTCAGGTAAATATGTCAGTATTATTTCATATAAAGGATTAAAGCTTCTGCTAATAAAAAAAAAAACAAAAAAATACTTTATTGTCCAAATAGGTTAAACCACAATAAAAGAATATATGTATACATATAATTATTCCTAATTTAAAGAAAATAACATACTTAAATTAATAGCTTTGTGCTCAAGCACGTAGCTAGATTATTTTCTTGAGGGGGGTAACACTTCCCACATTATTGGTGAATGTGCAGCTTGTTATTTTAGAATATGATACCAATGAAACGTCTAGAGTTCATGTGTGTATTTCCAGAAAAAAGAGTTTTATAATGAAGTTTTAATTTTTTATATATTTATACAGGGTGTTTCAGAATAATTTTATGGATTTGTAGATCTTAATCAATTATAAAGAAAAGCTAAATGTAATTTTTCTATAAACGTCCCAGTCTTCATTCTACAGGGTGATAAAGTGAATTTCATAAATACATATTTTCTAAATATCTTCCCTTACAGAAAATACTTTAACTTAAAAATATGTATATGATAGGTAATCGTTATTATTAGTTAACACACTATTTCAATAAATTACCATAACCCAGTGGTGTAGAATGAAGGGCCAAAGAAACAATTTTATTCAAAACTTTTTGAACACCCTAAATTTCATAAAATTTAAGATTAATAAATATTTCTGACGACATTTGCCACAAAAAAGGGACTTCTGGTCGATCTTTGTAGACCTTTCCATTTTCAAGGTGACAGAACTGATTTATTTTATACAAAGTGTCTGGAAACATGTCTTAAATATGACTAATTTTAGTACTTACTACTATCTATTAAACAGTTTTTTTTTAAACTAAGTTAAAACATGTTATACCTGATATATACAGTATTTATAAATATTTGGGACAATCGATACTTACAAAATAACACTTTTCAAAATGTCATAGATAATATTATTATTCATTATTATCATTATTCATACTTTGTCCAAAGCATTCAATTTCCTATCACTAGAGATTAGGCTTATCACTAAATTTAAACGTTTTTCAAATGTAACAAAAAAATTTATTTTTCAAAATTATATTGGGTTCGCAAAAATTTTACGATAAAAAAATAAAAATAAATAAAAATTATGAAGTAAAAAAAAATGATATATTTTATGCTCGTACAAGTTTTTTTTTTAAATATTAACTATTATTAAACAAGTTCTTTAAATCCTTAGAGTTGCACAACACAAGTGTTCAATCACTTAGGTGCACACTCCTTTATTATTTTATTAAGTACCTTATGCATTAGGCATTTAGGCTATGTACCTTATTTTTATAAGTTTTTCTAAGTGTTTTTTAGTTGTAATTACTTGTTTTGAATTTCTAAAATCTGTATGTGTAGAAAATATTATTTGTAATTTCTAAATTAATTGTAAATTATATGATAAATAAATATGTTAAATAAAATATAAATATGATATAGAGACTTACGTGAACGAAATATTAATAAGGCATTAGTAATAAATCCTTTTTAATTCGCACTAGTTACTTTTAGAGTTCACTCTCTGCAATTTAAAAATATAAGCATTAAAAATTAGCAACATTTAAATTAACAAGCTAGTTACTAAATGCTCCCTTACTGCATATTCCAACTGACCAACAATTTTCTTAATATCAGTTCCTCACACTATCAGTTATAACATTTGAAGCTTAATCTACTAGTAAAAGCTGTTAATTGATACAACGTCCTTTTGAACGATTTATAATTTACAATAACATAATAAAACAACTGATCTTTTTGTCCAAAGACATAATATCTACTCTATTCTAGGTATATAAATTCACTAAAGAATACATGTAAATCAGGTTAGGAGTAATAAATTACATTATTATATGTATATTATACCTTTTTACTTTCCTATCTGTATACAGATATAAGGAAAGTATAGGAATCATGATTTTTTTCGACCTCGAGTTTTCGACGGATTTTTACGTTTTGAGGTCCACTGAATCCGTTTTGACTATTTTCGCGATGATGTCTGTGTGTCGCATAACTCATGAACCGATACACATAAAAACACCAAATTTTAAACTTAAGCTTTATTCCATCGTCCAATGAACTGATTAGTTTTTGGGCAGAGTCGGAACATCTGGGGGGGTACTTTATAGGTGGGCATTTTTATATTTTATGGAATATATCTGTTATTTACGTTTGGAGAAGAAAATTGTTCAAATAAAAGTTACTTCTAATATTATTATCTATAATTTTTATTCCATACAAAATTTTTCTAAAATGGTCCGTATTCGAGAAAATTTGACAAAATGAAAAAAAAATATTTTTTTATAATAATTGTTCAAATAAAAGTTGTTTGTAATATAATTCTCTATAATTTTTATTCTATACATAATTTCTCTAAAATGGACCGTATTCGAGATTTTTGAGAAAATGTGTAAATTTCGAATTTTGAAGAAAACTCAAAAACGGATAAAGAAAAAATATTAAATTTTAAACTTAAGTTTTATTTCGGCCTGACGCAAAATGATTAGATTTTGGACAAAGCCGGAACATCTGGGGGGTACTTTATGGGAGGCCGTTTTTATATTTTATGGAATATGTCTGTTATTTATGTTTGGAGAAGAAAATTGTTCAAATAAAAGTTACTTCTAATATTATTATCTATAATTTTTGCTTTATGTCAAAATTTCCTGAAATGGTCCGTATTCGATAAATTTGACAAAATGTGCAAAATTCTGATGTTTATGAAAATTGTTGAACTAAAAGTTGTTTGCGATATCGATCTCTATAATTTTTGTTTATATATGATTTTTCTAAAATGGACCGTAATGGAAAAATTGGAGGAAGAGTGCTAAATTTAAATTTTTTAGTATATTCGTTTTCAATGAATATCTCTATAAAAATGTTTCGAGGTAAATGTATGTGGAAAATGTATTATATATTTAGTTTATCCTCTAAATATTTATAGAGGTGCTGCAATGGATTGTACAAAATAACCGGAAAAAAATCTGTCAACCTTGACTATGAATAATTTTTCCTTTTAAAACAACAAGTTTTTTTAGGGGGCATGGTTTTAGATTAAATAAAACTCACAACACTAACCTATAAATGTCTTAAAATAGTCGAACATCAAACATATTTAACAAATAAACAATTCCAAAAACTCAACCTCAAATGTCAAGTGCTAACGTCACTAATAAATAAATGGCAATCGGCATAAAAATGTTCGTTCTACGCCAGTGGCGTGAACCTGTCGTTACTAAGCAACGTAGATAAACAAGACATAATTTGGTTTCTGCGACTGTCATTGTCGCAACTTCAGTTTGCTACTTTTTTCGTGAAACAGAGTCTAATATCGAAACAACACATCATATAATAATAATAATAATAATAATACTCTCCCTAATTCACCCCCTTACGAGTGAATTTCAACCCCTGAAGTCGACTGAACGACTTGTGTAGGGGAAGGGACGGCTATTATTATTATTTGCCGTGGCGCTCCGGGGCGACTTAAAGATGATTGATGGTGCCATTTGACTTACAGGTGAGGAAAACCTCACCCACCATCATCGAGACGGTAATGTATGGCGAATTTTTTTAATCTGCATGTCATATCAACAGAAATTGAATTTCTATTAATACGCCACACATCAAATCCTAAACCGAACAATTTAATTAAAAATCCACATGGTCCGGTCTGGGATTCGAAACCCAGCAGTCTCAGACTCATAAACTTGCCTATAAATGAATATAAGCGCGATAGACCGCTACACCACCGTCCCGTCCATATCAAAGATTTAATGGTAGGTACACTGTTATTATAACAAATCTTGTAACAACATTGTACATTTTTGATATTATTTTAAAGTTCATTCTGCAAAAAAATGGCATTTTGGGTTTTCACTGTAAGTTGATTCTTGGCTCAGTAAATATTTTTCTGATACGAGATAAATGGACTGTACTAACGTAATGAGATAATACTAAATCTTTCCTTATGTTTCAACTTACCTTAAGGTGTGTAGCGGGTACTGAAGATCTGGTCGGCCGACAGTATTGGCACTTTTATACCAAAAAATTCGTTAATTTGGTGATGGGAAAAAGGTTCCCAAATCGTCGACCGCACTCGAATAATAATGAGACGAAACTGGTGATTTTCGTCCGAAACATAAGGTAGGAATGAATCGATTAAAAAAATCGAAAAAGAGTAAAATATTAAAAAATAATTAATATGAGCCAATCCACAACACTGTAGAACTGGAGGATGTGAAAAACATGTAGATTTTGATTTTTATTGATTTCCAATTTAATCGCCTTCATAAGATTTGCTACAATAACAGCATACCTACCATTAAATCTTCAATATGTTATTTTAATATTACAGTTTAGAATATAGCAATGTTGGCACGTGATAAGAGAAATAAACATACCTAACAAGTTTTTGTACTTTAAATCGGGAAATGCAAGAAAATATTTTCATATTTGGTGACTCGCCTTTTGTCAGGGGTGGTTTATTGTTCCATATTTTTAAATATCATGGTTCATCAATGAAAACGAACTGATATAAAGCTGCTTCTTTTGTATTTCTATAATGTATTAAAAATGTAACTTTTTACAGCAATATAAGGAAGTTCCATAAGTCCACTTCTTGGTTTATCTGTTTCCTCAATTCTGTTAATAGTCCATAATCATAATAATGATGAAAATTTCATTTTTATTTTTTTTTCAAGTTCATCAAATAGCGAAGCGATGTGCATTCTGTGCAAGCAGATGAATTAGTATAACCATATATAACATTCGTGCACATGGAAGTCTCGGAAGTATTATTAAGGCCAGAATGAAAGTTTGCCTCCAATTTGGGTTAATTTTTACAACAGAATCTAATAACTTTGAAATTAAATATTTAGGCAACCGGTTGGTTCAGTTATGATTATGCGGTTCGCGGCATTAGTTTTGATTTATGAAGGATTGCTCTTTGAGTCTGATTCATGTATCCATTCTAATAGATCCAAGTTTTATCAAGATACATAAATGTTACATTTCCCCTTTGGTTTTGAGAAAAAATGTTTGCCAAAAAAAGAATTTTGATGGCGACAAGGTTTTTTTTTTAGAGTATTTATCGTCCATCCATTGTTTTATATTTATATCCCATAGATTTTATAATTTTGTGACCTTTTAAATTCTAAAAATCAGAATATTGTCGAGTGTAAAGTACTAATTTTTAGAATGTAAATAAGTAGTTTTCTTTATGTAATTTGTCGTTAATTTCATATTTTGACTGTATTTCAAAATGTATTAGTATTTGTTGTAATAAAATGTTGTTTGTCTTTTAAAATTTGTAGGTTTTATTAGGTTTAACCACCCAAGTGTGCACGCTATGGGGCAAAGACGGACTAGCTCGCCCTTCCAACTTCTCATTGTTTCTCGAAGCCATTTTGGCATATAGCAGCCATCCTAGCCTAAATTTGGCCCACGGAGCGAATCCCTTGTGGAATAGCATGTTAAAAAATGAACACGTTGCTAGAGATCCTTTATTTCTGTCATATATATCTCAGTGGGTGCAATGTACAGCTCCAAAAATTATCAAATTTAATTATCCGTTGGGTAAAAGTCCGACTAGAGGTGAGATTGGAGAAAACGCCATGTATGCAAAATTGGATTTCGACAGCGAGGAAGAATTTTCTGCCTACTTCTACAGATGTCGATCTGATATGCTTGATTCCTTTAGGTAAATTCAGTTATCTTTTAAATCCATATCAATAAATAAAACAAACTATATTTCAGGCAAGCGACTGTAGTAGCCCCTTTAGTAACTTTTAATTATGTAGAACAATGGTTGATCAAATGTTTACAAGTTCCGAACATAACTGTAGGTTTATCTCTATCTGACCCGATCTACCAAGAATGGGAAGCATTATCAAATTTTTTGGAAAGTATTCTGAGCAGGGTGCTTCAGGCCACCGAGAGGCCTTCCATTGCTTCTGGTTTAAGGTAAAGACAAAAACGTTTAGAAAAGTTGAGAAAATAATTAGGAATGTTGTTTTATAGATTGCTGCAAATGTGTTTGTCTTATCAGCCTGTAGATCCTTTGATTTTGTCAACATTATTGACTTGCATCTCTGCATTATTTGTTTTTTTGAGTATGTCAACTGGACAAATGGCACCAACTGGTAAGTTCTCAGTGAAATTTTGAATTTTGAGATGTGTTAATTTTGAAACAAGGACGTGAAATGTATAAAAACGTAATATTTTTCAGCAAATTCTGTAGCAGCTTCCGGGGCCGCCCTCCTTCCTCAAGTATTAGAAAAAATCTTCTCGACCCTAGTCTACACTCCCGAAGGTGTGTCGATCAACAACAGATCTAGAGCTGTCAAAAATGTCAGACGGCACGCGGCATCGCTAATGGTTAAAATAGGCAATAAATATCCTCTACTGCTCCTGCCTGTCTTCGATCAAATTAGGGCCACAGTAGACAATTTATCGAGACCCGATGGGCCTGCCCAATTGAGCAATTTAGAAAAGGTAAACAAAATAAAAAAAATATATATGTATATTATTGTCACCCTGTATATAAATGTTATTTAATTTAAACACATATTCGTTTTAAGCCATGATCATGTATCAATGTATGTCTGAATGTGGTTTGTAATGAAGTCAATTTTTCTCAGACAATTTATTTTCAATTTTCATTATTAATCAATTTATTTTCATTATTAATAAATATTAATCGCGGTTGAACTGCTAATTTTCAGATGCGCGAACGCCACTCAAATTCTCGATGCGCGATAGATTTGAACGTAAGTGGGATTTTCGACTGGGAGAGGGACATTTGTTTGAACGATAGCGGAGATGCTATTAAAATTATTAGTTCGATATAAATTTTGATTGCCAGCAGTTCAGTCTAATAAGCCGCAGTAGAAATCTAAACACCGCCGATATTTTTTTTTCGTTTTCAATATTTACGAATCCGTTAGGTAAAAAAAACCCTGTTCCGCTTTTTACATTTGAAAGTTGAGACCGTATTTCATTTAAAATAGCAAATTAGTGTGTAGGAATAGGAATATTTGTATAGATAGTGTTTAATTAAAAGAATTAATTTGATTTGAATAGTAAATAATAGGATTTGTTTCTTGGCAAATAATACCGTGTCTTTATTTTTATTTTATAGATTGGGTTTAGTTAAAATAATTAATTTGATTTAAATAATAATTAATAGGATTTGTTTCTTGGCAAATAATACCGTGTCTTTATTTTTATTTTTATAGATTGGGTTTAGTTAAGATAATTAATTTGATTTAAATAATAATTAATAGGATTTGTTTCTTGGCAAATAATACCGCGTCTTTATTTTTATTTTATAAATAGGGTTTGGTTCAAATAATTAATTTGATTTAATAAATAATAGAATTTGTTTCTTAGTAAATGATACCGTTTCTTTTGTTTTTATAAATAGGGACTAGTTAAAAACATTTGAATTTATTTCTTGACAAATATTTCGTTTCTTTAAAAAGGGATATAATTTGAATTAAATATTAATTGATGGGATTTAATTCTGTAATATAGTAAAACCAGAGGTTTTAGACTTTTGATTGTTAGTCGGTATTAGGAAATTATTCATTTTCTTTTGATAGGTTAAATCGGGATTTAAATTTGACTTTATTCATAAATACTTTTGTTTAGTAGGTACCGCGTGGTAATTAAGTTGAGAATATTTATAAACGGAGTTTTCGAGGAGACGTTTTCCCTCTTTTAATAATTTGTTCATTTCTTTTACCGTATATTTGAATAATCTTAAATAGCATCCTGTCCTGGTCTGAACGGGCTCGTGATGACGATCAGTTCACCCTTGGAGTAGGTGCTATCCGCGTTATATTTTTTTTTGAGTTAATCTGTAAACCGCAATTTTTAAATAATTTTAAATAGTATCCTGTCCTGTTTGAACGGGCTCGTGATGACGATCAGTTCACTCTTGGAGTAGGTACTATCCGCGTTAGTAAATTATCTTCCTTCCGATAATAATTTGTTTTTCTATTTTTCCGTCAATTTAAATAATTTCAAATAGTATCCTGTCCTGTTTGAACGGGCTCGTGATGACGATCAGTTCACTCTTGGAGTAGGTACTATCCGCGTTAGTAAATTTTCTTCCCTCCGAATAATAATTTACTTTTCTTTTTTTTTACAATTTAAATAATTTTAAATAGTGTCCTGTCCTTGTCTGAACGGGCTCGTGATGACGATCAGTTCATTCTTGGACTAGGGGCTATCCGCGTTAGATTTATTTTCCCCCTTTATGTTCTTAATTTTTTTTTTCGTGCAAACTGCAACTTGCAGAATTTAAAAATAGCTTCATTACCCTGTCTGGAGCGGGCTCGTGATGACGATCAGCTCATTCTGGGATAATAGGCTACCCCGGGTATAAATTTATTTTTATTTTCTTTCCGTGTATTTACTATAAGTAATTATTTCGCGTCCCTGTCTCCTCGCACTCTCTTCGACCGTTTATTTAATTTTTCCTCACGTAAAGTGCAAAATAACTACATTTGAGTTTAATTCCCGATACCGCGGTTAAACAGTTATCTAACGAGTAAAAAGCCAAGTTAATATTTTTTTTTGCGACCGAAACATATATTTTATTTTGATTTAATTTTTGACGTCTGATTGAGACTAGTCGCGAATTAATACCGTCCGTTTTTTTTTTATATATATATTCAGGGTTATATTGACTTTCATCACAACTGGGGTGGGCGTTGAAATATTAAACCTTTTCTTTTTATTGTAAATAGTTAACTTCAATATATGTGTCAATGTTAATCTGCCGTATTACTGGTTAATAATTCCCTAGTTTATTTCCCCCTTATATTTTCAGCTAGTGATAAATTCTGTACGAGCCCAAGCAACGATTAAAGCCCGTTACTTGTGGCCTACTATTACCTGTGTCTAAGTGACCTTTGACCCCTGGAATTTTTCATCTCCATCTGTAGCTACCCGAGTACTTTCGACGCCGTTTCGAGAGCTTGTGGAGTAAACCATTATCAAAAATCTGGCGCTCGAGAACCGCCCGTAACCAGCGTCATTAGTAAGGAACCGTTTTCTCTGTGGCGAGAAAACCCCTTACAGGTTATATCAATGGTATTCATTTGCCGTTTTGAATAAAAACATTTAAATTGCCTGATGATGGCTTGTTAGCTGAAACTAGTTGCAGTTTTACGTTTTGAAGTGAAATACTTCTTATGGTTTGCTCTGACATGAAAAATGTGAGGAGTGAATTAATAGAAATGACATATTTCTATGTCCTAACACCTATACAGTCTAGAAATCTCATACCAGCTGTGTAAGATCATCGTTTGTGGATAGAATAATAAATAAATAAAAATTACCAACAATATATAACAATAAATAACTATAAATAACAATAAATAACAATAAATAACAATAAATAACAATAAATAACAATAAATAACAATAAATAACAATAAATAACAATAAATAACAATAAATAACAATAAATAACAATAAATAACAATAAATAACAATAAATAACAATAAATAACAATAAATAACAATAAATAACAATAAATAACAATAAATAACAATAAATAACAATAAATAACAATAAATAATAATAAATAACAATAAATAACAATAAATAACAATAATAAATAACAATAAATAATAAATAACAATAAATAACTAACAATAAATAAATCATGATACGTTTTTGGCGTACCGTATTTGAAAACTTAACACTTAGACTTAAATCTCGAAAAAATAAATTTTTCCGACTTAGAACTGGGAAAAATGGATTATTCCGACTTAGAACTTGGAAAAATGGTTTATTTCGACTTTAAACTTTGAAAAATCGATTTATCTGACTTAGAACTCGGAAAAATCGATTTTTTTTTTACTTAGAACTCAGATAAATCGATTATTCTCATTTAGAATTCTGATAAATCGATTATTTCGACTTTGAACTCTGATAAATCGATTATTCCAACTTAGAACTCGGAAATATCTATTTTTCTGACTTAAGATTTTGAAAATTATCTACCTTGGGCATTGAAGACACAGTTAAAAGTTTCTCCGTCCTGGATGCATTTTGAAAAACACTTTGAGAACAGTATTTGTATTTTCGTTTTTAGGAAAAACATTTGTAAAATACTTATTATTTCATGTTTTTATTTTAATAAGATATGAAATAAAATTTCGAAAACACCGTTAAAAAACATATAAAAGTTAGTTGTCATTTATCGTTTCTTCTTTTTTAAACTATATTTTGCCTTTATAATAAATTCAGCCGAATTATTTAATTTAATTTCTTGCAGACGCAATACACTTTTCAAAAGTGTGTTTGGACAAGTCAACTTTTCAAACTAGTCTTTGGACTTGTGTGACAGGCCTTTCTGTTTCACCTAATGGGAAATGGAAAGGCATAGTTGGCTGTTCTCTAGCACAAGAGTTTCCCCGGCGTCAGTTTTGATAACTATGACCCTGGAGTGTACCTGAAGCACACTCAAAGTAAACTCAGTGGAGTTAAAATGATTTCAGGTGGTCATCGCTAATGAGGTAGTCACTAACAATACAGTAAATAAAACTACACTACCTCAAACCTTGTACTCTACGGTACCCTGAAATAAAACTGTTCAGATCGGTTAATAAAAGAAAGAGGAATTATTAACAAAATTATATTTTAAAATAAAATAATTCAGAAATACAATAAACGGTGCTGCTGGTACTCCCTGTATAATTAGGGAATTAATTTTCTATTGCCTCACAATAGTTAAAAAAAATAGATCAGAAATAAATAAACGGTACTACCGGTACTCCCTGTGTATTAGGAAAATTAATTTTCAATTAACTAGTTGTTAAACAATAAAAAAATATAGATCAGAAATAAATTAAACGGTAGGTACAGCCGGTACTCTCTGTATAATGGGAAAATGAATTTACAATTAACTAATTTTTTAACTCACAATTGTTAGACAATAAAAAAATAGATCAGAAATACAATAAACGGTACTACCGATACTCCCTGTATAATAGAAAACGAATTTTCAACTAATTAATTGTTTAATCAGAAAAGTTAATAAAAATAAATAAACCAAAAGAAATAAATTAAACGCTAATAACGGCACTCCCTGTATAATAGAAAATGAATTTTCAACTAATTGTTTAATCACAAAAGTTAAATAATGGAAATAAAATAGTGCAAAAGAAACAAATTAAACGGCAATAACGGCATTCCCTTTATAGTAAAAAACGATTTTTAAACTAATTATTTATTTATTCACACTAGTTAAACAATAAAAATAAATAAACTCACCTAGTACGATCAGGGAACGGAACGCCGAATCTCGGTTATTAATTGTTTACAATGGGGCTGATAAAAATGCCCTCCTGATAACATCGAAATTTACAAGATAATTTACAAGAACTTGAGAGTTTAAAACAGGATTCGAATTTCAGTAAAGGATAATATATAGAGATATATTTATAGAGAAACAACAATTGCGGGGATTCTCGCAAATATTTCCAACCAGAAATTTCACTTGTAATCACGTTTTATTAAAAAATTGTATTAATTTTTTTGCAGGTGACGTTACAAGAGGCCCTTTTGCTAATTTCCAATCATTTTGGAGATTATGACAGGCAAAGTACTTTCGTTGGAGAAGTTTTAAGACAGGCAAACGCGCAGTTTCTGGACATAGTAAATTCAGGTGAATAATCATTTATTTTTCGAAAAGTTTTTCCTAAGAATTAAAATTTCTAGGTGCATTCAGGAACGCATCGAATTTCATAACATTCGTTGGACTCGATAAACCTCCCGTTCCAACTAATATTGAAGATTTGTGCGGCCAAAATCGTGGAAATATAATTTTTTGTGTGAACCTTCTTCTCGGAGCTGTCAAACGTTGCGCATGGCCTGACGATCCCGAACGAGCGACTCGGGGTGGTTTTGTAGTTTCTCTAACCGAATCGGGCAATCCCGTGTGCCGGAACCCGGCCGCTCCTCACGTCGTACCGCTTTTGCCGCACATCCTCAATTTGATCAAAATTTTTAACGAATTGTTTACTCCCGAGGCGCAGAATATTATCCATGAAAGTTATAAGGGTTGTTTGGCTATGCAAGAGACTGATAGGATGAATTTGCTAGGATTGATAGGGCATATAGCGGGCGGGGATGTGGGGGATACGCAGGTCGTACAGAGTCCGCTGGAGAGGATGCAAAGGTTAGTATTTTAAATTTAGTTCTAGTTTAAATTATTTAATTCTTTTAGTAGTTGCAAAATTAAATGTCAACAGATTGAAATTGTTTAGTGCGAAAAAATTAAGATCATTCTAAAAAGTACTTTCATACACTAGTGGAAAAAATTAAGGGATAAAAAAAAAATCTCAATTTTGTGCGATTTTTCGAGTGGCTGTATCTTTGGTAAAAATGGTCGTACGTGAATGAAAAAAAATGCAATTTGAAGCTTGAAGTGTCTAGTTTATGGATCTTGCGATAAAAAAAAATCCAACCAACAATTAGCACAAAATCCTGATCGCGATCCTTCAATTTCTTCAAAAATTCACTCGCATGAAACAATGAAACGGCTTGATGGATCAGGTTGAAATTTTGTAGGGCTTTCGGGGGAACAATGGCCTGTAAGATGCACACTCAACATTATTCATTTTCCCAATATTCTCAATGTGGCACGTGATTTTCTAAAAAACCTCAAAAGACCTGTTTTCCGAAATTCTTTAAAGTCATGCTAGGGATGAAAAAAATTTTTTCTCTTGAAAGAACAAGCCAGAACCTTGTAGAGAATGAATCGAAGTTTCTGAAACCCCCCTTCCATTTTCTGAGCGGCCATTGGTTCCTGAGAAATTAACGAGAGAAGAGGAAATGACGCATTTTCGTTCATTTTCTAATAACTCGGCAAGGAAGGGTTATCTCGAGGCCATCAAAAAAAGGAATTGAAGCTAACTGAACCACCTATCCAATGCATATAGTGGATATGTCGAGAAAATTTGTTTCAAGTCCGTACACTAAAAATTAAAAAAAAAAAAAAAATTTAAATGTTCTATCCATGATATTCATCAGGATTTTGTGCTATTTGTTGGTTGGAAAATTTTTTATCGCAAGATCCATAAACTAGACACATCAAGCTTCAAATTGCTTTTTTTCATTCACGTATGACTATTTACAGCCACTCGAAAAATCGCAAAAAATCCAGATTTTTTTTTTTGATTCCTTAATTTTTTTCAAATAGTGCATTTTAATGTACATCTACAATGAATCAGGTTTGGGTTTATTTAAATTAAGTGATTTGAATAAAACTTTTTTTTTTATTAAAATAAAGTAATATTAATCAAATATAGGTATTTAAAATAAACATGAATTGAAACGTGTATAAAACGTATTTATGCATTTTCGTTAAATAATTTAAAAAATAATTTCGTATTTTTTTGCAATTTATAGATAATATTGAATAGTGGAAATTGTAATTTTTGATTTCTAAATTTAAATGGTATAGGTTGTCCAACATTACAATTGTCCTGTGGATAAGTGAAATAGTCTCAAAATAAAAATAAAAAAATAATTTTAATATGTTTCAAAAGTAAAAAATTCACCTTAAAATAATATTAAAAAATCAAGTTTTTCTCTGTATCCTGTTAAGCACAATACATTTTTGAAATTTCAAAATTGTATGGTCGTAAATGGCACACATTTATATAAATATTCATTTATCTCAGTTTGATACATCCAAAAAAATTACCTGTTTACAGTTCATCAAATTTCTAGAGGCTTTCGACGGCTAGACAGAGAAAGCACTACTGACAGGCATCCCGACGGATTTACGCAATGAAAGTACACTCTGCGCATCAAGTATTTCACTATTTCATTCAGACGTAAATGTCAGATGTAAATTTCGCTAAAACATTTCTTTTATTTTCGTTTGTGTTTTTTGCTCATTACAGTTTAATAGAACCTAAGTATGGAGTTTAATAGCAAATTAAGAGGCCGCGTGATTAACAGTCAATCTCGCGAAATAATAGCCAATGTTATAGAGTTTATGAGAAGAGAAGGAAACTTTAATTCACCTTCAATACCATTTAAAAATGTAAATGATCGTGTTGCTGCAGCCACAGGAGTATCTAAAAACACTGTCGTCCGCATTTCTGGAGAGAAAAAAAGAATCGATAACCGTGAGATATCGGAATTTTCATCACCAAGAAAAACCATTAAAAAACCAAAAACAGTTAATGATATAGATGAAGCTGCACAAGAATCAAATTTTATTTTTTTATTATTAGATAGCTATAATAGTATAGTTTATTATTTTGTAGAAAAACAAAATTTCGAAAATTTTAGTAATGTTTCAGAAACAACCGTTATTAATAATAGGTACCATTTTCCTTAATAAGGTAGAAATAAAATATAAACTATTTCCACGATTTACAAAGGCCTACAAAAAAATTATAGGTATTTTCCGCTATCCTAGAAAATTTATATTTTCTGACTCAATTTCAAAAGGTTGAAGGAATTCCAAAACACCTTTTATGGCATAATAATTATTTTCAATTCTACATACTATCTTTAGCTGCTTTTAAAAACGTTCTAAGAAAGTCCAATCAGACCAATTTAATCCCTAAACTATTCCACACTTTTAAAATTTAATTACCTAAAAATATTAAAAACTATTTAAAATAACTTGTTTAGCAGACTGTACAATAGTCACACGTAGCGCATTCTCTGTCTGGGCGTCGAACACCTCTAGAAATTTGATGAACTGTACTAATTTTTAACTATAAGGTGGCGCAAAATCAAGTACCCTATGGAATTTTGTCATGGTTTCGTTTGTAGTTGACATCTGTTCGAGTTTTTCTGTCAGTTGTAAAGTAGATACTTGGGAAATTCATTATGAATCGATATACGCCTCGAGAACGTGCTGAAATCGTAAAATTTTTTTATCAAAATAATTCGTCAATTATCAGAATTTTTTATGGACGTCTTATCTCGAAAAACGCCGATATTGCATATCCGCCAAGGTCTTCCGATTTAACGTTCCAGACTTTTGGTTATGGGGTTATCTCAAAGATAGGGTATTTGTAAATAATCCTATAGAACACTAGAAGCATTAAAAGACAACATCCGGGAAGAAATTGACAGAATACCACCTGAAATGTTGGAGAAAGTTATGAAAAATGCTTTAAAAAGAGCTCATTATTGCATGGCCATTTGGTCGATATTGTTTTTAGTGTATAACAAAACAAATTTTTAGAGTTTAAATAAATATTTTTCATTTATATTATGAGTGTTTTTTAATTAATCTTACTTTTATATAAAAAATAAATAGGGGACTTTATTTTTCGCCACCTTGTATATCGGTTCGAAAGTTCTTAAAAATGTATTCTTGATTATTATTACTAGATAAAAACTTAAGGAATATAATAGTTGAAAAATCATAATTTCATCTAAAATAATAAAGGTAATTAAAAGAAACCAAGACAAAATCAACGTTATCCGTATTACCACTTAATTTTGTAAATAAACAAGTGTTTTTTTTTTTTAATAATAAATCAATGATTTTTTTGAATAAAAAATAAATATTACCCAACCCTGCAATGAATCGATATCGTATAAAGTATGAAAATCTCATTTACTTGTTTTATTATATTTTGATAACATTGTTTCGTTTGAAATTATATCAAAATTCGATTAAATTATCTTTTAGTCTAGACATTTATACGGAAGCGCAGAAGGACCACACTTTTTTCCGACTTAGAGCTCGGAAAAATCGATTTTTCTAGCTTAGACCTCTGATAAATAGATTATTCGAACTCAAAACTCGGAAATATAGGTTGTTTTGTTTTAGAAATTCGAAAAAAATAGATTAGTCCGACTTAGAACCCGGAAAAATATATTATTTCGACTTGAAACTCTAAAAATCGATTTTTTGATTTGGAACTTTAGAAAATCCGTTATTCTGATATAAATCTTGGAAAAATGGATTATTCCGACTTATAACTCGGAAAAACGATTTTTTTTATTTAGAACTCGGAAAAATAGAACATTTCGTCTAGGAACTCAAAAAAAGATTATTCCGACTTAGAACTCTGAAAAATCTATTTATTTTTTTATTTGGAACTCAATAAATTCCGTTATTCTGATATAAATTTTGGAAAAATGGATTATTCCGACTTATAACTCGGAAAAATGGATTATATCGATTTAGAACTAGAAAAAAAAAAGATTATTACGACTTAGAACTCAAAAAAATATATTAGTCCGACTTAGAACTCGAAATAATTGATTTTTTTTATTTAGAACCCGGAAAAATATATTATTCCGGCTTACAAATCAGAAAAATTAATTTTTGTGACTTAGAACTCCGAAAAATCAATTTTTCTGACATGTAACTCGAAAAAATAGATTATTCCGACGTAGAACCCGGAAAAAATATATTATTTCGACTTGAAACTCTTAAATATCGATTTTTTTTTTATTTGGAACTTTAGAAATTCCGTTATTCTGATATAAATCTTGGAAAAATGGTTTATTCCGACTTATAACTCGAAAAAATGGATTATTTCGACTTAGAACTCCGAAAAAACAAGATTATTCGGACTCAAAACTTGGAAAAATCGATTTTTTTTTATGTAAAACTCGGAAAAATAAAATGTTTCGTCTAAGAACTTGAAAAAAGATTATTCCGACTTAAAATTCGGAAAAAAAACGATTTTTTTTATTTAGAACTCGGAAAAATAGAATATTTCGTCCAAGTACTCGAAAAAAAAAATATAATATTCAGACTTACAACTCGGAAAAACCGATTTTTCTGACTTAGAACTCTGAAAAAACAATTAGAACCCGGAAAAATAGATTATTTCAACTTGAAACTCCGAAAAATCGATTTTTCTGATTTGGAACTCTGGAAAAATCCGTTATTCGTCATAAATCTTGGAAAAATGGATTATATTCGAAAAAATAGATTATTCCGACTTAAATCTCGGAAAAATAGATTATTCCGACTTAAAACTCGGAAATATAGGTTTGTTTGTTTTAGAATTCCGAAAAAATTGATTATTTTTACTTAGAACTTAGAAAAAAATCAAATTTTCTGACTTATAATTCGAAAAAAATAGATTATTCCTTCTTTACAATTTGGAAAAATTTATTTTTCTGATTTAGAACTCGGTAAAATAGATTACTCTGACTTAAAACTCAGAATAATAGATTATTCCAACTTAAAACTCGGAAATATAGGTTGTTTTGTTTTAGAATTCGGAAAAATAGATTATTTCGACTTAGAACTTGGAAAAATCAAGTTTTCTGACTTATAACTCGAGGAAATAGATTATTCGGACTTATAACCCGGAAAAAATAGATTATTTCGACTTGAAACTCTTAAAAAAATTTTCCCGGAATATTTTTTCGCAAAAAAATTGGACTTTTCGGTCATCTTTAAAAGAAATTCCAAAATTATGAAAGTTGACTATATGAAATTTTTTATATTTTGTTTTTGAGGTTATTTTATCTTATCAACGGTTCAGCCTCTAAACCTACTCAAAAACAATTTGATAATGTTGAGGGTAATTTAGATATTTAGTTTTAACGGGATTTGTCGATTTTTAAGTTTTTGTCTTCGAAAAATTACAGAAATGTTCAAAAAATTGTTTTTATATGCCTAACTAAACTAAAAAAACAATGACAGACTATTTAAAAACAGTAAAAATATGTTTTTTAATAAAATATGTTCTTAGGTTTTTGACAGGGTTACATGAGAGCTGTTATCACATGATGGGTTCATTAGGGCCATCTTTAGGAAGAGATTTATATAACATACCGGATCTTGGTTTGGCAATCGTCAATAGTGTTTTATCATGTATGCAAGTAAGTAAAAAATAATCGTTGCTTTTTTATAATAAAATTATTTTTCTAATTAAAAAAATAATATTTGAATTTTTTGTATCAAATATTTCGAGGGTTCTCTATTTTTTTTTTTTTTTCAAACAAATTGTGTAAATAAATTTTTCTTTTTTTTTATAAATTAAAATTCCTGAAATATCGATGTTTTTGCAGTATATACCAGATTATAGAATAAGGCCAATCATAAGGGTGTATCTTAGACAGTTCATCTTTTCTTGCCCGGCTCCTTTTTACGAAGTTGTTGTATTACCAATCATGGCTCATCTTTCACCTATAAGTAAGTAAAAAAAAATAATCCATTTTATGTTTGACTATAAATATTATCTAGTAGTGTGTCAAATAAATATTAATTTCTATTATATTAGCTTTAGGATATTTTATAGTTTCCATTATGGGATGTTGATAGAAAATGTCAGTTGTCCACTTATTTATGCAGGTACCAAAAATAATTTTCAACTTTTTTAATTGAAATGAGGAATCCCATACTTATGTTTTGAAATTGACAAACTAAATTACAAAAATAAGCCTTAAAACTGTTATACCAAGAAAAAGTAAGTTAACAACAAGTATGAACAAATGAATTTGTTTCTTCTAGTTTTGTCAAGGTTGCACACAAAATGGCAGCAAGTTATCGAATTTCGTAACCGTGAGGCTCAAGAAGACAACCAAGACACTCAAGAGGTCCTAGAAGATATCCTCACTCGAGCGCTGACCAGAGAGTACTTGGATCTATTGAAGGTGGCGCTGGTGGGCGGATCCGTCACTCCCGAATCCAATTCGGAAACTATGGAAACGGAGGCGCACAGTATGGACTCTCCTACGCCGCCGCATACTCGATCAAATATGACAAACGAGGTTATTTCTGATTTAGGGTTGATATTGCTGCGCAGCGAGAAGACCTGTCATTCCATCGTGTTGGCCGTTTTGGGGGCGTTGGCGTGGATCGATAGCAACGGTTCGTTGAAAGCTACTTTTTTGACAGGTAAGCCATCATGGTAATCAGCATCTACACAGGGAGACAATTTAAAAATTTACAACGCAAGTGGGTAGGAAGCACTCAAATGTTTCCAAATTTTGAGAATTCTAATGTATATGCTTTCAATAATTGCTAATACAAAATGGTAAACAAAAATTGTAAATCGTTCTTAATAGTACATGAAATTTTGTATAGCATGATTTTTTCGCACTTTCAGAAATTCAAAATGGCGAACAATAATTGTAATTTGTTCGTAATAGTGCATAAAATTTTATGCAAGATGTTTTTTCGGGTTCCTACTTCAAAATTGATGTCAGTAATTCAGAATTCAAAAGGGCGTAAGCAAAATGACGAACAAAACTTGTAAATTGACTTAAATGTGCATTCAATTTTGTACAGGAGGATTTTTCAGGCCATTGACTTCAAATTTTGTAACATGCGTAAAGTTTTATACAGGAGGGTTTTTTCTAGCTACTGACTTTAAATTTGATGTCAGAAATTCAGAATTCAAAATGGCGAATAATAATTGTAAATTGTTCATAATAGTGCCTAAAATTTTGTACAGGATGGTTCTTCTGATTCCTACTTCAAATTTGATGTCAATAATTCAGAATTCAAAATGGCGAATACAAAATGTCTAACAAAATTTGTAAATCGACTTAAATGTGCATTAAATTTTGTACAGGAAGATTTTTCAGGCTATTGACTTCAAATTTCATAACATGCGTAAAGTTTTGTACAGGAGGGATTTTCTAGCTGCTGACTTTAAATTTGATGTCAGAAATTCAGAATTCAAAATGGCTAATACAAAATGACGAATAATAATTATTTTAAATTGTTCATAATACTGCCTAAAATTTTGTACAGGATGGTTTTTCGGATTCCTAGAAATAGGACATCAAATTTGAAAATTTTTTGTTAGTAATTCAAAATGGAGAATACAAAATGACGAACAAAACTTGTAAATTGACTTAAACGTGCATAAAATTTTGTACAGGCTACTGACTTCTGCATGTCAGAAATTCAGAATTCACAGCAGCTAATACAAAATGGGGAACGAAAATTGTAAATTGTTCTTAAATACATGACTTTTTGAACAGAAGGTTTTTTTTTTAGTTGCTGACATAAATTTGATGTCAGAAATTCAGAATTCAAAATGGCGAGCAATAATTGTAAATTCTTGTTAATAGTCCATGAAATTTTGTAAGGGATGGTTTTTCGTTTGCTACTTCAAATTTCATGTCGGAAATTCAGAATTCACAATACAAAATGGCGAACGAAAATTATAAATTGTTCTTAAATACATGAAATTTTATACAGAAGGGTTTTTTTGGTTGCCGATTTTAAATTAGATGTCAGAAATTCAGAATTCAAAATGGCTAATACAAAATGGCGAACAATAATTGTAAATTGTTCTTAATAGTGCATTAAATTTTGTACAGGGTGGTTTTCCGAGCTACTACTTCAAATTTAGCGTCAGGAATTCAGAATTCAAAATGGCTAACAAAAATTGTAAATTGACTTAAATGTGCATGAAATTTTGTACAGGAGGGTTTTTCAGGCTACTGACTAATAATGGCTAATACAAAATGGCGACCGAAAATTATAAATTGTTCTTAAATACTTGAAATTTTATACAGAAGGGTTTTTTTGGTTGCCGATTTTAAATTAGATGTCAGAAATTCAGAATTCAAAATGGCGAACAATAATTGTAAATTGTTCTTAATAGTGCATGAAAACTTGTACAGGGTTTCCGGGCTGCTACTTCAAATTTAACGTCAGCAATTTAGAATACAAAATGACAAAAATTGTAAATTGTCTTCATGAAATTTTGTACACGAGAGTTTCGGGCTACTGACTTCAAATTTCATGTCAGAAATTCAGAATTCACAATGGAAAAGGAAAATTGTAATTTATCTTAAATGGATGAAATTTTTGTATAGGAGGGTTTTTCGGTCTGCTGACTTTAAATTTGATGTCAGAAATTCAAAATGACGAACAAAAATTGGAAGTTGTCTTAAACGTGCATGAAATTTTCTACAGGTGGGTTTTTCGGGCTACTGACTTCAAATTTGTTAAAAGAAATTCACAATTCAAAATGGCTAATACAAAATGGCGAACAATAATTGTAAATTGTTCTTAATAGTGCATAAAAATTTGAACAGGGTGGTTTTCAGGCTCCTGCTTCAAATTTGATGTCAGGATTTCAGAATTCAAAATGGCGAATATAAAATGGCGACAAAAATTGTAAATTGACCTTAACGTAAATGAAATTTTGTACAGGATGATTTTTCGGGATACTGCTTTAAATTTTATGTCAGAATTATCAATGGCTAATACAAAATGGTGAACAAAAATTGTAAATTGTTGTTAAATCCATGAAATTTTGCACAGGAGGGTTTTTCTGGCTGCCGACTTCAATTTTGTTGTCAGAAATTCAGAATTCAAAATGGCTAATACAAAATGGCGAACAATAATTTTAATTTCTTCTTAATACTGCATGAAATTTTGTATCGGAGGGTTTTTCGGGCTGCTGACTTTAAATTTAATTGTCAGAAATTTAGAATGGCTGATACAAAATGGCGGAAAAATTCGTAATGTTTCTTAAACTTACACTAAACTTGTTATAAGACAATCTTTTGAGTTATTGACTACAAATAATTTAAAATTCCAAATTAAAAATGGCGGTTAGAAATTAGCACCATTTTTACTATACTTGCTGTTAATTTTAAATTTGATGTTGAATATGAAAAATCTTTAATAAGAAATTCAGTGGGCATAGAGTGCACTATATTAATGTTAAAAGTATGAAGATCTGGTGAGAAGTTGTTCATATCCTAAAGTCAGAGATATAACGTATAAATTGGTTTTGTTTCTTGATTTTGGATCGATTTATGATATATTTGTTTCCATTTATTAATATATTGTTTCTTGATTTTTTGTCCTCTTCCCATAAGCTATCTATTCACATTTACACTGATATACTACAAATTTAATCGTAGCTGCACGAATATGTCGGGCACGAAGTCATAGTCGGGCCATTTTGAATTTAGGTGTTTCTTAAGCACATGCCCGGCCTTGGAATGCTGTTTAAATTGAACGTATATTAAAAAAGTATTATTTTTCTTATTATTCATTGTACCATAAGTTCCATTATAACAATCTTAAAAAGTTTCAATGAATTTCGTGTATCCATCGATTTATAACATTCTTTCAGGCCCCATAGTTCGACAACTATCCTCTGACAAAACCCTGAACGGCGAAGTGGCAGCTCACATAATGGCGGCCGTTCTCAACGCGCTTACTCTTCACGGCCAACACGAGGCCAATCAAGGTTCTTTACTCACCTTAGGCGCTCAAATTTACGAACTTCTTAGACCGAATTTCCTCGAAGTGTTGGCCATCATGCAGCAGATACCGGGAGTGAATCCGGTGGATTTGCAAAAATTGGACGAAAGGATATCCGGAAGTACCAGTAAAGGCAATAAAGTCGAAAAGGTTAAGAAGGACCTTTTCAAGAAGATTACTGGAAATGTGAGTGTAATTTTTTTATTAGAATAAAAATTCGATAAGAGTATGGAATTTTCATTCCAACAGAGTAGCATACTGTATTTTTTCCACGATTACAAAATGCAGCTTGTCCCATTTTGGGATTTTTATGACAGTATTCTATATTCTGAGATATTTAGGAAAAATATGGTTTTATGTGTTTTTTTCAGCTGATAGGCAGGAGTATGGGCCAATTGTTTAAAAAGGAAGTGAAGATCCATGACTTGCCTCGAATAGTAGTTACAAAAAAACCTGAGAATGAAGACGTTATTACCAATTTGAGGAATGTATTTAGTTAGTTAATTGTAAAAATTGAAAATATATTATTTATTAATTGATGAACTTGTTCAACATTCCTGCACATGGGTGGATTTAAGATCTAAATTCTACAGATGAAATGGAAGTATTTTATTAACTTTATTTTGGGAATTAATAGTTATTGTGGTTTCATTTTAATGCCTGTAAACAAATTTGTTTATTTTTTGCTTGTGCCAATTTACTAAGCATCACTATTTTATTGTGTTATAAAGTAAACAGAATGCGTTTAAAAAATAAAAACCATTGTTTAATAATATTTATGTAATTAATTGACTTTTTAATATTTCTTGAATCCACTCTTGTTCCTGTTGTTCAGTTTTAATAGACTGGTAATTTCGTAATACTTTATGATGGAATTTATATATATAATTGTCTCAGTTTGTATATAATTTGTTAGGTTTATTTTTATTTAATTTTTTTTTGTTTATTAGTAAAATAAAGAAGCTTATTCTTCTGAAGAAAAAAAAATTAATTTCACTATAATTTCCTACCCCTCTATTACTCTACTACTTGAGATGTATTTGTGCTAATGGAAATGAATACATTTGAATTTGTTACCTTTTATAGGTTTTAAAGGTTACATCATCGCCCATTCTTACATTAGAAGTAACAAAGTTCATGGTGAATCACTTATTTTAATAAAAATTTGAAACTTATTTCCTCGAATTTTCGTTTGATAATTAAAATACACAGTCAAAAAGTTTCTAAACTGCCATATTAATGTCAGATAATAAATAATCAAAATTTCATGTAAAAAATACATTCCTTCTGCCTGAAAATTTTCTCTTACAATTTTTATGGTCATTCATTCATATACTTAAATACGAAGTTTCAATGAATTTGCAATAATAAAAATTTTAACTACTATCGTACGACATTGGGGTGATTTTACATCCCTTTCTGCCTATCGCCAAGGCGAAACGTTTGAGATTGCAATTAATTAACCCTATGGTATGTTATGTTGAAAATGGGGTGTTAATACACTGCGACCTAAAAGATCTATTGTGTCCCCTTCTATCGCCAATGCACCAAGGAAATTCTCAATGCCTATAACGATCTTTCCAATCCTATTTTCTCAATGAAGTGTAGGATTTGAAGTGGCTTCAAGTTAGGTAAATCTCCCTCTTCTATTTGATATCCTCCTATATATATAGTGCCCTTGGATTCTGGAGTGCTACATTCAGTTAGGATGTGAATGGAGGTTTCGTCCTCCTCCTCACAGAATCTGCATTTACTATCCTCTACTACTCCGTTTACTCAGGTGTCCTTTTAGTCGGCAATGCCCGGTCAGGATCCCTGTTACAATACATAACCTGTTCTTGCTCAGGCATATACAGGCTTCCGATCTTTTCTGCTTATATTCACCCAGAATTATCTTTGCCTGTCTCAGACCCAATAGATTGTTCCAATAATCGGTTCTTCTACTACCCAATTCTTTTTTAACCTCTCCTAATATTATGTTACTGCTGATACCGCAAAGTGAGAGTAACTCTATTTTTCTCGCCTTGCTCATTCAATTGTTCTAGGCATCTCCAGACCATTTTTGAGCTGATTACGTAAGAGCTCAGCACTTTGATGGCTGCTTGACTATCGGACATGATGATAATCTCTTGTCTATGATAGTTTCTCTCAATGTTAAAGTGGATACACTTCTTGATGGCATGCATTTCCGCCTAGAAGATGCTTGGGTATTTTCCCAAGCTTTGGAGTGCTTGGTTCTCGGCCCATACACTCCTATTTCAGTTCCTTCTATGGTTTTGGAACCGTCCGTATACCACTGCCCAGACAGCACACTAAATCCTTTGGATATCTACTGAACATCCCAATATCCACTGAATGTCCAGTCCATGGTGGATATCTATTTTATATCCATGATATGTAATTTATAGACATGCAAATGTCCATAAATAATAGTAATTATATAGCAAATTATTAAAAAATTACGCGATTGTGCTCGCCATTGTGGCTAATAGTACCGTTCAGATATTTAAAATTAATTTTTTTAAGGTGTATTCAATATTCCATGGACATCCACTAAATAATCAAAGTCTAGGCGCGAACGCAAACCATCGTGGATATCCACTAGATGTAATTTTTGATTTTGCTAAGTATAGATGGCGATACCACTTTCGCATCTACTCATGCTTAACCCGCCGTAATTGAGTTCGATCGAAATTTGTTTTCCAATCAGACTCCATTAGAGAGTGGAGTCGAGAATTTCCATTTATTGCTGAAAAGTCCTAATAAGGGTGACTTTCCTTAGTGGGCAAAATCAAAGGCAGAGTGTTGAAAATATTTTTTCTCTGCCATTTTCTTTCGGCGTTATTCAATAAACATTGGTTACTTTTATGAACCTCTACTAAAAATACCCATAAAATATTTTGCTGAATATCCGAATTCTTCTATATCCTGGGATATAGACGGACATTTGGTTGGATATCCACAAAATATATTCTGTGGATATCTCTGGGATTTCTCGTATTGTCTGGAAGATACCCATTAGATATTTTGCTGGATAATCCATAGGATATCTTCTATATTCTGGATATAGACGGACATTTTGATATCCATATTAGATTCACGGAATATTTCTGATATACTGTGGATATATTGGATATCCACAAAAGATATTCTGTGGATATCTCTGGGATTTGGTGTGTTGTCTGTGTGAATAGCACGTCTTTTGGTTGCAAGCGCGATGGATTCTTGGTTCCATTCGTTCTTGCAGCCCAGCTTTGTGGTTTTGAAGTTTTTCACAAAACTGTACTTCTTTAGCATTTCATCCTGGGGCATGTCCCAGGTATCTTTAGTCCTGAAGTAAGTAGACTTTCGTCTGATTACTCCGTTCCTGATCATTCTATATCGTGTCCTTTTTGCCAAATTCTCTATTATCAAATGTAGAGGGGTGAGGTTTAAGATCACCTCCATTGCGGCCGTAGGACAGGTTCTCATTGCACTAGTAATGCAAACACAGGCTAGTCTTTGTACTTTTGCGATATTAGCTCTCGTAATAGCTAAACTAGTTCTGTTACTTCAGGCTATAGCCCCGTAAGTGATGATTGGTCTCACTATTGCAGTATACATCCATCGCAGTATTTTTGGGTTACATCCCCATCGTTTACCTGCAATGTTTCTGCATACCATTAGGACTTTTGTGGCCTTATTTACTACTTCCTTCTCATGTGTGTTCCAGAGAAGTTTGTTGTCCAGGGTTAGGCTTAGATATTTGACTTCATTTTTCCATTCTATATCTATCCCGTCTAATTTAACGGTTTTGAGATTAAGTTTTCTTTTCCTTGAAAAGGCTACTAGTGTTGTTTTTGTAGGGTTACTAAGTCCCACTTCACGGCACCATCTTTTGGTGTGTTCTAGTCCTCGTTGGACTATATCACACAAGACATTACTAAACTTGCCACTAGCAAATATGACTATGTCGTCGGCATAACCTTGACAGGGTATGCCGAGGTCAGTCAATCTGCATAGAAGTTCGTCTACGATTAGTGGGGATAGAACTCCTCCTTGTGGACATCCTCTGGTTGTGCAGATGGAGATGGTGTCCTGCCCTATCTGTATTTCTGCAGTTCTCGTAGATAACAGCTGAGCCATCCATCTGGTAACCTTTTGGCAAATTTGTAGCCTACTTTGATCAAGGAAAAAAAATGTTCACTAGCTCTTAGACTATACAGAATACCTCGTAGATTCCAAAAATGAACGAGATCATGATTGTCAAATCATGTTTCATCTAAATCAGCCATACTCAACCTTTTTTTCCTTCGGGCCACATTTGTTGGTTTGCTATGTTACACGGGCCACAATATTTTTGGATGATGACCTTTTTTTTAGGACATCTGTCTAAAATTAGTTAGTGGGGACCTCTAATAAATAAAACACAAAACAAATATATCCCGCGGGGTTACTGCAAAAACAAGATAACTCACATTTTTAGAGTTTTAATAAAACACTGTTCAAAAGTTTAAAATTGAATAAAAAAATTAGTAAAAGCTTCAAATTGTTTATTAAATAATAACTTCAATGAAAAATGTATTGAAAACATAGTTCACAAACTATAAACTAAGAATCTATCAATTAATTGGTAAAAAAAGTGAAAAAAGAACGTCACTTAGCTTATTTTAGCTCTACATACTAATAATTCAATGTATGTGTCACTATCTTCAATCGAAGATTCACGTACGGTGTCTTTAACATTATTGGATACAGGTAGATTGGGATAATAATAGTGAAATTCATCAGATGTAACACCTATGGGTAAATAATCCGCAAGGATTGAGCCCATACAAAACTAAAGAAGAAGATGTAACACCTAATTTTGCAAAATTTTAGTAAATTTTTCTTCTTGCACTTTTTTTGTAAGTATTTTCAAAACTTTGTTTCATCCTTTCATGCATCCCTCTAAATAAATAATGTGCGAGTTTGGCATATAAATCCGAATGCCACACTCGCCCATTGATAAATTTATTTTTCTGGTGGAATGTATTTAAGATAACTGAATCTTTCGATACAAGTTATCTATTAGAAAATATTGTTAAAATTCACCACTAATACTTTTATTTACGAATTTTCACATAAAGATTCGCTTGCTACAGCTTGACCAATCACTCGTTACATCTTGACCAATCACTCGTTCACCACGGAGATCCAGACATCACGTGTTATTATCTAGTGGTTGTTGAAGGTTAGCTCTGTCGCGGAAAGAAAGGGTGACGTAATCATCTCGTGGATATCGGAACCATCGAGAAAGGCCAGAGACGGCTCTAGTCATAACAAAACAAAAAGTTTTTATGTGATTTCCGAAATACAGGTACATTTTGACCTTAGCGGTTCCCAGAGATAACAGAGATATAGCCATTCATTGATTATAATATTTACGATGTCAAGATTAAGTCGATAATCATAACACTCTATTTGTAGGTCCGCGGTGAGAAGAGGATAGGTGAAAAATAAGAGAGGAGATAAAGAGAAGGAGTTTACGCAAATACAACTTTATTTTATCAATAAATAAATATGTAAGCCGCTGTGCGCTTATAATAAACAACGTAAATATCCATGACGGTGTAAGCCCTGTTGCCACTTCCAACCCAACATGACTAGCTTTTGGAATTTATTGAAAGTTATTACATCTAATTTAGTGAAATTGCATCTAATTTAGTTAAATTTGATATAAATGATTCAAAATTTTTTGGGTCCGGTTCACTGATCTGTATTATTTTACTGGATAGGATATACAGTTCATCAAATTTCTAGAGGTGTTCGACGCCCAGACAGAGAACGCGCTACGTGTGACTAAGATAGCTATTGTACAGTCTGCTAAACAAGTTATTTTAAATAGTTTTTAATATTTTTAGGTAATTAAATTTTAAAAGTGTGGAATAGTTTAGGGATTAAATTGGTCTGATTGGACTTTCTTAGAACGTTTTTAAAAGCAGCTAAAGATAGTATGTAGAATTGAAAATAATTATTATGCCATAAAAGGTGTTTTGGAATTCCTTCAACCTTTTGAAATTGAGTCAGAAAATATAAATTTTATAGGATAGCGGAAAATACCTATAATTTTTTTGTAGGCCTTTGTAAATCGTGGAAATAGTTTATATTTTATTTCTACCTTATTAAGGAAAATGGTACCTATTATTAATAACGGTTGTTTCTGAAACATTACTAAAATTTTCGAAATTTTGTTTTTCTACAAAATAATAAACTATACTATTTAGAAAAAAATTTATTTCTCTTATAATTTTATAAAAAATAACGGGAATATTTACATTTCTTGATCTATTAAACAAAACGATAAATTATCTCGACGAATGACACCATGTTCTAGTACGGAAGCTAGCTTTACATTTTTGTTGGTGGTTTCATGGGTTTCATATCAATTTTTTGTAATTGTAGTTTACACGTACATATACCTCTTAACACTTGTTTGCTTTATTAAAAAAGTGTGTTGTTGTGATTTACGTCGAAATAAGTCAAAAACAACTTGAAACCCCATATAAAATAAAAAGGAGAAACGGAAAAAAATTGAGCCTGTAAATGAACACAACTCAGAAACAAAAATAGCTATCTAATAATAAAAAAATAAAATTTGATTCTTGTGCAGCTTCATCTATATCATTAACTGTTTTTGGTTTTTCAATGGTTTTTCTTGGTGATGAAAATTCCGATATCTCACGGTTATCGATTCTTTTCTTCTCTCCAGAAATGCGGACGAGTGTTTTTAGATACTCCTGTGGCTGCAGCAACACGATCATTTACATTTTTAAATGGTATTGAAGGTGAATTAAAGTTTCCTTCTCTTCTCATAAACTCTATAACATTGGCTATTATTTCGCGAGATTGACTGTTAATCACGCGGCCTCTTAATTTGCTATTAAACTCCATACTTAGGTTCTATTAAACTGTAATGAGCAAAAAACACAAACGAAAATAAAAGAAATGTTTTAGCGAAATTTACATCTGACATTTACGTCTGAATGAAATAGTGAAATACTTGATGCGCAGAGTGTACTTTCATTGCGTAAATCCGTCGGGATGCCTGTCAGTAGTGCTTTCTCTGCCTAGCCGTCGAAAGCCTCTAGAAATTTGATGAACTGTACTAAAAAACCGTTCCACCAAGGAGACCGGAAGTTCAACAATGCTGGCCGATTTGGGCAAATTATGGTGGGTTCACAGAACTGAAAGTTGGGATAATTTGACATACTTAACCTATAATTTGATTAGTTTTTCTTCTTCTGTTCCTTTTGCGGGCGATGTCCTTCGGGAAAATTCACGCATGATTTGATTTTTTATGAAAGAAAATATAAAAATGGAAACGTGAAGCATATTGTGTCTTCAGGAATTTACGTTTATTAATTAATTCATACTCTTTTTACTTTGTTTTCCACAATAAAAACATCTCATCGTAGCTTGTTGACACAATTAAATGACAAATGGAAATAGAGGTTATGTTAAATAACATCCGGTCCGCCATATTATTTGCCCAAATCGGCCAATTTTTCGGAACGTTTTTAGGGGGCTATATCCTATCCAGTAAAATAATACAGATCAGTGGTCCAGTTGCAATGGGCCCGTTCACTTTTATTTTTGAATGTGAATTATTTATATATTTATAAAGATATTAAACTCTTTTGTCTGGTGGTACTTTTCCCGTTAAGATATTTTTGCTAGAAGTAAGGGAATTCCCATAAAATTCTTTCAGTGACTCATTGCGTCAGAAAACCCCTAATTCCCTTCAGGTCTCGTATCGGTTAATAGTTAAAAGGGCGCGGTTGTCGGATGTATCATTGCACCACCATTCCTCTTCTGCATTTATTAAAGAAATTTACATGATAAAAATATATTATTTTTTAAAAATAATGTGTTTATATTTTCAGATAAAGCTGGAAGCCCTACCTTTTTTAAATTTTAATAAAAACAATTAGTATTACTCAAGCTGAATATTACCAGATCGAAATTTTATTTGAGAAAATGTATCTGGTAAACGTGACAACGTTGTAAGTACTTCTAAATAGTGTTGTCTACACACACTTCTAGAAATAAATGCAACGTTGCCACGTTTACCAGATAAATATTGCAAATCAAATTTCTACTTTTTGATTATGGTCTGGTTAATTTTCAGCCTGAGTAATAATAATTGTTTAAATTAAAAAGTAAAAAATAAGCTCCAGCTTTAAATCTGAAAATACAAGTTCATGATGTTTAGAAAAATAATGGAATTTTACTATTTAAATTACATATATAAATGCAGAAATGCTATATTAGGGATACTTCCGACAACCCCGCCGTCTTTAAGCATAACCGATGCGAGACGTGAACGGAATTAGGGATTTTCTGACGCAATGAGTCACTGAAAGAATTTTATGGGAATTCTCTTACTTCTAGCAAAAATATCTTAACGGGAAAAGTACCACCAGACAAAAGAGTTTAATATCTTTATAAATATATAATTAATTCACATTCAAAAATGAAAGTGAACGGGCCCATAAAATAAGTTGAATTATTTTAGCTTTTTTAATATATCTAAATAATTTTGTAAACAAAACGAGAATAATGAAATAGGCATATGACAACAGCGAATATTATACTCTCCTGTGTCCCTTAGAATATATCTTATTCAGGACCTCACGATATTTGTTAGTAGTTACATCTCCTGTTATATCTGGTGGTTCCTCTCGGTTCTGGCCTTTATCTTGTTTTGGCAGAAACGCTATTAGGAATCGGACTAAATATATTTAGCAAAAATAAGTTATATGCCTATTCTCTGGTTTTGGTAGACACACTTAGCAATTGAACACAATGTTATGTTTTGGTAAGATGGCACTCCATCTTGTTTGTGCATATTGTTAATGTATTAATATGGAGTTAGTTTTTAATAGCTATCTGTTTATCATGAATATAGACTTCGTTCATACTTGTAGAAAGTGTGCTTAACTCGAAAATTCCGAAAGTGGAGCTATCTTGTTTTTGCATTAACCCACAAAATTCCAAACGTTTATTTAAAAATTATCTTGCATTTTAGCGCTGTGACCAATAAATGCGTTCGCGCATTTCCCTCAAGATTATAAAAACAGAAACCTATAGTTTTAATAATTGTTTAACAATTTTGAGAACTTTGGATTGCTGTTAATAAAATTATTAGAGCCCGTCCAGACGAGCCACTCGGTGGTGACATTAAGAAGCGCCACCTCATTGGCGGGTAAAAGCCTGCCATTCAATTCAATATTAAAATGTAGAAGTTGTCCAAACGAGTGACGGTGGCGAAGAGAACCGGGTCTCCGCGACAAAGTGGCGACACTCAGTCGCTGGAACCGTCTACACGGGCCACTTTTGTCGTCGACTTCTACTAACATTGGTAGAGATATTTTATTTTGATTGTTTGGGTTCAGTATTGAGTAATATGGCGTTCGATTCATATCGATTAGTCGACATCCTGCAGTTCGAAAGAATATAGCAATAGGATATTAAAAAGTAAGGCTTGGGAGGAAATTTGTGGAATTTTCTTAGAAAATATTGAAGTAATGGATTCTGGTGCAAAGAACAAGACATGTAAGTATCTCTAGAAGGAGTACTTCCTCGTCCATAATGACACTGGCAAATTTTAATTAGCTTCAAACATGAGCCTATCATGCAATCGTGCTACTTAGTAGCTAGCACGCCCACACGAACAACCGAGTGGCACGTGCACGCCACTTAGCAGCGCGACTGAGTGGCGCCACAGAGTAGCTCGTCTAGCTCTCACCTGCGATTATTAAGGCCATTAGAAGAAACACACACATTTTTGAACATTTATTCTTGGTATATAAATAAAATACATAAAAATAAAAACTTTTATTTACAAATTATAACTAATTAAATTATAATTTATTTGTATTTAACTGAAAAAAAAAATATATATATATATTAATGCAATCATAAAAAACATTTTACTTACATTATGCACGCCCCATAGTCCTTTATTCTTCAATTTTGTAAAATCAGTCTCGTGGAATAAACCCTCCTAAAAAAAAAAAAATAAAGTTGATACTTTCTATTTCGAATTTATTAAAAAAGAAAAAGATTCAAATTAGTTTACAATTTCTCAATCTCAACTTTTTCTATAGTTGTTAATATACAAATAGCTATTTTATTTTACTACCTATAAAAAATATTTAAAATCAGCAATTTTGAAAAACAGGCAGTGCCAGTTCGGTGAGCAATATCTGAAGGCAAGGTAATTTTTTGCCTACAATTCTGCTACAGACATGCAATAAAAACACTAAACAGTTTAAAACTAAATAAAGAAATTTACCTTTATTACATTTGACCTTTTTTCTTCAGTCATATATTGAAGAATCAGAGCAGCATATTCTTTCTTATTTATATTAATAGTTATCTCTATAATTTTTTCGAAATTAAGCGAGAACACAACTGGACAAGACTAAAACAAAAAAAAAATCTTTCAAAAACAGAAACAAATAAAAATTAGTCAAATAGGAATATGTATGAAAAATACACGATTAAAATATGATTTGTTTCATAAGAAATGACCAATATACACTTCAGTTAAATATTAATTACTACAGAGATACAGGGTATCAAAGTGAAATTTATTTTTCGTTTTTATGTATTGTAATCATAAAAAAGTCTCCCTCCAAAATTATTACAGATCTTCACGTTTCAGGTTCACTAGATTACAAAAAACATATTTCCACTTTCTGTTGGTCTGTTAGAGCGATTGCTCAAAACCGGCTTTAAAGAAATACTTTATGAAAGTAAGGATCCTTTCTGGGGCCCTATCTTCGGCAATCGTTTTCTAAAAAACGTATACGCTTTAGCAACATGCGAGCTATTCGCTATTCTCGACATTCGTTTTAAAAGCGTGTACGTTTTTAAAACGGGTGTTTTACAGCGAGCGGAATTTTTCACACGTTTGTGATAAAACGTGCATGTTTTAAAGGATTTAATCAATGTCACGTATATGTCACTTTTAGGATGATTAATAATATTGATTGATTTTAACAAATTTTACTTTTTATTAATACCTACAAAAGTATCTAATTTTTTATAAATATGGTTTGCAGTACTAAAAAAGTCTAATAGCTGAGAATTTATTTCAATTAGAAAACTTGGAAGATAAGAATGCTAAAAGCAGAGATTTACCTAACTTGAAGCCACTTCAAATCGTACACTTCGTTGAGAAAATAGGATTGGAAGGGTCGTTATAGGCATTGAGACATTTTCTTAGTGCATTGGCGACAGAAGGGGGCACAATAGATCTTTTAGGTCGCAGTGTATTAACACCCCATTCTCAACATAACAAAGATTCAGACATGCCACGGTGGGCCGCTGGCTATGTTGAGTTTGAAAAAAATCTAGAAAGGAACTGGTTAATGGAAACTGTTCCTGAAAGGCCCAGGAATAAGCTCCTGTAAACCCGAAAATCGGCCCTGCTCCTTTTTCGAAGTTGCGTTATTTTTTTAAGGAGATGAATTGAATTCTGGCAGTGTGACCGACCACACTATAGCAAAGTGATTTCTTGTAAATAACTCTTTTGTATGATGCGTAATCGAAAAAATAGCAACGTACCGCCTTAGCCCTGATAATTATCTAGCAATGTTCAAAAAATTTGGTCGACTAGCTTTATTTTTGGTCGCACAATCTAGGATAGCGATTTTGCCGACCAAGAAGTTCGCAATTCACGGCATCCCAGATTGTGTGGCCAAAAATATTGCTAGGTGGCCAATTTTTTTGCAGACTGCTAGATAATTGCCAGGGCTAAGGCGGTACGTTGCCATTTTTTCGATTACGCATCATACAAAAGAGTTATTTACGAAAAACCACTTTGCTATAGTCTAGTCCTCCCACCGCAATCTGGAGGTGAAGTGTATATTCTGACCAATCAGATTTTTTTTGAGGTAGGAAGGTTTAGAATGAATTGTTCTCAGTGAATTGTGTGATGTATGACGATATGTATTGTGGAAGAAAATAGAAACTCCCATAACAACATAGTGCCCAGCTTTTGAATAACAATGTTTTCACTAGTTTATAATATATAAGAATTATAACTTTTATTTATAAATGACTTGAAGAAAATTCAGTAACTGCAGCTTTCAATCTGGTCAAGTACTGTGGAACATTAATTGCGTTGATTTTATACTTTTCCCAAAATTTCAAGAATTCTTGGTGAATGGATTCCCCCGCTAGCTCGGACCAGGTTCCCAAACCCTCTCCCTCCAAAAATTGGACACATTCGCTGATGTGTGCCACTAGCACATGGATTTTGAGCGTTTCCGTCAATCCTGTAGCTTTGAAAACCGATTCCAGTTCGCGGATATGTCTTTCTAAATGTGCATCAACTGCTTTAGTAGAGAAACAAGAGTCTACGATTCGGTTCATTATTTGCAGGGCACGAATGAACGGTAGCACCTGCAGTTCATTGACGTTGATTAAAATATCTGTATCCTTAAGTTTATCTGCCTCCTTGAGAAGCTTCCAGCAGGCATTGCCTCAAATACCTCACCATGATACCCTTTTTGTACCAAATTGAGCTTTTCCGGCCACAGAAGCGCCGTGTTTCGGCCTAATAGAGGCACTAAACCATCCCAGAATACATGGTTGACAAAACCTTGCAAAATGTGGAGATCTGGTATTATACATTTTTCTAATACATATGTGTCGTCATTCTCGTTAAATATTGGTAGGTTGACCGTGCTGTGAGATTCTTTAGCTTGTTTAATATTTTTACCTAGAGCACAAAATCTTTGATAATCCTCCTTTAAGTCCCCGTAAGTCTTTAATGTTAAACTTTTTTCTGACTGTGCATTGTCAGCATTTCGGAGATCTTTTAAGGGCACATAACAATAGGGGCAAGGAAAACTGGAAGTTGCTGTTTGCTGTCCATTTATAATCAGCAAAACTTTAAAATCAGAGACAAATCGAAAAGAAATTCTATTGATATTAATAAGATTAAATAAAAAGTGCAAATTGTAATAGGTCTCTTTTATATCTGGCACTATGCATAAAATTATTGTTCGTTTCACACTTGTTAATTTGGCTTTTGTGCCAACATGTTCCATCTTAGGTTTTTTTGTTTCGGGTTCACCAAGTGTGTCATCTGGCACATCCAAGTCACTATCGGTGTCCGGTAAAAGTGAAAAGCACACTTTGAAAAACCGTTGGCCTCCATCCGCCATGACTTTCACAGTGTAGCTTCCTACAAGTTTTCTTTCATCCACGACTGCCTCGACAAGCTCCTGCGCATCAGCCCAAATACATGGACGTCTTTCTCGTGGTCCCTTACTACCAGGAGTATCAAACTCGAACTCACTATCAAAATAAAAGTCACTCAGGGCTTTGTTTTTAATGGAAATTTGTTGAACTGCAAACGAAGGTACAGATTTTTTACCCGCATATTGTCTAACAAAAGTAACAAATTTCTTCATCTGATTATATGATGAACCCTTGTTCGTCTTGAAATTTGCAAGACTCTCAACTGGAAATTCGGGACTTTTTTCCCTTCTCGGCTTCACACATATTGTCGTTTTTGGTCCCCGGGTATTTAAATTCAGTTCAATCCCTACAGGGATCCGAGTTTGTCCGGGAGTAAGTTTCAGTAATTTTTTCATTTATCGCATCCGAAACGACTTGCCTTTTTCTATTTTCGGGCAGTTTGTCTATCAATTTCACAATGTTTACACTGCACGCAGCTGTGTTATTAGGTTTAACGCACGGATGATTTTTGCCTCTTGAAACTTCTTGAAAACACTTTTTACAAATTTGTAAAGTCGCATCATTGCCGTTCCCTGATCTTTTTTTCTGCGACTTCTGATCATCAGAAATACTGACCCGTTCTATTTTCCTCGATAGAATCCCAGATACTCCATTATTTGCATCAATCCGCTTGACGGGCTTACGAATATTTCCACGCCCTTTAGATAATGTCTGGTGTGCAAAAGATCTCGCCGTAATGCATATATAACAAAAACATTCTGTCGCAAGTACACTATTACGCCGAGTTTCCTTTTGCAAAATAATATCTCCATAATTTGGAAAGCATATAGCCGGCCGTTTTGTAATTCCTCGTTCCATTTCGTTGAGTGTTAAAGAGCAAGTTCCACAAATGCTGAGTGGATATTTGCTATCTGTTATAGCGAAATCTTCACAAAGAAACTTTTTAATAAGCCCGCAAAATCTTGCACTTATAAGAAAATGATCTAGTGTTTTCCTGCCCACGACAATTTTTCGACCACAAGGAGCACATATTTTACTTCTGTTCTCTTCGTGAGAGCACCGAGCTGACGGATGAGCCATTTTGGTTTCAAATAATGACCGCTTGATTTTGTTTTTATTTAGTTAACTTTTCTTGACAGCTTTAATTTCATACAACTGTGTATTACGTACAACTTTGATTTTTGAAGTAGAACTGAACTGAAGTGTCTGGAGTTGTACTGTGTTTCTCGCCGAGATTTTCCCTAATGTGTGTGTAAAACCAGGTACATTGTTTACAAACAAAAAATTGGCCACCTAGCAATATTTTTGGCCACACAATCTAGGGTGCCGTGAATTGCGAACTTTTTGGTCGGCAAAATCACCATCCCAGATTGTGCGACCAAAAATAAAGCTAGTCGACCAAATTTTGCACATTGCTAGATAATTATCAGGGCTAAGGCGGTACGTTGCTATTTTTTCGATTACGCATCATACAAAAGAGTTATTTACAAACAATCACTTTGCTATAGTGTGGTCGGTCCCGCTGCCAGAATTCAATTCATCTCCTTAAAGAAAATAACGCAACTTCGAAAAAGGAGCAGGGCCGATTTTCGGGTTTACAGGAGCTTATTCCTGGGCCTTTCAGGAACAGTTTCCATTAACCAGTTCCTTTCTACATTTTTTTCAAACTCAACATGGCCAGCGGCCCACCGTGGCAGAGGCAGAATTCAATTTTTTAATTTAATGGATATTGAATGAATATTTTTTATATTTTACCGTGTAAGAATTTAATTATTGTATGTTTTATTTATAGATAATAATTTGCTTGCGGTTTCTTGCAAGTGGTAGTTCAAAGCTCTTCTATATCACACGTTGTGTCCAGAAATTTTAACAATTTTGTAAAATTGCCACAAGATATTAAAGAACTGAATGAGATTAGCAAAGTTTTTAAGTTAATTTTGTACCATAAAAACTAGGTTTTATGACGTACTATTTTCCTAGAATTATAGGTTACATTGACAGCACCCGTCAATGATTAACGATTCAGTTTATCCTGAACATTGATATATTATGTGATTAGAAAAAATCATCATTCGATAAATTTACAATTGGTTTGTTGTAATTAAATTACATAATCCTTATTTTTTATGGCCTGCACATTACTTGAATTCAGCGATATAGACAGTTTACAGTGATGCCAGATATATTATTTGCTTGTTAAAAATGTACACGTTTTAAAAAACGAATGCTTATCGAACGCCAGTCAAGAATATAGATTTCAAAAACTACTCGCTTTTCAACCACTCACTTTCGAAAACGCTTCTTTTTTTTAGCGATTGTCGAGGATAACCGCCCTGGTTCAAAACCAGTTATATTTCCGGTCCAGTCATATACAGGGTGAGAAGTTAAAAAAAAAAATTAAAAGTCTACAGATTTTGACTAAAATTAGTATCCGAGTATTTTAGAACTTAAAAATAACATATCCTAAATTATAGTTTAAAAAAATTGAAAATAGCGTTTAAAGCAATCGTATTTAATCAAAAAATGTCCCCCTTGAATAGAAATAATAAAAAGCGTCTTTTCAGTTTGTGTAACTGGACCATTTTAAAAGAAGTTAATCATTATCGTACAATAACGGTAAACAAGACGAAGAACACCGGGACGACGCGAAGTGAGAGTTCCGGTAGGATCAAGAGGAATATCGATGGAGAGAGAGAGGAAGGTGAAAAAGGGTTTTTGAATTGGTGGTTTTAATATTAAATTGATAAAATGTTAGTGCTGGATAAAACTTTTTTTTTATAATTTTGATTATTATTTAACTAATATTAACGTATCACATAATGATCGACCAAACATACCTGAATCATTAAAAAGTTGTTGATCAAAGTTTTTTCCAAGTCCTCATTAGATACATGAATGAGTTCTTGAAATGTTTTATCTATTATGACTTGCCAAGCGTTTATATAAAACTGTTTGTCGCATTTATTTTTCAGAAAATCAACGTACGTTTTCAAATCTGCTATCTGAAATAAAAAATATACGTGTAATTCAAAACTATATATAAAATCATTACTAAAACTGGTAAAAATAAAATAATTTGTAGTAAATTCCTTTTGACTTACCATTCCAAATTTGATAGAACAATTTATAATGTATTCCCAATATTTATGTTCCTCTAGGAAATACGTCATGCAAACGGCGCCCATACACTTAATGGCCAGAGGTTTACCCATATGAGATAATTTCTTAAGCAATTCTTTTTTACTCATCACATTTAGGGTTTCTATATTCAACATTATTCCTAGAGACTCCAATTCGCTTAATAGAGCTAGCTTATCAACATATTTACTAAAAAAGAAAAATAAACACTAAGTGGGTAGATTTGATTTGTAATTTTTTGATTAGTCAATTCAATGGGGCATGCTGTTGAAAAATATAAATTTCCTGAGAAAGGGAAAGAGGCGAGGGGGCAGCAGACACTTTTTAACACTTATTTTAATTAAATGTGAGAGCTACAAATGTAACAATAAAAACTACTTTATTTCGTTAAGATTATACAGTTTATCACAAAGAAAAATTCACAAACTTTTGACTCTACGTTAATACATATTTTTAATAACTAATTAAAGAAAAAACTGTTTTAATTTGGCGCCGACTGAACCGCACGCGCAAAATACTGATGAGTGTAATTATTGTAAAAAATCAGTTACTGCTAGTGTAAAATGTAAAATCTGTGACTTGAAATATCATCCATCGTGTGCGCAAAGAGTAAATGCTATCATAAGATGCTGTAAACCAAAAGTTATTGAAAAATCTAAGACTATGGATCAAGAAAAAAGTAAAGGTGATGTATTTTGCATTAAAACTTTTTAAAATTACTAGTAGAAGAACAAAAACTAGCAAACCAATTAATGAGTGAAAAAATAGAAATATTAAAAGTTGAACTTAAAAATGAAAAAACGAAATATTCTGATCTGCAAACACAATATAACGAAATAAATCCTAAATTAATGATAATAAAAGACCAGTTTTTATAGAAAAACCAAAACAAACAAAAACTGAAAGTGTGAGTATACCTGTTGGAAATAAACATTTAATACCAAACAAAAATACAAGCGATTATAGGAATGCCCCTGTACAGGATGACTCATTCCTCCAAAGTACACAAGTTGCATTAGAACTAATGAAAATTCAAAACCTACAAAAAACTAATGAAATAATCTTGCAGATGATACCAATGATGAGGGGAGTCATGAGAATGATTATATCACAGTAACAAGACGGTAAAGGAGAAAAAACAAAACAATAGGTGATGAATTTAAAGGAAATCAAACAAAAAAATTTGGCTCTTTGTATCTAGAGTATCAGACACTGTAAATGAAGAGAATGTTAAGAAATACATTCATAAACGCACAAACGCAGAAGACATTTATGTGAAGAAACTAGGCACATATTTTGTAAGACAAAATAATCAAGCTTTTCTAGTGGGAATAGATCCTTCTTTTCAGGAGCAAGTATATAAATCAGATTTTTGACCGAAAAATATAATTTATTCCCGATTCAACTTTAAACAAGGTCAACGATTTCTTAAAGATTCACAAAACCAGAGATAGCATAAGAGTGAAGAAAATTTTTCAAACCTAGCCTCTACTTCAAACCTGATAAAATAGGGACCTCAAGGACTACTATGGAAAACCACTTTTTGAAAGAAAATAATGAATTACTATTTTGCAGTACCCAACAGTTAAATATTACTTTAATGCATATCAATATACAGGGAGGTTTTGCCAATAAATGCTTTGATCTAAATGTAATTTTACAGAAACAAAATGTAAGTATTCTGTGTGTTACTGAACATTGGCTTGATTCTAACAATTTACAAGCTACCTCAATTGACGATTTTAAGCTAGTATGGGGGCATCCATTAATTACGTGAGGTGTTCAAGGGGGGGAGGGGATAAAACTAAATCTTTCTAAATCTCACTTGGGGGGGAGGGGGGCTTTTCGTAAATCTCACGTAATATTTTTTCTAGTAAAAAACGGTGTAAAATTGCGTGAAAGTAAAGTTAAATTATAGTAAAAGTATTTCTAGAATAAAATATGGAAAAATCTTATAATTATGTTTATTTATTTTTTATTAATTTCCATTTAAGTATTTATCATTTAATTTTATTAATGTGATTTTAAATAATTGCAACACCCTCAAACACTAGTCTTTGCTAGTCTTAAATAAAAGTAATGGAACATATTGTTTTTGTTTTTTTTTTTTTAATAATACAACACATTTACACCCAAAACACGAATTTTGAAAAATCTCACGCGATATTAGGGAAGGGGGGGAGGGAGTTAAGGAAAATCTTACCAAATCTCGCCAGGGGGGGAGGGGGAGTCAAAAAATCCTCCAAAATACCTCACGTAATTAATGGACGCCCCCTATCATATTTTTCACGGATAAATAAAGAAAAAGGCGGTGCTAGTATATTTATGAAAACAAGTATTGCTGCAAATTTTGAATCAATTAATTTACATAGGTGGTGCATAGAAGGTGAATTTGAAGTATGTGGTGGAAAAATAAAGATCGATTCTAAACTTTTTTAATTTATTATTACTGTGTATAAGCCACCTTGTACTAAGTTTAGCACTTTTATAAATCAGATAAAATAATCACTATTTTATCTGTGGTGATATTAACGTAGATTTTTTTATTGAAGGTAATCAAAAAACTGTTTTAATTGACTTATTGAAGGAATTTAATATTAAACATCATATAAATGTTGCAACGAGAACAACAAGTACAACCTCAACTTGTTTAGATAATTTTTTTACCAATTTTGATGTAGATAAGGTGGATGTATATGATACTTTTTTGTCTGATCATAACTACTTGTTATGTTCGATTAAACTACCTAATTTTGAAAATAACGAATTTAAATACATATATAAATGAGATTTAAGTGATCTTAACGCAATAACTTTTATATATATTTTATCAGTTGAAAATTGGCGTGAAGTATACACATTTAATAATTTTAATGATAAATTTTATATCTTTTATGAATCATTCCTATACCACTACAATATTGTATTTACGAAAACAAAGAAAGCGATAAAACAACAAAAATTAAAAAATCAGTTTCCACCTCATATTAAAGAGTTACATAATCTATTATGTCAAATGAACAGGTTAAAGAAAGAAATAAATTCTACATATTATACAGAACGTTACAATAATTTAAAAAAAGAGTATCAAAAAATAACAAAACAATATTTGAGAAGAAAAAAATAATGATCGTATTTTAAAAAGTAATAACGTAATGAAATAATCCTGGAATATAATAAACGAGTAGGGGAATAAGAAAAAACTTATTGAATCCTATTAAACTTACAAATGATGACAAATGGACACCCTTAAAAAAAGTAAACTGTACCAATGACTATTTTATTAATGTCAACAAAAATAATATTGTACCTAACTATACTATGAGTACTGATAAACATCATAAAAGTTTTTTTCTTTTTCCAACAACTAGTGAAATCATCACTATAATAAAAAAAAAACTACTTGTAAACCCACTGAAGGTTTTCACGAAATAAATGGTAAAATTCTGTTATCGGTTGCTCATTGTATTGCTGAACCCACATCACATTTGACTATTGGGTCCTTTGTTTCGGGATTATTTCCAAATATGAAGGAATCTAAAGGAATTCCTGTTTATAAAAATAAGGGATCTATAACTAAAATATTTGAGTCAGCATACTTTATTAGACTCACTAATTACCTTGAAAGTTTTAATATATTGCCAGATACTCAAAATGGATTTAGAAAAAATAAGTCAACATCTACTGCAATTGCAGCTTGCCTAGAGTTTATATATCAAGCCCCAGGATGAAATGCAAAAGAAGTACAGTTTTGTGAAAAACTTCAAAACCACAGAGCTGGGCTGCAAGAAAGAATGGAGCCAAGAATCCATCGCGCTTGCGACTGAAAGACGTGCTATTCAGTGGTACACGGACGGTTCCAAAACCATAGAAGGAACTGGAATAGGAGTGTATGGGCCGAGAACCAAGCACTCCGAAAGCTTGGGAAAATACCCAAGCATCTTCCAGGCGGAAATTCACGCCATCGAGAAGTGTATCCAGTTTAACATCGAGAGAAACTATCATAGACAAGAGATTATCATCATGTCCGATAGTCAAGCAGCCATCAAAGCGCTGAGTTCTTACGTAATCAGCTCAAAAATGGTATGGAGATGCCTAGAACAATTGAATGAGCTAGGCGAGAAAAATAGAGTTACTCTCACTTGGGTCCCGGGACATAACGGGGTACAGGGTAACGAGATTGCAGATAGTCTTGCAAGGAAAGGGGCTCAAACACCCTTTGTAGGACCTGAGCCGTTCTGCGGTATCAGCAGTAACATAATATTAGAAGAGATTAAAAAAGAATTGGGTAGTAGAAGAACCGATAATTGGAACAATCTCTTGGGGCTGAGACAGGCCAAGATACTTCTGGGTGAATATAACCAAAAAAGATCGGAAGCCTGCATCTGCCTGAGCAAGAACAGGCTACGTATTGTAACAGGGATCCTTACCGGGCACTGCCGACTAAAAGGACACCTAAGTAAACTGAGAGTAGTAGAGGATAGTGAGTGCAGATTCTGTGAGGAGGAGGACGAAACCTCCATTCACATCCTAACTGAATGTGTAGCACTCCAGAATCCAAGGGCACTATATCTAGGAGGATATCAAATAGAAGAGGGAGACTTACCTAACTTGAAGCCACTTCAAATCCTACACTTCCTTGAGAAAATAGGATTGGAAGGGTCGCTATAGGCATTGAGACATTTCCTTAGTGCAGTGGCGACAGAAGGGGGCACAATAGATCTTTTAGGTCGCAGTGTATTAACATCCCATTATCAACATAACATAACATCAAGCACTCAATGATAAAAAACATATTTTGGGACTCTCCTATGACCTTAGGCGTGCATTTGATATGGTGGATCCTAATCTTTTATTATTGAAGATGAATGGGTTAGGAATACGAGGGAAACGTAAATACAATGGTCTTACTAAATAAATCGAACTCAAGTAATTATAACAAATAGTCTAAAATCTGATCCTCTTCCATGTACAATAGGAGTTCCCCAAGGTTCAATTTTGGGCCCACTTCTTTTTATAGTTTTTATAAGTGATATAAGTAATTTTTCCTTAAGCTCTCAACAAATAGTTCAATATGCCGATGATATCAATATTGTAATGGCGGATGATCAAATTGAACAGGTCACTCAAAGTAGCAACGAGGCATCTCATGAGTTTAACCAGTATTGTAAAGATAATGGTCTGGCATTAAATGTAACAAAAACAAACTTCATGCGATTTCTACCCAAAAACATATTACCAGATTACGAACCCTACTTGCACGTTGACGGAAAAACTATTCAAAGCATAAAATTTTTAAGAATAATATTAGATCCCAAATTAAATTGGGAAACTCATATAAAAATGGTAACTTCAAAATTAAGTAAGGGAGATACTATCTTTTGATACTTTAAAACTATGCTATTTTGGTTTGGTTCATTCAACTCTACAATATGGGTTAATATTTTGGGGTTCTTCACCATACTTTGAAAGAGATTTTGTATCTCAAAAGAAGGTTCTAAGAGCCATGTATAAGGTGACACCAACAACATCATGTAAAGAACTTTTCAAGAAAACGCAAATTTTAACACTACCTTCCCTTTTTATTTTTCAACTAATTTTATACATAAAAGATAATGAGCATATATTTAAGAAAAATAAAGACCTGTACTCATATGATACTAGATTAAAATTTAACATCCATCAACCTTTTTCACGACTACAAATAAGCCAGCATTCACCAAAATATATTGGGATTAAGTGTTACAGTAAGTTCAGTAACATATTAGAAGATACTACAGGTTATCATCAAATTAGTCGTAATGATTTAAAAAAACATCTTAATGATTTTCTTGTAAATAATGTATTTTATAGTATAGAAGATTTTTTGAACTTTTAAACTAATCTTTTTATTTTTTAATGTATTTTACTTAACACTTTTTTGACTAGTCTGATAGGATTTTACATTATGTACCTAGTGTCTTTGTATAGTGTATAATTCTCAAAGATGAATAAGTTCTATTTCTCTATTTAAAAAAATAGCTGGCAAAACAGTACGTTATGCTTTAAAAGTGAATAAAACGGACTCGATTGCCGCGTTGCCAGATTTATCTTTGCTATGCTAGAAGTAGAAGTAAATACTGAACTTACAGAAACTCATCATAAGATAACTTCGTAACTTCAATTATTCTCGCTTCGTCTGTAATAGCACAAAAACACTTAGCAGCGTTCGCTTTGAAAACCATATTTCTGTCGCTGACATCTAAATCGTCCTCAGTTAGTACCACTTCTAACAGATACGTTTCCAAATGCTGTTGATTTCTACTGTTGCATATATAAATAGCCCTTTTTAAATTATCATCGTCCTCAACGCGGTTGAACGAATTATTCTTGAAGGGAGATAACGTTAGTGTGATATCGAAATCATTCGGACTGCTTAACCAACGTTTTAATAAACTGAATCTTATATTCCCGACATCTAAGCCGAAAAGCTCCGATATGGCATCTACTGCATCGTTGATATCTGCAAATAAATGAAAAACCAACAAATGTATATTTAATCAATATGGGACCGAAAATATACAATTCAATAACATGATCTAAAATCAATTGTTTACCTAAAACAGTTCAAAAAAATATTATTTACCTGAATAATCCAAACTCAAAGAAACTGTCTGCTTAGAAACCCTTTCATCCGTATAAAGGTTTTCGATCAGAATCTCGGGCTGCGTAACCAATTTCAAATAGATTTCTTTGTTCAAATTGTATCTATGCAAAACGTGTCTAACTGATAAACTGTAAAAATTGTTTGTAAGTTTTTTGAAGGTCTTTTCCACTTCGGAGTTATTCATATTCTGTCCTCTGTATTGAACCGCATATTTCAAACTCAATTCTGCTGCTTTCACTTTATCCGCTCCTGTAAGAAAATAATTTATTCGTCAACAATGTTAATTAAAAAATTGTAAAAAAAATATTAATACAATAAATAATAAAATCATTTTTACAATATGGAACATCAGAAATTATAAGAAAAACCATCTATACATATCCTAGAGAAATTAAAGATCTAATAAATAAAAAAAGAAATGCAAGAAAAAAGGCAAATCATCAGATTTCCTGAAGATAAGGTAGTTCTAAACTGACTAACACAATTAAATTAATTAATCATTATTAAAAATTAATCGATACACATATCTCAGAAAATTGACTAATGATAAAAATACTCTGTGGAAAGCTATTAGGAAGCTTAAACGTCCAATAGTCTACATGTCACCAATAAAAGAAGAAAACTGAAACTGGGCAAGATCAAATGAACAAAAAGCTGACATCTTGAAAATTTCAAAAGTTGTGGATATAATATTGTTTTCCCCAACCCTTGCTTTCGAGTGAAATAAAAAAAAATCTGATGGTGGTTTATTTATATACCAAGTTGTAACATTTTAAAATTACAGTTAAAAATGTTATTTTAATTGTGTGACATCCTGTATCAAATAGTATTCGATTAATTTAAATTCAATTATCGCCGCACGCAATATTCTTAAGAAAGGAAAATTACGTGAAGTGGGAGTTCAGTAAAGCAAACGATTTCGCCATTAGATCTCGAAATTTCCTTTCCCGATATTATCTCCTAGTGTTTGGCTGTACAAGTGGTAAGTTAAATAAGTATAATGTCGTTGTAAAAATATCTCGATAAAAATTATATTTCAACCTGTTGTTAGTTATAAGTTTTTTTTTTTGAAAGTCAAGTTAAATTTTTTAAATATGTTTTTATAATTTATTTTGGTTACTGGAATTGCACAGTGTTTATAGTAATTAGTTTCTATTGTATCTTGATTTAATTTAAGAGCCACGTGAAAAACAGAATCTATTTTTTGTTTAGAAAACGAATAGAAGCAGCTAAAAGCCAGATCTAGAACAAGAAACTAGAGTTAGTATTTATACCTGGGCTCCAAAGTATATATCTTCCATTTTGGACATTGAAGCAGTTTCCTGAAAGCAGAATTATAGAAAAAACGATATTTGGTGTTCGTTCCCGAGTAAACTGCATCCTAAGGAAGTTGCCACCCAAAACCATATAGTGGTAACTAGATAGTGGCTAATTTTATTATTGGAGATATAAAAGTTAAATTTATCAGCTTAAATTTAATATTTACATGTTTCTTAAAATTTTCACTTTTTACTGAATAAACCAATTCATTTTTATAAATATATATGTTGAATCTTATTTTTTTTTAAAGGTTACAACAATTCTCTTTTACCTAAATTTTATATAAGTTTTAATTAATTTCGTTTTGATAAAGCTAGAGTTTATAATTCTCACTAGCTTTTTAAAAATAAAAAAAAGAGAATTATTGGCGCCCATCTCTCCCAGAAAACTATTATCCCCAAAGGTGTCTATTAGAAAAGCCGAATTCACGACTGAGAAAACTATATGATCAATGTGCTCATTTCTTTTAAATTTTATTAGAGGTAAGTAATGTTTGGTGTTAAATTTCTATGAGCTAGTCAAAATTTCTTATAAGTATTTTCAAATTGACATTTTATTACAAAGTAACGCCGAGGTATTACAAAGTGTATCCAGAAATTAAGTACCGTTTCGCATTCCCGCCGCTGCTGCGCGGCGATCGGCATTCCGCGCATGCTAGCTAGTCGTCCTTGATCGTCTGCTATCTCGCGGTGTTTTGTGACCGAAAAGGTGTACTGTTGGTTGAATTTCCCTCAAAAAATGAAACCATCAATGCAGCCACATACACTCAGACTTTGAAAAATCATCGATGTGCGATACAGAACAAAAGGAGAGGGAAGCTCAGCAGAGGAATTGTTCTGCTTCAGGATAATGCTCGGCCAAACGCTAAGTGATACACAAACTCTTATTCAGCAGTTTGGATGGAAGCAGTTCGATCACCCGCCTTACAGCCCTGACCTGGCGCCATCGGACTATCCCTTCTTCTTACAATTAAAGCGGGATCTTGGCGAGAAACTTTTCCAAAGTGACGACGAAGTGAAACTCGGTGTGCAGCAATGGTTCACATCACTCGCGGCATTGTTTTATGAGGTAGGACTAGATAAGTTGATCGACCGCTACAAGTGCCGAAACTATGTGGGAAAGTAGTTTAAATATTCTTTTATTGTGACAATAAATTAAAAAAAAAAAATGTTTTTCTACGCCCATGTCATTAAACGTTAAAAATCGCACTGTCAAATTCCTTGTAAATGACATTTTCTTAGTTTAATCAAATTGCAATTAAATTTTTATCTACGTCTACGTATCTATTTGGTCTATTTACATAAATGTAGTCAATTGAAAAACATAAAAACTTTTATTATTAGCGAGATACATTTTGGATTAAAAAAGTGATGACCCTAAATGTCGGCAACACATTATACAATTTTTCAAAAAATAAGTCACGTTTTCTTAGCATGCTATGGAAATAAACGTCTTGTCATTTATATTGTCAATTTTTGTAACAAAATATTATTGTATTCGAATATTTTCTCAACTTTACCTACGAATATATCTGTTAGTAGTGAAAATGATGAAATTATGAGCACTCCATCGGAGATTTTAGAAAAAGCTCAAGCTCTCACACATACTAAAATCCATAAAAGGTACGAAATTACCTATCGAAAATTTATAGATTGGCGACAGTAGCATATGTCCTTTATTTAATAGAAGAAAATAAGTGGGGGTAGAAAAAGTATAGTACGTTACACGAGTTTTAAGCCCATTACGCACTCGCCGCTGCGCGGCTTCGTGCGTAAACTTTTTCACTTCGTGCGTAATGGGTTTCTTACAACTCTTGTTACGTAATATACTATTGCTATATCTTTTTCCACAAAACGGTACTTCATTTTCGAATACGCCTCGGATTTTGTATGTCAGGGATATCTAAAAAACCGAAAATCCCCTTTAAATGCATGTGCGACCTTTAATACGTTAAATAACTTTTTTTTAATTTTCAACCTTTATGAAGGACTTCACGAAATATTTCTTGGACATTTCAAGAGTTATGGTTTCTATGATCTTTTTCTCAAACCCTTGATTTCAGGTAAAATTAAAAAAAATTGAATTTTTTTCCTATCGGTCGATTATTTATAATTTTTTTGTCAGGGATATCTTAAAAAATCGAAAATCACCTTTAAAAGTATGTGCGACCTTTAGTCTAGATAGAAGAAAAAAAAACTTGGAAAAAATGGTCAAAAATATTTCTCGGTTTCAAAATATATTCCATGTTAAAAAAAAAACCTATCCACTTCGTATAAAAATATTTTTTGGACTTTCAACCTTATGAAGGACTCTCCGAAATATTTCAAAAGTTATGGTATCTATGATCTTTTTCCCATACCCTTGCTTTTGTGTAAATTATAAAAAAAATGTTTTTTTTTCTGATCGGACCATTATTTATAAATTTTTTTATGTCAGGTGTATCTTAAAATCGTCTAAAAAAGACAAAAATCACAATTAAAAGTATATGCGACATTTAGTTTAGAAGAAAAAATAAAAAAAAATTCCTAGACTCAATTTATTAAAGAGAACAAAAAAGTAATAAAAACTCCACATAAAGACGTAGCTAAGGAAATCCAAGAATGTATTAATTCGAAGCACTTCATAGGTGAAATATTAAAAAAAATTACCAATAAAATCTTTAGAGAAATAAAATATGTGATAGGTATAGAAAATAAATTAAAAGTTTAAATATTCGATAATTTTTATAATTACCATTTGGTATATTGTTCATCAATTCGTAAACGACCGAGGTTGCACTTTCCAAATTCTTTATATTCTGAACGCATTCATCAACCTTATGAAGAAGATCATCGAATTCGGAATAAAGCTTCCAATCGTTGGGTACATAGGTTCCTAAAATACCACTGGAAACCTAAAAAAAAAGAATTTAACTCACGACTGATTTTGTTGATATCGAATCCAAAAAATTGCGATCTTGGCCAACATATTACAGAATTAATTTAAAATACTACACTATTACACATCAATGCATTTCCTAAAGAGCCAGCTGTCAATCACAATTCAAACTTTCATTCACTTTGATTTGGACTTAATATTGAACTTTTTTTTTTTAGAATTTGCGTTAAACTATATATGTTTATTCTGCCTACCTACAGACTTTTTTAAACTACAAAACCATTTATATTTTAATATTTTCTTTAAGAGCAAATCAAACACCTTGAAAATTTCTAATTTCAATAGCTAGTAAATGTCCACATAAATTAGAATTTAAGTAAATGTCTATATAAATTAGTATTAAGTACAAATAAATTGGTGTATAAGTGTGTATATATAAATTAAAATAATAAACAGTTTTAAATATATAAATGTCATGAATTTAGAAGATTGTTCTTAATAATAACTATTATTATTTCATTTTCAACCTTTCCTATTCAAATACTACAATATTTGTTGACTTACCACATTTTTTACAGCATACACGCATATATCATCTACTTTCAAATTGTTAATCAATATAGATGTAGCATTAAACCACAATTTGTAAGAAGTCAAACTGACTTCGGGTCTTAAAATGCTCCAAATTTCCGAAGAAAACAATAAAGGTATAAAGGGTACGCGAACTTCGGAAAGCGGATCCAAAATTTGCGTGTCTGGAAACGTTATGTACCACGCTTCTTTCTCTCTTTGACTGGGCCTTCCGAATCTAGTATATTCTTTCAAAAATAACACCATCTTTTTATCCTCGGAGTAGGTTGTTTGGGTATTATCTTCTAAGAGCTTGTAGATGGTCAAAAAGACTTCGTAATAATAGAAATTCACCTAAAAGTTTATAAAATTTGTTACATATTACCTAGAGTCGAAATAAAAGGTACAACTTTCAGTACCAGGCAGTACTTGATTAGATTAATAAGCTTATTCTATCTATTTGTTCAGTAGCGTACGCTGTAGAGTTATTATTGTCGTTATAAAAAAGTAATTTTAAAAAACTGACTTTAAATCGGAGATGCCTATAAAAAATGAGATTTTTGATTTTCTCATAGATCATCAGATCCTGACCAATTATATACAGAACTACCCCTGAGGTATCCCCTCTCTAATAAAAAAAAAAAAGAATTATAGAAATCGGACAAAGTGGTAAAGAATTATAGCTGAAAATACATAAAAAAGAGTTTGATGATTTTCTCATGGACCGCGTTATTATATCTTGACCAACTTTCTATGAGACCACCTCTGAGGTACCCCCCTTTCTAACAAAAATAGAATCATAAAAATCGAACAACGTAGTAAAGAATTATCGCTTAACTTATGCACTACATATTTTGATACTTTTTGTTTAAATGTTTACTTTCATGTACTAATGTACTAATTTTTTATTTTCTTCCTTTTTCCGTCACCCTGTAATTGACATAAGTTGTTTTGGTGATGTAGTTATAAATAAATAATTATAATATTAATATTTTTTATAATTAATTTATGCTTATTTAAAATTGTACTTTTATTTAGATTGCAATTCGAACTCCGGCACTTGTTTATACCGTAAATATAACTTAATTTCAATTCAATTACCTCTTTTAATATGTTTACCATGTCTAAAAATGCTCTTGCTTTATCTTTTATTGATTTAATAATTTTTTGACATTTTTTGTAAAGACTGTCTTCATTATTTTCTACAATGAGTACTTTTTTGTCCCTCATCTTTTCAATTTTATATTGTGGCGTAAAATTTAGTAGAGAACTGAAAAAAAAAATCAGTGACAATTTCACAATAATTTGTATTGTAAAAGTAAATGTAAAATTGTTATTAAGTGTATTTTAGTGTATTTAAGCGTATTTAAATACATTTAAGTTCATTATAGTATACTTTAGAAATAAGACAAAGAAATAATAAAAATAATAAGGAAATAATAAAGAAATAGTAAAGAAAAGAAATAATAAAGAAATTACAAAACAAAGAAACAAACACAGAAACACAAGGAACGCAAGAAAAACATGAAACGCAAGAAAAGCAAGAAACGCAAGAAAAACATGAAACGCAAGAAAAGCAAGAAAAATAAAGAAATAAAATTTAAAGAATCTAAAGAATTTAAAGAATCTAAAGAACCTAAGAATCTAAGGAACCTAAAGAATCTAAAGAATTTAATATTAAAGAAATAAATATATGTAGAGAAAGATATTATTAATTAATTTATACTTAAGTACACATTACATAATAGTAATATAAATTAAAGCAGAAATTAAAATAAATTTCAAGAAAACAAATAAATTAGAGGCATGACGATTACGTTAACAAGTATTAGAAATTAAAAATTTTAAAAGACCGACTTCAAAAACGTGCAGATGTCATCACCACATCTTAACCAAATTTATATCGGACAAGGCGGTAAAGCATTATCGCTAAACATACATAAAAAATGAAGAGTTTGAGGATTTTCTCATGGACCCAATTATTAGATTGTGACCAAATTTATATGGGACCACCCCTGAAGTAGCCCCTTTCTAATAAAAAAAGAATCATTAAAATCGGACACCGTGTTAAAGAATTATCGCTGAACATACATAAAAAAAATTGCGACGAATTGAGAACCTCCTCCTTTTTTGAAGTCGGTTAAAAACATTATGTAATTAAGTAGAAAAATTTATTTTCACTTTGAATGTTCAAAAATAGTTTTTAATATGTCTCAAATTTTATTCGGGGATGTTCAAGAAATTAATTTATTTTCTCCAATAATAAATATTTCCTGCATTAAAACCTCTCTTACCTTTTTAAATATTCTCGATAGTATTCATCGACATCTAAATTAAAGTCTTTGCAATACGAATTGATTTCTTCAAATCCAACTGCATCGAGATTTATTACTAATTTTAATCTCGCATCAGGGACCGATTTAAAAAATTCCGTGTAGATCATTTTAGAATGGACAGGCGCTAACCTGCTCCACCATTTGCAACTTTTGACGGCATCTATCATAATTTCTCTTCCTTCGGTGTCTTTGAAAGAATCTAGTAATTCAATACCTAGAATTTTTGTTTTTATTTTATTTATTTATTATAGGGGAAAACCTCTTTATAGAAAAAAAAAAAAAAATGCAATATAGTATATTAGATTACGAGTGTGGAAAGTGACATTTTTCACACGAGTGGGAAATATTTTCGCACGAGGCACAAGCCGAGTGCGACTATCACGTGAGTGTGGAAAATCACTTTTCACACAAGTGATGTACAATATTTTTCCTACGACCACAAAATAATTTCATCAAAAAATGTAAAACCAGGTTATTATAATAAATAAAATTAATTTAAAAAAACAATAATAATCGATATGTTTTAAATCAAATTATAAATTGTAGAAGGTTTTGTGGAGCTTTTGAGTTAGCTTTAAATGGCCACGATGAGAAAGATAATTCGGAAAATAGAGGCATATTTAAGGAGCTGGTGAATTTTTGCGCCGAATTAGACAACGACTTAAAGATTCATATTCAAAGTTCAAAAGCTGTCAAATGTACCTCAAAAACAACCCAAAATGAACTTCTTGAGTACATGTTAGATATTTATCACAAAGAAGTTAGGAAATAAATAGAAAATTCTCCTTTTGTTGCAATGATTGCCGATGAAACAGCGGACGTTGCTTGTGAATTTCAATTAGTTATAGTTTTCAGATATTTGTGTAAAGGACGACCAGTTAAGAGATTTTAGAGGTTTTACATGCTCGATGGACACGGCGCTAAATCAATCACTGAATGCATTTTAAATGTGTTACATCCATTATTAAAACATAGTCCAAATAAATTAATTGCTCAAAGCTATGACGGCGCGTCTGTAATGAGTGGTGGATTAAATGGTGTGCAAAAAATTATTAAACAAACATATCCTCTTGCAAATTACGTTCATTGCTATTCACACCAGATGAATTTAGTTATAACAAGTGCATGTTCTGTCAATAAGCAGGCTAGAATATTTTTTCTAATTTATCTGGTTTGTGCTCTTTCTTTTCCACGTCTCGTTAAAGAACAAAAATTTTGGATGAGGTAGTTAATCGCAGGTTGTCAAGATCTTCCCAAACACGTTGGAATTTTCAATCGCGAGGTGTTCATACTGTTTATGAGAATTGAAAAGACCTCATTACAGTTGTGGACATTATAGAAAGTACTTCACGCGATTCGTCGTCTATTAATCAGGCAAGTGGGTAGAAATTGAAACTTCAGGATAAAAATTTTATATTTTGGTTAAGTATTTTTCATCAAATAATGCCTCACGTGAAAATTATTTTTAACCAATTACAAAAAGTATGCACAGATTCTGTTAAGGACAAGAAAGATTTGGAAAATTTCGAAGCAGCAATTCAAAGTATACACGGGAGCAAATGGACAGCATTATTGACAATATTCAAGGAGAAATAAACACGTCGCAAGGAGAAACTGGTGAACCAATAAGAAAAAAAGCACGAATTGAAGAGAACAGCAGAAAACGCGAAGCCTTAGAAATATGTGATGCCGTTTTATTGCAAATAAAAACAAGGTTCAACTTTGGGCATTTGGTCGCTTCTAATTTATTTATGTCGGAGAAGTTTTCGGTCTATAGGCATCAGTTTCCCGAATCATTCCATAATGAAACATGTATACAATTTTCATTTTTAGACAAAAATATGCTTAAAAGTGAATTACAAGAACTGTATCAGAGAGACAAATTAAGTACCACCTCCGGAGCTGTCCCGCTGTCAATTTTATTAAATGAGAAAAGTTTAAATTGTACATTTCAGGAAACTCTTAAACTTTTAGGTATTTTGATAACAATACCTATGTCAACATCTGAAGCAGGGCGCTGTTTTTCAATGTTTAAACGGATTAAAACATTCCTCAGAAATACAATGAAGGAAGAAATACATTTTGTAAATGAAATTGAAAATTTTAATAATAAAGTAATTAAAAACTTTGTAACCAAAAAAGAAAGAAGAATGGACTTCATTTATCGGAAACTTTGAAAGTATATCAAGCAACTTTGTGAGCCTGTGTAAATACTGTAAATAGGTATAGTTTTATTTTCGTAATTTTTTTGGTATATGGACCTAAATGGACATTAATTACTGGGGGTAAGTTAATTTATAATTTTTAATTAATTTTATAGAGGTCTTTGATAAGTTTTGGCAAAGTTTAGGATAAGATTAACCCTGACGGCCTGTTTCTTGGCAAAACTTGTTTTAGAAACCCCATAAATAGTAGTCATATAATAGATATAAAAGTATCCGTCCTTCATTTATTTTTTTAATTAAAATTTTATATCTATTTTGACAATACCGTGATAAATTTTTGCCCAAAGACAGTTTTTTAAACGACTTTTGGGTAAAAATTTGGGCGTGGCATCCCAAAAAATTTTTCGCCTACGCTGGGGGACCTCTGACAGGGCGCCTCCGGCGGGGTTTTCACATTTGGTAAAAATCTGGCACTACCATCTCGTATTGTCACGAGCCGCCACTGGTTTGAAGTACTGCTGCCAATCTTCACTATCTGGATCCTACCAGTTAAATAGCTTTAAAGCCATGAAATCGAAAGATCAGGAAAACCTAAAAGATGAAGTTTGTGTAATAATAATGAATGGTTCACACGATCGAAGGCTTTACAGAAGTCAGAATAAATTGAATCCACCTGCAGATCGACACCAAATTGGGAAAGAATATCCTGCTGATAAACCATCAAATTTGTTGATTTACCTCTGGAAAAACCATGTTGTTCATGGATTATTAAATTATTACAATGCCAAGAAGGATCACAGACCATAAATTTTTCAAAAAGTTTAGGAGTAATGGATAGCATACTAATAGGTCTGTAATTCTGAATAGCTTAAATGGATTAAAATTTAAGAGGAACAAGAAGAACAAGTGTTTCTAGAGTATCTCTTTTAGTTTTTTTAACAAACTTAGAGTTTTCTTTAAAATTTAGTTAGTTGAAAATTGGATACGACCAAGCAGATTTTGGACAATTTGATTAATTTTAAAATATTAAATTGCTACACGTGAGTTTATTTTTAAAAATTACACTAAAAATTTATTGAAAGTTATTTTAAAAACCGTGTTTTATTGTTTTTTTTTTTTTAATTTTATATTACATTTTAGTTTGGTAAAACTTTTCAAAATATATTTAATAAAAACATTTTTGTTCATAAAGTTTTAAGATCTACATTGTTTTGCTTTTTAAAATTATCTCTAAATTTCATCTCAATATTCTAAATTCTACAAAATACTTACCAACCCTCGACAAATCTTTAAGTTTCCTAAAATTTCGTCTATGCGTTTGCAAAAAATAGGTAAGACATTGTTTGTAGTCCTGCGGCATAGCTAAAAATAAATTGTACAATAGCTCCAAATCAATGTGTTCAGCCGATACAACTGCATTAATCAATTGTACCAAACATTTTTTGTCGAGCAGCAATTTTAAAGGTTTTAATACGCTAATCTCTTGAGATGGATGCAAAACCAGAGAATTCGCGACTGTCGTTAGTAATGAGTACGCCGTCAGGGCTTGGCCTTCTCTACAAAATGTGTCTATTGCCGACGCAAGAGTTGTATTAATGGATGTTTCTGTTAATAGTTCCTAAAAAATATTGCAAATTAAAAAATGGGTCAGATAACCAATTGACAGAAGAATATTTTTTTTTAAATTAAATTTTTTCGATTTTAAATATTTTCCCACTAATGATTTTTTGTTTATTTTAAAGTTTTTTAGAAATTATCTTTGAGTAAAAAAAAAGATTTAAATGATTTTCAATATAACTGGTCCCATACTATTTAGTAATTTGATATTGTTATTCAAATATAAAGTACAAGGTGTCCCATTTAAAAAAATCGGATGAATTAAATTATTTTTAACTTTTTGCCATATACATCTCGCTGTGAACAAATTACAAAAAAATTAACTAATAGTATATTATGCAACGATCATGTAATGATGGTTATTAATACACGAGCATTAACCCGGATACGAAACGAGCCAAAGGCGAGTTTCGTATGGTTTATGCGAGTGTTTTAATAACCATTACATGAGAGTTGCATACGCTATTTTTTCTACACCCGATAAATAATCAAGACCTATAAATATTATATTTATATTGGTATTGAACACAATAACAGTAATTACTCGTATTTCTATAAAAAATTCTACAAAATTGTAATTAATGGTATTACTTCAGGTATTAGTATTTCCCTAGATTTTTGCGGTAAAATATTTTGTACTGTATTTTCTGCTTTCTCCGATATGTGTGGAGGAGTCTTCTATATCGCTAATATCAGACATTTTAATATTATAATTATCGAAGTTTAGCTACCTACGAAAATTTAATACGTTTTGACAACTAAAATAATTACATAGGAACCTAGGACAAACAGCATGCTTGATTGAAAAATTGTAGGTTTCTATTGATTAAAAATCTGTATCGTAATGAAAAATCTGTATCATAATGGGTATCATTATGAAACGGATTTTGGGCATATAAGTGCATTATTATAATACGGGTGTAGAAAAAAGTCTATTTCAATCCGAGATTCAGCGCATGTAAACAATGATCAGCGCGTGATCGCCTCGTGGATTGCTAGAATCTGCAATGCTATTGGTCAAACGGCCATAAACTGCTAAAGCTCCTCTTTACCGTTTTGATGCAGATGCATACTGAGATTCAGTGTGAAGTGCATCGTCGTTAAATGTGTTGTTTGAATTGAATCTTTTTAAATACCGTTACCTTGTAGTTTGAATATTGTGTTTTATTTAAACACTTTTTGTGTATTGTTTAAATACTTGTTTGGTATATTAAATAAAATATCCAGGACACTTGAACATGTCTAGCACGGATACAGCTGATGAGTCTATAGAAATGTATTTGTCTCCTCCTAGGCAAAGGTCGAAAAAGTCTCATTTCGACATAAAAAGCAAGGAAATGATTTTAAACATTTATAAGCATGAAACTCAAGAAAATCCAACATTACTTAAAGATGAAATTGCAAACAAAGTGGCAAGTAAAACAAGAGTGTGTGGTCGCAGCATCTACAAAATTATCAAAGAATATACCACTAACCATACATTTTCGGCGCCAAAAACCAACCAAAATTGTAAAAAAATTGTAGATTTGGTGGATGACTTTGATAGAAATGCAATCAGAAGAATAGTGCATCAATATTTTTTTAAAAACGAACTCCCTACAATTGATAAGGTACTTAAAGATATCAGTGAAGCTCTGGTCCTGCCAAGTTTTAAACGCACTACATTGTATAGATTATTGAAAACATTAAATTTCAAATATCTAAAACGAGAAAGAAATAGCTTGCTTATAGACAGGGATGAAATAGTGCTATGGAGAAGAGAGTATTTACAAAAAATAAAATCCTACAGGAATGAACATAGAAAGATTTATTTTGTAGGCGAGACTTGGGTAAATGGCGGACATACCAAATCAAAAATATGGGTTGATAATTCTGTCACTTCCTCAAGACGGGCATTTTTTGATGGACTTTCAACAGGATTAAAAAATCCATCAGGTAAATTATAGTCGTATTATATTATTTACTTTCAGTATATGTATATTTTACAATTTTGGTATCTATCCGGCTGATTGAATAATATCTGATATTCAAGACTGGCTACGTTCTTAAATATACAATTTGATGAAACATTACTCAAAGTGCAACTTTTAGCAATAATTAAGGAGCACAGAAAAAAATATGATAAATATGTCATCGCTGAAATGGCTAAAACTCAAAATAAAATTGTTTTAAGGCTACCACCATATCACTGCGAGCTTAATCCCATTGAGTTAATTTGGGCTGACATAAAAAAATTTGTTGCGGAGCATAATAGTACATTTAAATTTGCTGACATGAAAAACATCTTTCATAATGCAATAGCTACCATCACGTCAGAAAAATGGAAGAAATGCATTGATCACGTGCAGAAAAAGCAAAAAATGGAGCAAAAAATGTGGAAATTAGACAATATTATGGAGCAACAAATTGAACAATTTGTAATAAATGTGAATGAGAGTGTCACGTCTTCTGACAAACTAGAATGGCAACAGTAAATACAATAATCTTCACTCAATATAAATATTTGTTTTTTTTTCACGTCGACGATTGAAAATGCTATTCTAACCTGTTCTAACTTTTTTTAAATATTTGTTTAAAATTGGAAAAATATGTATGATGGCTTCATAAATACCGCTCTAAGTGTCACCTTGTATATTTTTAATATATTTTCTTCCAATTTTCGTTGGTATTAAGGTATTGAAAATGTATATCTCTAAAATTCTTAATTTAAATACATTAAAACTACATTGCAATAAAATGTTGTCCTCATTGCGGCCCTGGTCAAAAATTACATTCGCGTGCTTTTGTGTACATTTACTGAATCTCGGATTGGAATAGCCTTTAGTTCTGGCGCTATAGACCGAGGAGTTACCGATGGCCCACCCTGTATACAGTGTGTCTACGCATACATTTATTTTATTTATTAAATTCTTGTAAAAACCAATACTTAACGAATATTAGTAAAAATTTCATATGTCCAAATTTTAATAAATTCCAGTAGAAATTTAACGAACTCTGTTAGAAATTTAATTAAATCTAGTAAACATTTGGTTAAAGTTTGTTAAAACCCAAAAATTTTATAATTTGCACCAAAAATCCAATAACATCATTTTATTAAATACTTTAAGTAAAAGCTTATTGAATTTTCGTAAAAATCAAGTGAAATCTTATAAAACTCATACCTTGTAACGAATTCTAGTGAAAACTCTTAATATGAGTAAAGTTTAATGAATTCCGATATAAATTTTATGAATTCCATCAAAATTTATGGAATTCTTCTAAAAAAATTGATATTGATGAAAATTTCCTAATCTGAATAAAGTTGAATGAGCTCCAGTAGAAATTTAATTCACGTAAAATTTGCAGAATTCTTGTAAATGTAATAATTTGCACCAAAAATTTAATAGCACCGATGGAAATTTAGTGAATTTCTGTATAAATTTAATAAATTCTATCAAACTTCATTGAATTCTTCTAAAAATGCATGCAATGTATTTTTGTGAAAATTTCCCAATCTGAGTAAAGTTAGATGAATTCCGGTAGAAAATTCTTGTAAAAACTCCAAATATTATAATTAGTACCAAAAATGCAGTAACACTATTTTATTATAGAATTATGATGGAATATTAATGAATTTTTATACAAATGAATTCCATCAAAATTTATTAAATTCTTCTAAAAATTCATATGATGTAACGAATTTTAGTGATAATTCTTAATATATGTAAAGTTTAATGAATTTCGGTAGAAATATAATTAATTTATGTTTAAACTTAACGAATTACTTTAAAATTTATTAAGTTTTTGATGAAAATTTGCTAATCTGAGTAAAGTTGAATGAGCTACTGTAGAAATTTATTAAATTCTTCAGAAAATTCATATAATTTAGCTAATTTTTGTGAAAATTTCTTAATTTGAGTAAACTGCAGTAAACATATGGTGAATTCCTCTATAAACTCAAAAATGTAATAATTTGCACCAAAACTTTACTCAGATTAGTAGTTTTCGCTAGAATTAATTACATTGTATGAGTTTTGCAAGAATTCACAAAAATTTAACTTCAATTCATTAAGGATTTACTTGATGTCTATATTAAAATGGCGTTATTGATTTTATTATAGACATCAAAATGTATTGAATTATTTTAAAAGTTCATGTAATGTAACGAATTTTACTGAAAATTTTCTAATCTGAGGAAAGTTGAATGAATTCTACTAGAAATTTAATAAATTCCGGTAAACTTTTCGTGAATACTTATAAAATTTTAAAATATAATAATTTGTAACAAAAATACAGTAACACTATTTTATTGTAGACTTTAATGAATTTCTGTGGGAATTGAATGAATTTCAACAAAATTAATTGAATTCTTCTAAAAGTTCATACAATGTAACGAATTTTAGTGAACATTTCCTAATCTGAGTAAAGTTGAATGAATTCCGTAGAAATTTAATAAATTCCTGTAAAAATTTGGTGAATTCTTGTAAAAAAAAACTCGAAAATCTAATAATTTGCACTAAAAATGTAATAACATTATTTTATTATAGAGATTTCAAGTATAAGTTTAATGAATTCTAGTGAAAATATTCTCATTTGAATAAAGCTTTAATAAATTTCGGTATAATTTTAATGAACTCCGCTAGAAATTTAATGAATTCCAGTACAAAATTAATGAATTATGGTAAAAACAGGAAAAAATCAATAATGTTTACCTTGAAAAAACTTAAATATTTATTTTTCAACATCAGACAGAAGCATTCCAATTAAAGTACATTAGATCCCAAAAATGTTGAATTGATTTAACATTTAATATTTTCCAAAAAATAATTGAAATTATAATAATATAAATAGGCTGTATAAAAGTAATTAATACAAGATGTAACGAATTCCAGTAAGAAAGTGTTGAATTAATTTAAATAATGAGTTTCATAAATGAAATACGCTAAATAAAAAAAGAAAATGAACTAATATTAGATGTTACGAATTATAGTGAAAAAACCCGTAATCTTAGTAAAAATTGAATTAATTAATTTATATATTAATGGTAGTACTTTAATGAATTATGGTAGACGTTTAATAAATTATGGTAGACGTTTAATGAATTCCTAGAAAAATTCAATGAATTCCAATAAAAAATTAGTGAATTTATGAATTTGATTTTCAATAAAATTAAATTGACTTTTTCTAAATATGATGCACCAAAAATTCATTAAATTCCTGAAATACAATATAACTTAAATAATAATTTCAAGCAGTCAAGCAACTAATTAAATACATGTAGAATTTTATAAAACCGGCTAATCATTTAAAATATCAAATTTTAGTCAATCACATCAAACAAAAAACATCTGGTTTGTCTAAAATTTTAATAAATTATAATTCAATTTGATAAATTCCAATTATATTTAATCAAAAACAACAGAAAATCTCCTGACCCGAATATTTTTTTGGATAACATATTTTTATCATTAGAATAAGACCAGTAAGTATTTGTATTCTAACCTGACTTATCTAGGGTTGGTTTTCATGAAATTAAGTCATAACTTGGAGTCTATTTTTTTAGTTACACTATTATTATAAAATATTTAATTGATATTAAAAAAAAAGTAATTCTTCATAATTTCATTTGTATGTTAAATAAATGCGATTCACGTTGAGAAATTTCGAATTTGTTGTACAGGGTGTGCAAATAATTGTATTAAGAATGTTTAAATTTTGAGTCCATCGGTAGAAACACTAATACATATAAAATCGATATCGTTAACATTGTTCTTTTCTATACCTGAATAATTAAATTTTTATAAATAAACTTACCTCTTCTAATTCCATGTTTGATGGGAAAACAGAATAATATTCAGAGTCTTTGTGGACATCTAAAAAATTAAATAATTTTATCTATGCTCTGTTTTTAAACTAGGAGGAGCGAATTGAAAAGACTCATTTACACAGGGAAAAGTAACTAGATTTGTTACTATACTCTGTTTTTAAACTAAGAGGAGTGATTTGAATTTAAGTTGGCAATTCTGTAGCCTTCTGATTGGTCAGATTATAGTCAGTTTCACACATTACTTTTTAGCATGAACATAAGCTAATAATTGATATTGTTGACAGTTCTGACATTTTGTAGTTTGATATCTCATCCATTACTTAGTTTTTTACTTTATTTCGTAAACAATAGTTCTTCAGTAAGCAATTGTATTGAAAATCTACAATTATGGATCCTTCTACACTGAGTACTATTAAAGGTAGCAATTCCTGAAAAGCCTTACAAGAAAGGGAAGACACATTATTTTACATGCTGATTCTGAAGGTTTTGTAGAAAATGCATTATTGGTTTTTGAAAGTAAAAAGATGGGAGATTACCGAAGTATTTTGGAAAAAAATAATTTTATTACAGATTTTTTAAAACTAAAAATTGATGAATTTCTAACCAAAATGATTAAAATGTAACTAAATATTCAAGCAAATTTTATTTATTAGAATAGAATAAAACTATTTACAAAATTGTTATAACATTTAAAACACCATCTACTACTTTAGGGATAATCTTAATTTGGTACAATGAGTTAACATTATTTTCACAAAAAATATTTTAAAAATACTTAAAATTAATACATATGTATGTATGAATAGTTCACTTTAAAAAATATATGTTATATGTGTTATGAAAATGTTGGTTCCACTCGCTCTTAGTAACAAATCTAGTTACTTTTCCCTGTGTAAATGCGTTTTTTCAATTCACTCCTCCTAGTTTAAAAACAGAGTATAAGAGCGAGTTTCGAAATATAGTCGTGTTCAAAATTTATGAAATAATTATCTTTATCGGCCTTAGTCGGTAAACGGCCAATGAGCGGTTAAGAAACGAATAAATGTCATAGAAGTAATTTTTTAATTGGTCCCAGACAACGGTCGCAAATTTCACATTATTGTGATCTGAAATGTGTGTCTAAAACGAAATGTCACTGTCAAATTAAAGTCAATATGGTTGTTGATTGATGTCAGAAATACTTTTTTCTTGCTTTTGAAATCGACTTTTTGAGAATAACTATGATCTTTTTAAAATGGATATTAAATATTTAAGAAAATTGTTAATGGAATATCCAGATGTAGCCAGGTTAGTATAAAATATGAAGATCTGTTTACATTTTTAAGGATATATTTGTTATAGGTATAAAAATCAGTGAATTACAAGTGGATCACACAGTAACTGGTATCTCTTCTATGAGTAATGTGGATATTATGGCTTATTTAGTGTTAACCCATGGTTAATGCGCTAGAGGGCAAATAAAGGCATTCAAAAGTTTACAGGCCTATGAGTCAGAATTTGTTTTGAAAACTGGAACCAACATTTTCATAACACTACATGTCAACATATATTTTTTAAAGTTAACTATTCATACATACCTAAGTATTAATTTTAAGTATTTTTAAAATATTTTTTGTGAAAGTAATGTTAACTCATTATGCCAAATTAAGATTGTCCCTAAAGTAGTAGATGGTGTTTTAAATGTTATAACAATTTGGTAAATAGTTTTATTCTATTCTAATAAAATTTGCTTGAATATTTAGTTACATTTTAATCATTTTGGTTAGATATTCATCAATTTTTAGTTTTAAAAAATCAGTAATAAAATTATTTTTTTCTAAAATACTTCGGAATTCATCTCTTCATGGTAATCTCCCATCTTTTTACCTTCAAAAACCAATAATACATTTTCTACAAAACCTTCAGAATCAGCATGTAAAATAAGGTGTCTTCCCTTTCTTTTAAGGCTTTTCAGGAATTGCTACCTTTAATAGTACTCAGTGTAGAAGAATCCATAATTGTAGATTTTCAATACAATTGCTTACTGAAGAACTATTATTTACGAAATAAAGTAAAAAACTAAGTAATGGATGAGATATCAAATTATAAAATGTCAGAACTGTCAACAATATCAATTATTAGCTTAGTTCATGCTAAAAAGTAATGTGTGAAACTGACTAATCTGACCAATCAGAAGGCTACAGAATTGCCAACTTAAATTCAAATCGCTCCTCTTAGTTTAAAAACAGTATAGTGTGGTCCAACAACAAATAATATTATTTCGGTAAAAGTTATAACGTATTGAAAGTAACATGTTGTTTTTTTTTATTTTGGATTAATATATATTTATTTTTAAATGCATGCGCACAAATTACTACAAAACAGATCTGGGTAAAGCACTCAAAAAGTGCTTTGAGCACCAAGCCCTTTGGAACTATATCAAGCACTTGAAACTTTGGAAATTCTAAGTGCTTCCAATAACCTAACAAAATAATTGCACAATTCAATTACCAAGCAACAATTACTCAAAAAGTGCTGCAAGCACTTTAAATGGCTTCAAATTCGAAATTAAATTACCAATTACTAAGCACTGTTTATAAAGGGCTTCAATTATCAATTACCGTGCACTGTATTTTAAAATTAATTGCAAGCACTGTGCTCGAATATCTATTATACTTGAAGCATTGTTTCAAGCACTTTCGAGGCAATTTCTGCCCAGCTCTGGGGCAAAGCACTCGAAAAAAGCGCTTCGAGCACCAGCTCGTTGGAAAAGTAATTGCCAGAGCTCAAAAGATGAAACATAAAATAGATAGATTTCGTTACTTCATAGAAAATAAAATTATATTATAAAATTAACGAAGAATTACACAAAATAAATAGGGAAATATAACTAGAAATTAAAAAAATAATAATTTATATATAAAATATGAATTTTTACTTACCTACGCGTGAAAAAATACCTTCAAAACAGAATTGTATTGTTTGCAACACAGTACTACTAGGCATAATTTGTTTGGGACAGTAGACATTAGGATGTAAATAGTCATGAAGGGTGCTATTCGGTCTTATTAAAGAGAAACAAACATCTAACCACCTAGAAACCTAAAAAAATACATTAAAAATTTATTCGAAACTTATTAGAAATGTATTAAACATTTATTAGAAATTTATTACAATTTTAATAGAAATTTATTGGAAAATGAGAAATTTATTGGAAAATTAGAAATTTATCAGAACATTAGAACTGTCTTCGAAAATTATTTGAAAAAAATTTCAAAATTTAACCGGACTAAACTTTGCCCAAGTAACATTTTTTGATGAATCAAAATATACAAAACTTCTTTTTCTAAAAGCGATAAAATCTTTATATTCCACAGGAAAACCTCTAGGCTGTTATAATACTACTTTGAGCACGAAAAGGAGACTCTTTGTTTGAAATTCATTCGAAATGTATTACGACTTTTTTTTAGAAATGTAGGGCGCTATTCGGTCTTATTAAAGAGAGACAAATATCTAACCACCTAGAAAAACAATTGAAAATTTAATAATTTATTATTTGAAATTTGTTTGAAATTATTAGAAATATATTAGAAATATATTAGGAATATATTAGAAATATATTAGAAATATATTAGAAATATATTAGAAATATATTAGAAATATATTAGAAATATATTAGAAATATATTAGAATATATTAGAAATATATTAGAAATATATTAGAAATATATTAGAAATATATTAGAAATATATTAGAAATATATTAGAAATATATTAGAAATATATTAGAAATATATTAGAAATATATTAGAAATATATTAGAAATATATTAGAAATATATTAGAAATATATTAGAAATATATTAGAAATATATTAGAAATATATTAGAAATATATTAGAAATATATTAGAAATATATTAGAAATATATTAGAAATATATTAGAAATATATTAGAAATATATTAGAAATATATTAGAAATATATTAGAAATATATTAGAAATATATTAGAAATATATTAGAAATATATTAGAAATATATTAGAAATATATTAGAAATATATTAGAAATATATTAGAAATATATTAGAAATATATTAGAAATATATTAGAAATATATTAGAAATATATTAGAAATATATTAGAAATATATTAGAAATATATTAGAAATATATTAGAAATATATTAGAAATATATTAGAAATATATTAGAAATATATTAGAAATATATTAGAAATATATTAGAAATATATTAGAAATATATTAGAAATATATTAGAAATATATTAGAAATATATTAGAAATATATTAGAAATATATTAGAAATATATTAGAAATATATTAGAAATATATTAGAAATATATTAGAAATATATTAGAAATATATTAGAAATATATTAGAAATATATTAGAAATATATTAGAAATATATTAGAAATATATTAGAAATATATTAGAAATATATTAGAAATATATTAGAAATATATTAGAAATATATTAGAAATAAATATATTAGAAATATATTAGAAATATATTAGAAATTTATTAGAAATTTATTAGAAATTTATTAGAAATTTATTAGAAATTTATTAGAAATTTATTAGAACGTTATTAGAACGTTATTAGAACGTTATTAGAACGTTATTAGAAATGTATTCGAAAATTATTTGAAAAGAATTTCAAAATTTCACCGGACTAAATTTTGGCCAAGTAACATTTTTTGATTTATCAAGATATACAAAACTTCTTTTTCTAAACGCGATAAAATCTTTATATTTCCCAGGAAAATTTCTAGGCTGTTACAATACTATTTTGAGCACAAACAGGAGACTCTTTGTTTGAAATTCATTCGAAATGTATTACGACTTTTTTTTAGAAATGTAGGGCGCTATTCGGTCTTATTAAAGAGAGACAAATATCTAACCACCTAGAAAAACAATTGAAAATTTAATAATTTATTATTTGAAATTTGTTTGAAATTATTAGAAATATATTAGAAATATATTAGGAATATATTAGAAATATATTAGAATTATATTAGAAATATATTAGAAATATATTAGAAATATATTAGAAATATATTAGAAATATATTAGAAATATATTAGAAATATATTAGAAATATATTAGAAATATATTAGAAATATATTAGAAATATATTAGAAATATATTAGAAATATATTAGAAATATATTAGAAATATATTAGAAATATATTAGAAATATATTAGAAATATATTAGAAATATATTAGAAATATATTAGAAATATATTAGAAATATATTAGAAATATATTAGAAATATATTAGAAATATATTAGAAATATATTAGAAATATATTAGAAATATATTAGAAATATATTAGAAATATATTAGAAATATATTAGAAATATATTAGAAATATATTAGAAATATATTAGAAATATATTAGAAATATATTAGAAATATATTAGAAATATATTAGAAATATATTAGAAATATATTAGAAATATATTAGAAATATATTAGAAATATATTAGAAATATATTAGAAATATATTAGAAATATATTAGAAATATATTAGAAATATATTAGAAATATATTAGAAATATATTAGAAATATATTAGAAATATATTAGAAATATATTAGAAATATATTAGAAATATATTAGAAATATATTAGAAATATATTAGAATATATTAGAAATATATTAGAAATATATTAGAAATATATTAGAAATATATTAGAAATATATTAGAAATATATTAGAAATATATTAGAAATATATTAGAAATATATTAGAAATATATTAGAAATATATTAGAAATATATTAGAAATATATTAGAAATATATTAGAAATATATTAGAAATATATTAGAAATATATTAGAAATATATTAGAAATATATTAGAAATATATTAGAAATATATTAGAAATATATTAGAAATATATTAGAAATATATTAGAAATATATTAGAAATATATTAGAAATAAATATATTAGAAATATATTAGAAATATATTAGAAATTTATTAGAAATTTATTAGAAATTTATTAGAAATTTATTAGAAATTTATTAGAAATTTATTAGAACGTTATTAGAACGTTATTAGAACGTTATTAGAACGTTATTAGAAATGTATTCGAAAATTATTTGAAAAGAATTTCAAAATTTCACCGGACTAAATTTTGGCCAAGTAACATTTTTTGATTTATCAAGATATACAAAACTTCTTTTTCTAAACGCGATAAAATCTTTATATTTCCCAGGAAAATTTCTAGGCTGTTACAATACTATTTTGAGCACAAACAGGAGACTCTTTGTTTGAAATTCGTTTGAAATTTATTAGAAATTTGTTAGAAATGTAGGGTGCTATTCGGTCTTATTAAAGAGAAACAAATATCTAACCACCTAGAAACCTAGAAAAAACAATTGAAAATTTAATAATTTATTATTTGAAATTTGTTTGAAATAATTAGAAATTTATTCGAAACTTATTAGAAATGTATTAGAAATTAATTAGAACGTTATTAGAAAGTTATTACAAATGCATTAGGAAATTTATTAGAAATTTAATATAAAGTTATAGAAAAAATATTAGAAATTTATTCGAAAATTATTAGAAGACAATTTCAAAATTAAACATGACTAAACATTGCCCAAGTAACATTTTTCGTATTTTCTTTTTGTTTTATTTAAATTTTACGATTTGTATTTTTACTTTCCTATCTGTACACAGATAAGGAAAGTATAGGAATCATGATTTTTTTCGACCTCCAGTTTTCGACGGATTTTTACGTTTTGGGGTCCCTGAATCCGTTTTGACTATTTTCGGAATGATGTCTGTGTGTGCAGGACCGACTAGAGGGGGGGGGGGGTAGCCGGGACTAATTCCCGGGGCCCGGACTCAAATGGGGGCCCAGGAGCGGTATAAGGGGTGGCCCGGGAACAGGATTTTTTTGTTTGTGTCAGAAATTCGACAGAAGAGAAAACAAGAGGGGACATTTTTGGCGGGAGAGGTTTTTTTTTTAGAAAAAGCAATGAAAGTAGAGGAGGAAAAGTTTTAGCTTGAGGACCTTTTTTTTAGAAAATTCAATTTAGGTAGAAGAGGAAAAGTTTTTATTTGAGGACCTTTTTTTTGTCACGGGGCCCGATCTAGAGAATTGTCCTGGGGCCCGGCCTGGCTCTCGGCGGCCCTGTGTGTGTGTCTGTATCCACCATAACTCATGAACCGATACAAAGAAAAACACCAAATTTTAAACTTAAGCTTTATTCCAGCCTGCGGTGAACTGATTAGATTTTGGGCAGAGTCGGAACATTTGGGGGGGGGGTACTTTATTGGTGGTCATTTTTATATTTTATGGAATATATCTGGTATTTATGTTTGGAGAAGAAAATTGTTCAGATAAGAATTACTTACAATATTATTATCTATAATTTTGGTTCTATACAATTTTTTTTTATTCGAGAAATTTGACAAAATGTAATAAAATTCAAATTTTTAGGAAAATTGTTTAAATAAAAGTTATTTGTGTTATCGATCTCTATAATTTTTGTTTTTTATATGATTTTTCTAAAATGGACCACCGTATTGAAGGAAAAGTGCTAAATTTAAATTTTTCAGTATTTTCGTTTTCAATGAATATCTATACAAAAATGTTTCGAGTTAGATGTATGTGGAAAATGTATATATTTAGTTTATCCTCTAAAAATTTATAGAGGTGCTGTAATAGGTTGTACAAAATAATCGGAAAAAGCCTATAATAACTAGATAGGAAAGTCATGTGTTGGACACATCAGATTTTTATTTAATTTTAAGTTTGATCAAATCTGTTGATTATAAATAAGAATCGGCCTCTTCTTATAATTCCAATCATTTAAATTATGACAAAAATTATAAACCCAATTTTTTATCCTAATATAAATAGGTCCCCTTACCTTGTTTATTTGAAGATCTGTACCGTCCTTTACCATAGCCTTTGTGATGAGTTTATAACCCAACTTTAAACCTTTCAAAAATTTATCATTTTCCGAGGTTTCGTCCAGGCAATTCAAATTATCAAAAGTCGGCAACGTTTGATCGTGGATTTTCTCGAATACTGTAGTGTGAAGTTGAGAACAATTTTGAATACCCAAATATTTTAGAAATAGCATCGTGATCAGACAAAGATTTTTGGCGCTACTATCGGTTTCGTATAAGTATTCTCCCGCCTTTATAAGAATATCGAATTTTTTGATGCTGTCGCATAATTGTAAGAGTATCTCGTCAGTATCCTTTGACAAGAAGAAAGCTATATGTTCAGCGTATTGAAGAATCTCGGTAAAATCCCGAGAGGCTAAAAACAAATTTATCATAATTGTAATAAATAAAATACGTAAATAAAGAGTTATTGTCCAACCCTATAAATATACCATTTACAGGGCAATAAGTTACAAAAGAAAAATATATAAATAAATGCTAAATACACCTTTTATATTTTCAAGAAAGAATAGAACGTAAATTCAAGAAAAAATATATTTTAACTGCGTACAAGTCTCATAATACGACTTTAGAAGAATACCTAAGCGAAAAGGCTCACTTGTACCACAGGTCGCCACGAGATGACTAAGCGATCCAAAAATGGCAATCGAGTATAGGTACGCGTTAAAAAGAAAAATCATGCGCAATGGCAAAGCCAAAAGGGCATTAACGTATATCTTCATTGTTATTGGTCCGATTCAAAAGAGAAAAACGGCACTATAAAGGAGACGTGACATAGATAAACGTTGAAGAGGAAAACCATGCGCAGTAACAATGCCACAAGGGCATTAACGTATATCTTCATTGTTATCGGACAGAATTGAATGAGAAATACGGATCTATGAAGAGAAGTATCTTAAATTAACGTTGAAGAGATAAATAATGCACAGTGGCAAAGTCAAAAGGGTATTAACGTATACCTCTGCTATTATTGGTCCGATTCAAACGGGAAAAACGGTACTATGAAGGAGAGGTTGTGTATATTAAAGATGAAGAGAAAAATAATGCGCAGTGGACATTAGTTATTATCTCCGATATTATTGGTCGAATTCGCACGAAACAAACGACACTATGAAGACGACGCGACATAAATTAACGTTGAAGAAAATCGAATGGGAAAATAGCATACTAATGCTACGGTCACCCCACATCGAAAGGTAACCGTCTTGCTGATTCACTAGCCAAGAAGGCAGCTAACCAAATACTCTTTGGACCTCGCTCTTTTACTGGACTGAAAACATCGATAGTAAAAAACCTAATTAAAGAGCATTCCCTTGTGAAATTCAAGGCAAGATGGGATGAAACAAGAAGCTGCAGACTTGCCAAGTAGCTTTTAAATTATTCTAACCGTACAGCAATCCAATATTTGACTATGACTAGACAGAATATGCACCTGATAACAGGCATGCCAAGTACGAAAGCATCATCTCCATATCATAGGGCTGTTAAAATCCGCACTCTGCAGGGAGTACCAACAAAAAGATGAAACCATCCGGCGCACATCCAGTGCAACAACGTCGTAAGTGCAAAAATATTAGAAAGTAGCTTTTTAGTCACAAACTATGTGTAATTTGCTAATACATCTGATACAGCAATGTGGTAAATATAACATATACGTGGTAAATATAACAAATACAATAAATGAGCAGATATTAAATAAATTTCCTTTTCAGTTTATGACGAGCAAAACTGTCAAATGGCTCCCTTGTAAAAATTGATTTTTACACTTACGACGTTGTTGTTGTACCAAATGAACAATATCCTCTACGATTGCCCGACGCTCTCGTTTATTAGATTTGAGAATTGGCTAACACCGGCCGATATAAAAGAAACACCTCTCGGCGACGTTGTCAACTATATTAAATCTGTAGGCTGGTTCACATGCTAGGAGATGCCTATCTACTTAGGAGGATGCACGATAAGCCTAGTGGGGTCTAAGTGCCGTGAGTTAACCCTCCCTCCACACGTTTCAGATACAGATAATTGACAGAGGTTGTATGTGAACCTCTGAGAATGTAGTCATACTACAACCAGATCCGGAAGATCTATAAAACGCCCAGCAATATTGTCTGATTATATTGTAGGTTCTGACGATGAATAACTTATTCTCTAATATATGACAAATGCAAATAATATTGCATATGAGTAATTATGTAAATTATTTTTTATGTGAGATAGTTTGTTTAGATTTAGAGATAGAAATAAGTTGTAAAAATATGTGGAAGCTCCCCATTTAAGTAAAAATGTCAATGCTATTACATAATAGCAATTTAATATATCCTGTTTGAAATTTTAAAATATGCCACTATTGTTTATGTTTTTAATATGTAACATTTTAAATATTATGTGTACTACAACAGTAAAAAGTGTATTGTGACACTTAAAAATTATAAGTACCTACCCAATGTTTTTATGTCTATATTAATGTTTTGAAAATTGTTGCATACACATCCTTTTAAAAATCTACTAAAGAAAGGGGGATATCAGAGGTTATATGTGAACCTCTATTCAGATACCGTTGGTATTACTTGACACATGTCAAGTCAACTGTCCATCTAGTCACTTTTATTTTACACAAAAATAAACCAGTTACCATTTAGACCTTGTTTGATTAACACCGCTCGTTCCCTCTCCCAACATAAAAGATATAAAAATAGAAATCAACAATAATAATGATACAGCTAATACGCAGCGACAAAGCCAAAAAGGCATTCTCGAAACGGTATTGTTGGTGTAATTGAAAGGTGTCAGCGTCAGGTCTGGCCAATATGTAGCGATCAAATTTTAAATGTTAGAAATGATTAATTAACATCATACAGCTTGTCATATAACTTAACAGCCACAAATGATACGAAAGGGGATCCCAAAAGGGCCATAAGTTTTGTATTGAGAATAAGCTTAGGACTAAGCGATAGACGACAGACAGACAACGCGTTCGCATCTCAATTGAAGGCGCTATCTGGTAACGACTTTTGGTACAAGTGGTCCAGCTTGCTCTTTGGTCTTCTACTGACTTTGGAGAGGTGCTTTTGGAGCTTTTTTATTTAGGTAGAATAAAGCCCCAACGCATATTAGTAGACTCGCCAAAAATAACTTTAAGACGGAGGGTGTGAGAGTATAAGACTGACCTGCTTATTCACCCGACCTTAATCCCATTGAGCATTTGTGGGATATGGTAAAAAAAAGGTTAAAACTCGACAAAACAATCTGAGAAACAAAGAACATCTGATTTAAGCAATTCTTGGAGAATGGAGGGACCTTCCTCAGGAAAGAAATTGATATTATAGAAAGCATGTCCCGATAAATTAGTGTTTGCATTGAGGCAAGAGATGGAAATACAGAGCATTAGAAGTTCATATTTTACTTAGGCTTTGCATTTATTTATAAAATTAGACATCTTACTTTATCTTTAATATTATATCGACACCTCCCCATCGAACAAAGTTGTAACTCACGATACGTCCTTTTTTAAATTCAGCCACAAGCGTATTCAGCAAAATGAGGCGAATCCATCAGTACAAAAAACGTACCTCGATTTGTTATAGCTTGGTTGATACTCGTTTGAAAAAAGTTATGCCATATACCTCTTTACTTACGTCAAATTTTGTAGTTTCGAATAATATGCAGCATATTGAAAGATTGTAAAATGAGTTACAGCATTTTTGTTTGCATATTTTTTAATGTAGCAATAAAAAATATACACACGTATTTCTTATTGTATCATAGTTGTCTTATTTATTGCCTTATTCTGTGAAGTGTTATGTTAATTGTCAAGGTTGTATCTCAATCAAACTCAACTTATTTAATTATTTATAAAATTTAAACGTTCATTATCTCATAAGTGTTCTTATTATCCTATTTGTTAACTATTGAAGTATATTATACAGTTTCTCCAAAAATATTTAAGAAAACTTTTTTTAGTTTTCTAACGTTTCTGAAAAGTACTAAAATTGAGTTACAACCTTGTTCGATGGGGGTGTCGATATAAGGAATTTAATTTTTTTTCAATTTTTGCTAAAAAAATATGTTGAAATAAACTTTAAATGATTTGTTTTTCATGGAAAATAATAAATTTATCAGTTTTTAATAGTAAGACGACCTACGTTGGACCTAAATCTTAAAATTAGATATATTCGGAAATCAATCAATTTAACTTTTGGTCTTTATACACAGTGGTACTTCGTCCTTAAGCATGATATCCAACAATATTTTTATCATGAATACCTTTTTTCCGTAAAATTGTTAAAATATATACCAAAACTTAACAATGGTACTGGTGGTGACATTTAGTGACGTTACCTTACAACTTATGTCATGTGTACCTTTTTCTAATATTGAAAAAGAAGTCAGTCTCCCTGTACAATTCTAACTGGTAGTTTTACTAAAAATACTGTTGCGATTTCATATAAGTTTGGTTATGTATATTCTAAAACTTTGTTCATAATAATTTATTAACAGTATTAACAGATGCACTTAACACATATTACATTGATAGTATAATTGACTTAGTATCTAATATAAATCAGAACGTTAATGATTTTCCCATTATTGTTAAAAATGATAATGTAAGTCTTAAAAAGTTTAATCTTGTTAGTTTTGATACTTTAAAAGAAATTGTTTTTGATATGTCGAATAAAGGAAGTCCTGATGAAATTAATGTACTGTTTTTAAAATACTGTTTCGAAAATATTGCTAAGCCATTGATAAATATAATAAATTCCTCGTTAGAGACTAATACTGTTCCAGACGATCTAAAAATTTCAATAATAACACCAATAGCTAAGGTTGAGAATTCAAATAGGGCAGTGGACTTACGTCCTATTAATATGTTATGTACAGTAGAAAAAATTTTAGAGAAAGTAGTATATAATCAACTTATTGAATATTTGGAAGAAAATAATATGTTTAATAGTAATCAATCAGGATTTCGGGGTAAACACAGCTGCGAGACTGCACTACAATATGTATTAAATGACTGGAAACAGAATCTTGACAACAAGTTAATTACAGGTGCTCTTTTTTTAGACCTACAAAGAGCATTTGAAACGGTAAATCGATCTCTACTGATTAAAAAGTTAAAAAGTTTTGGTATTATTGAAAATTCACTAGAATGGCTTATAAATTACCTGGACAATAGAAAACAAAAATTAAGGTTTAAAAACATTTTATCAAAAGAACAAAAAAATGAATTAGGCGTACCACAGGGGAGTGTATTGGGCCCACTATTGGTCCTTCTATATATTGATGATATTTCTCAAGTTGCAGGTGGTTGCTCCATACATATGTTTGCAGATGATACTCTGCTGTATTATTCTGCTAATAATTTGCAGGAAGTAACCGCTACTATAAATACCACATTAAAGCAAATATATTATTGGTGTTGTTTTAATTCGTTAAAAGTAAATATTAACAAAACTAAATTTATGATTATCGGGAATGTTAGGTATTACAATGAATTTACTGAAAATAATATGAAAATTAGTATTGAAAATGATGTCATTGAAGTCGTAAAAAAAAATTAAATATCTGGGAGTAATAGTAGACCATATGTTGTTTTTTAAAGATCATGCAAACTATATCATTAAAACAGTAGCGTTTAAAGTCAACTACTTATACCGGTGCTCAAAATATATTAATAAATGGTCATTGATTCTTTTATATAACAGTATAGTTTTGCCTCATTTCACTTATTGTGCCACCATTATGTATTTACTTAATCAGAATGAAACCAACAGACTTCAGAAATTACAAAATAGAGCAATGAGGATATTATTGTCATGTGATAGAAGGACCAATATATTAGGTATGTTACAAAATTTGAAATGGCTTTCTGTTAAAAACTATTTTCTATACTTAACTTTAATATTCATTTATAAAATTAAACATGGACTGGTCCCCTCTTATTTACTTGATAAAATCAATTACAACTTTGACTATCATAACTATAACACAAGAAATAGATCTAATTTTCATATTCCACAAGTTGCACGTAAACAGTCCCAAAATTCAATATTTTTTAAGGGACTTCAAGCTTTTAATGAGATACCCTTAGAACTCCGAAATGTCGCCTCATTTAATACCTTTAAATATAAACTAAGAGATTATATGTTAACGAGCCAGCATCTGTGATATTTTAGTGTTATATTTTATATTTTAGATATAGATAAATATTTTTTGTAATTTTATTTATTTGTAATGTACTATTAGCTTTGCTAAATAAACGAGATATATATATTATTAATTGCCTTACCCAAGTCGATGCTTTGTATAATTTCCATGGGAGATTTAAATTCAGCATCGGTAAAATCGATACCAAAATGTTGTTTGAAGAAATATTGGCCTTGCATTATTCTAAAACGTTCTTTGGCATGATGCATTTCCCATTCCTTATAGCCGCCGTTTTTAATAAGCTTTTTGATTAAAATCGGTAAAAAGTTGTAGTACTTTTCTTTCGTCGAAGCTTTATGATACTAAAATAAATGATAATAAAATTATTTCACATCTTCAACCCGACTCAAATGTTATTTATTTCAAATTCTCTGTAAGTAGAATCTGTTCCATTAAAGAAAAGCGTTGCTGTGTCTGGAAAAACAATCATCAAGACCGCAGTTCTTGAAATATCTAATTTTGGTGACACCTACAGAAGGGTTTAAATCAATAAAACATGTTCATTTGGAGTAGATAAAATAATTACTTTGACTTAGAGAACAAATTAAAATTGAGTGAAAATTTTGAATATTACCTCAAAAATTGGTTCAACAAACAAAAAGTACGAAAAATATAAAAAAATCTAAATAGAAGACGTGAAAGAGGAGAAAATGTCCTGCAATACAGAAGGAGGAATTTGAAATAATAGCGAAAATATATCAAACTATATTCAAAGGCTCAAAGTTCAATTCATATTAAAGAAATATTATTATTAAAAAAATATTTTTTTATATATATGATAAATATACTCGCACTTGTTCCGATTGCCCTAGCAGAGTGCAAAAAAGCTACATATTATGCATGGATTGACAACAAAGTCTGGAGCTGAAAATTTCCGCCCCAATGACACCATTACTATAATGAAAAAAACTCCATAGGGAACCCAAAATATTATTAATAATATTATTATTATTCTCCGGCCTTGACTTAATCCCTTAAGTCCCTCCTTGCCTTATTTAGACCTTTTACGGTCTCTTTTTTCCCGTTACCAAGAATATTTGATGAAATAAGTCAACTTCTAAAACCCCAATGATACGCCTATGTTCGTATTCGCTAGTCTATAAAACCATCCAGTTTACTGAAATACCGGATGCACCTATATCGATTCTTAGTGGAATGACGTCTAGAATTTAAGAGAATAAGTCTGGAGAGTAACATTTGTATATAAGTAGGCTGTTTACCGGTAAAAATTGGTTTTAAGTTCAGATAAATATTGTCAATATAAATTTAGTGTAGTAATAAGATAATATAGTGCTGTATTTAGTACAAATAAATTGTGATATAAAATAAATATGTAAATTAAATATTAAATTATTATTATTAATATCTATCAAATTGTAAAAAATACTTACCCTTGCTTTGATAATATTTTCAGCATATTCAAAGAGACTTCTTCCACATCGGTGCAAAATTTCTGGTTTATTTCTATCTAACACGGCTATGGCCTGATCTAAATCTCTGTAATAATATTATGTTCCATTATTATATATAAAAATATAAAATAATTTAATAATAATATTGTTACTAAAATGTTTGATGATTATTAATTTTTATTAAATTTTATTAATTTTTAAATTTTTTTATTAATTTTTATTTATTTATTTTTATTATTTTTTATTAATTATTTTTTATTATTTTTTATTTTTTATTAATTTTTATTAATTTTTATTAATTTTTATTAATTTTTATTAATTTTTATTAATTTTTATTAATTTTTATTAATTTTTATTAATTTTTATTAATTTTTATTAATTTTTATTAATTTTTATTAGTTTTATTAATTTTGACCCCCGTATTCCCCCCTTAAAATGTGAAAATCCAAAAACCATGAAACACATCATTTTTGATTTTTAGTCAGTAGCTGTAATTCAAATTTTTTTATTTCAAACTTTAAATAACAAAAAAATAAATACATACTATTAAACAAATTTTCACCCCCCATTTTCCCTCTTAAAATGTGGAAATACAAAAACCCTGAAACACTTCGTAATTTATTTATGATGAGAACCTACAATTCCAATTTTCAAGTTCCTACCTTTAAAAAATCGATATTTCCAAATAACCTTTTACCCCCCCCCCCCCCGTTTCCCACCCTTAAAATGTGAAAATCCAAAAACTCTAAAACACGTCATTAATAATTTGTACTCATTAGCTGCAATTCCAATTTTCATGTTCCTAACTTCAAAGAGAACAAAAAAATATATACTCCCATACAAACTTTTACCCCACGTTTGCCCCCCTCAAGACGTAAAAATATAAAAACTCTAAAACACATTATTATTAATTTGTACTCGGTAGCTGCAATTCCAATTTTCATGTTTATAACTTTAAAGAGAACCAAATACATAGATAATCCCAAATAAATTTTCAACCCCCCATTTCCCCCCTTAAAATGTAAAAATACAAAATCCTGAAACACGTCATTAATAATTTGTAGTCAGTAGCTGCAATTCCAATTTTCATGTTCCTAACTTCAAAGAGAACAAAAAAATATATACTCCCATACAAACTTTTACCCCCCGTTTGCCCCCCTCAAGACGTAAAAATATAAAAACTCTAAAACACATTATTATTAATTTGTACTCAGGCTGCAATTCCAATTTTCATGTTTATAACTTTAAAGAGAACCAAAAACATAGATACTCCCAAATAAATTTTCAACCCCCCATTTCCCCCCTTAAAATGTAAAAATCCAAAAACCCTGAAACACGTCATTAATAATTTGTAGTCAGTAGCTGCAATTCCAATTTTCATGTTTCTAACTTCATAGAGAACAAAAAAAATTGATAGTCCCATACACACTTCACCCCCCCCCCCCCCCCCCCCCCCGTTTCCCCCCCTTAAAATGTAAAAATCCAAAACCCTGAAACACGTCATTATTTATTTATGCTTAGTAGCTGTAATTTCAATTTTCATGTTTCTAACTTTAAAGAACAAAGAGTTTCATTAAAAGCTCCCTCCCCCCATTTCCCCCCTTTAAAGTTAAAATTTTCAAAAATCCTTTCTTAGCGGATACTTACGTTATAAAATAAACCTGTTCCAAATTTCAGCTTTCTAGGCTTAGTAGTTTTGGCTGTACGCTGATAGGTTAGTCAGTCAGTCAGCCAGGACAAACAATTTTATATATATAGATTTTGTGTGAGTTCGTTGAAATAAGTGATCGAAGAAGAAATATTCAATAAATAACTTTCGTACAATCTACTTGATTTTTATTGCTATTGATAATACCTGGTGACGTAAGATATCCAACTTTGATTTCTTGGACAAAGAGTTCCTTTCACAAGGTTACTACAGTTCACCTGTACCGGATTTAATCTTCAAAAGTTTACAACTCATATCGGCGCCCTTATACTAAATTTTCGTAATTAAAATTCAATTTAGTAATAAAAGGAGGACGAAACATGCAAAGTTTGTGCCTGTACTTCTAGATTTGACAAAGCCAAGCTGATAAAATATTTAAAAACAAAAATAATACTTACTCTTTTAATATAAAATGATTTACTAAGATGAAAGTGGCATTCAAATACTGATCATCAATACTACACAGGTGAAATATATCATCAACCATTTGTGGCTCGTCAACGTATACAATACGGTTTACGACCCTACAAAACTAAAATAAACGTTCTATAATCACAATTGAAAAATATGTATAATAAAAAGTTTTACCTGTTCGTCAAGTTTCCTCTCGTTTATCAAATATTCGCGATTTTGAATTACTTTATATCGACCTTCGTTGCTCAACATTTTCGATATCGTTTCGACCATGGGATGTGAAAACTGCAACGATCGATCAGCCATCCTTTTTACAGCGTCACACCAGGGTACGGGAGAATTTAAAAGTAATTTTTGCGTAATCTGAAGTTTGATATCCAAGGAACTAATGTTATCGAAGATAATTTCTATGGTAGACAACCAGTCGCCGTTACATTTTAACAGATTGTTAATTTCTTCAGCGAATATCGTACTATGATTAATGTCGTTCTGGAGCATATAGATTTGTAGGAAGTTTTTCAAAAATCCATTGTAGAGTTCCGGAGGCATGGATACTCGCAAAAGTGTGCTTACAAATTTTTTTGGACCCTAAAGAATGAAGAACATGTTTATGAGCAATTAAGGTTAACGAACAGTAAGAAGATTTGATTAATTTACCTCTAAGTATTCGCTCAATTCAACTTTGATCGCATACATTTCCTTCAGCTTCTGCAGAGTCTTTAAACCTTTCAATAGATTCGATAGATTTTCGAGGCTCTTACGATTGAGCATACATTGACGCAACAGTACGCCGTGTTTTTCGACTCTGATAAGTTCGAGAACGTCTTCTACCATTTTTACACCGTTTTCGGGAAAATTAGTAGCATCCCGTTTTTCCATGTGAAGAATTTTGTCTTGTAACCAGGTTACGAAAAGAGACATTGCAGAGGGAAGGTGGGTCATGGTTATTGGAAAAAAGGTGGGTAAAAACGATTGGTAGAGGTCTTGGGGAAGCTGAAAATAAAATGTATGTGTACACATTAAGATAAGTATCTGAAAAGAATGATCTTTCTAGTAATTTTAATTTTGTTTCTTAACTGAAAAAGCCCTTGTTCAAATTCAGATCTCTTACAAAAAGTCGAAAGGAAATAGAACTGATAATTAATTCCTGAGCATAAGTAATTTCATCTTCATACTTTACACAACATTGTAAAATTAGAAGTAAATAAAATTGAGCTTAATCACTATAAATTCGTATCTTTAACAAGCAATATTACTTTATGTATACAAAAATTATCAAATCAGATGTTAAAGTCTAATCAGGGCAGTATGCAAAAGTTTGGGGGTCTCTGGGATCACAACCATATGCCTATTTTCATGACAGTTTCAGAGTTATTAAAAAAAAATCAATTTTCAATTTATAACTTCAGATGAAAATAACTTTCTTGGGTTTATGATAAAACAGCACAGGACAAAATTATGCAGGAGAAAATAATGCAGACAAAATAGCGCAAGGAAAAAATAGCGCAGGACAAAAAGCGTACGACAAAATATTCCAATATTCTAATTAAAATAAAAAAAAATTAACTAATTTACCTAACCTGTACGACCTGGAGCCATAAGTAGCAACCTGAGATGGCTCGAGGCCGCATAGGTTAGATAAATTAGTTTTTATTTTAACAGTTTTGTCACTCGCTAATTTGTCTCGCTCTTTTTTTGACTAATCGCTATTTCAATTTGTAATTTTAAAAGGATATAACTTTTTGGCAAATTGGCAAAACAGCGCAGGACAAAGGAGTTGCAGACAAAATAGCGCAAAGACAAAATATATCAGGGACAAAATAGCGCAAAGACAAAATATATCAGGGACAAAATAGCGCAAAGTCAAAATAGCGCGTGACAAAATACTGCAATATTCTAATGAAAATAATAAAAAAAAAACTAATTTATTTAACCTGTAAAACATGGAGCCATAAACAGCAACCCGCGATGTCTCCAAGCCGCCTAGATTCGGTAAATTAGTTGTGTTGTTCTTATTTTAATTATAATACTGGAATATTTTGTCACTCGCTAATTGGTCTTGTTCTTTTTTTGATTAAGCGCTATTTCAATTTGTAATTTGAAAAGGAAACAACTTTTTTGGCTAATTGACAAAACAGCGCAGGACAACATAACGCAGGAGAAAGTAGTTGCAGAAAAAATAGCGCAAAGATAAAATAGCGCCAAGATAAAATAAATCAGGGATAAAATAGCACAAGGACAAAATAGCGCGTGACAAAATATTGCAATATTCTAATTAAAATAAAAAATTAACTAATTTATCTAACCTGTACAACATGGAGCCATAAACAGCAACCCGCGATGGCTCCAAGCTGCCTAGATAAGGTAAATTAGTTGGTTTTGTTTTAATTATAATACTGGAATATTTTGTCACTCGCTAATTTGTCTCGATTCTTCTTGACTAAGCGCTATGTCAATTTTTATCTTCAAAAGGATATAACTTCTTTGTATTCATGATAAAACAGCACAGGACAAAATGACGCAGGAGAAAATAATGCAGACAAAATAGCACAAGGACAAAATACCGTAAGGAAAAAATAACGCCGGAGAAAGTAGTTGCAGACAGAATAGCGCAAAGACAAAATAAATCAGGGAAAAAATAAATAGCGTGATGACAAAATAGCGTGATGACAAAATAGCGCGACGACAAAATAGCTCGTGACAAAATATTGCAATATTCTAATTAAAATAAAAAAAAACTTAACTAACTTATCTAACCTGTATAACATGGAATCATGAACACTAACCCACGATGGCTCCAGGCCGCCTAGATTAGGTAAATTAGTTGTTTTCCTCGCTCATTTTTGATTCGGCGCCATTTCAATTTGTAACTTCAAAAGGATATAACTTTCTTGGTAAAATGACCAAACAGCGCAGGACAAAATAGTGCAGACAAAATAGTGCAAGACAAAATAGCGCAAGAACAAAATAGCGAAGGACAAAATTACGCAGTAAAAAATAGCGCAGGACAAAATATTCCAACATTCTAATTAAAATTAAAAAACGACTAATTTATCAAACCTGTACAACATGGAGCTATAAATAACAACCCGCGATGTTGCTTTTATTTTAATTATAATACTGAAATATTTTGTCACTCGCTAATTTGTCTTGATCCTGTACTGTGTGAGTACCAACTATGTCAGGTGCTTGTATTACAGGCTTTATTATACGAGGGTGGATCCCTATACTGCGCCACTTATTTCCAAGTGGTGGCTTGAATAAAGTTTTTGACAGTTGGTTAACTGATCTACAAAATATCAACTTTGTATCTCAAAATCTTAAGTGAATTTCAATAGAAATTAAAAATATCAATATTTTAAAAATATACAGAGATGTGTTATCTTGGATAAATTATGCAAATCTAGTAAAGGGGCTATGTTCATTCGGGGCCATTCCTTATGTAAATTAACATGGGAATTCGCTAAGGTTCATTCTGGCAATTTTTGTCTAAATCAAGGTCACACCATCTCAACTAACTCGTCGAGCCACCAACGGGGGAGTGGGGAAAACGTGGTAGTGGGGGGAGTGGGGGGATTAAATTTCGTCGAATTTTGACGTTTCACGTTTGACGTTTACCGTTTTGACGTTTGACGTCAAACGTCAAAATTCGACGAAATTTAATCCCCCCACTCCCCCCACTACCACGTTTTCCCCACTCCCCCGTTGGTGGCTCGACGAGTTAGTTGAGATGGTGTGACCTTGATTTAGACAAAAATTGCCAGAATGAACCTTAGCGAATTCCCATGTTAATTTACATAAGGAATGGCCCCGAATGAACATAGCCCCTTTACTAAATCTAGATGGTAAAATTTATTAGTAAGTTAACCAACTGTTGAATTGACACTGTTCGTTAGCTCAACGAGGGCACGTATACTAGCCATCCATTCTACTAGATTTGCACCATAAATTATATGTGAACATCAACACAGTCAGTTAACAAACTGGCGAATTGGCGCTGTTCGTTAACTTCATTGATCATCAAGCTAAATAAAATATATCTAGATAGCAAATGAACATGGTCCGCGTTTGAGCGGGACTAAACAATCAAAAGGCCAAGAGGAAAAAGGCCAAATACAGTAAGTATAGAATTTAAAATGAAACAAAATTAAGAGGTAAATAATAAAAATTTCACATTTAAACAAAAATCAAAGGGGCGTGGGGGTTACACTATTAGATTTCATTGTATTTAATTGATATATATTTCAAAAGATATTGAAAAATAATTAAATCCAAAAATATATTTTTCATGGTTAAAATGTGATATTCATGCAAACATTATAAGGCAATCTATTGAAAAAAGGCGTACCTTGGTGGTGTAAGAAACAAGTAAGGGATCATGAAAGATAAACAAAAATATTAACAAAAAATAACAAAAATTAAAAACTTTTACCATCAATAATTATTGTTCATTATTATTATTATTATTATTATTATTGTAGTTTGTTTTTCTGTAACTCAAAAAAATTGCAATTTATTTTATTTTTCCAAGTTTAAATATTAGTGATCACTAGAATTTTGTGTCGTGAAATTTTTTTAATTTTATCAAAATTTAGAAGACTTTTTAAATTTTGGATACACATAAAAGTGGCATTGAAAAAAGACTAGTGGTAGTCACAAAGCACATAGAGGTTCCACATGAATGACCAAGGTCAAAATCGACAAATGACATTTCTTATGCTATTGACTCCAAACTCTGGATGGGGTTACTGGCGAAATTATGATTTCTTCCTCCATTTTTATTTTTTATGGGTGAAAAACTTAACCAAAGAATCCAAAGATATGACATGTATTTATGTTTTTGGTTATTCTTAGTTTTTCGTTTAATTTTAGTGATTTTTTGTTGGCTTTGGCTTTTGGTTTCTGTTTATAGTTTCTTCTTAGTTTTTTTTGTGCCATCAGCTTCAACTGCTAAGGTTATTTCGCCTAATGTTTTATGTAGGCTTTGTTCATGTTTCCCAACGCCACTTTAGGAACATGACTGTTAATTAGAACCCAACAGTGAATGGTCGAGTGGGGAATCCTACCAAGGCATCAGAATTAATTTTAAATAATTAAATTAAATGAAAAAATTCCGGTCAACGGTGGGATTCGAACCTGGGACCCTTGGAACAGCAAGCAGAGACTACCACTGAGCCACCCAAAATTGTGATGTTTTGTTTTTCTATTTTCTGTGTTTTGTAATAATTTTGGTGCTACGTTGAAAACTTCAAGAAAAACTTTATTGATTCAACATGCATCATAAAAAGACAAACGGGTACAACAACTAATTGATAATCAATTTATCACTAGACTAGATTCCGAAATCATTTTTCACATAAGAGAGTATACCATCTGTATTTCAAAGGACATTATTTATCACTCAATGAATAGTTTTTCAATCGGTTAAAAAGACATTGATAAAATATATAACTTTAGTGTTAATTTTAAGAATGTTCTATTTTATTATTTATTGATATATCTTATATTTATTTAATATTAATATGCAGAACCAACTCTACATATCAGACCCCCTATAACAAATTAATTCCTCACTTACTAGTTCCATACTTTATTTTATAAAATAATTTATGTGGAAATCATTTAAAATTTAATATAGAACTACTACCTACTACTAAAAATTACAATTTGAATTTACCGCTATCTGTCAATTGTCATTTTGGTTCCTGCTCCAAACACAAGGTGGCGCTAATTTGGTTTAAAAGTATAACATTGGAGTGGGGCGTCTAGAAGATACGTGAATTGTGGGGTAGTAGTTTTAAATATAATCGCCCAAACAAATTTGGCAGAACAAAAAAAAAATAAACTGTGTTACACGTCTCACTAGATTGTCTTTGTGTAGTTAATTAAAATTTTGTATTTCGCACTTCTGGAGTTGTTCCAAGCGGTAAAACAAATAGATCAAAAACCGCAGATAAAGTTTGATGAAATAATTTTTAATTCAATGAACTTACATTTTTAAAAATGTCCAATACATCGTTGACAAATTTTTCATTTAACGATTTCACAGTTTCTTCATCCATTCTGCTATAAATTATAATTGCATCTTCGATTTGAAACTAAAAATTATACATATTTTTATATCAATTAACAAAAAAATATAATTATTTTAGATACATACATTTTCTAAGCAATCTTTAACTTCTTCTAATAAATCGCATACTGCGAATCTGATCCAAGACTGCATATCGGATTCAACTTTGTATTTTAGTAAAACATTGAATGTTTCGTATCTGAAAAGCAGGTCCATTAATTTTTTCTTTTCTTTTCTCTCTTCCTAAAAACAAACAGTTATCTGTAAAGACATATAGGTACATTATTCCAAAGCCAAAGAATTACGATAACAAATCAAAAAAAAAACTTTATTGCGGAAAGAATGTAATTGTTATTGGCAACAGTCATATTCGCTCCGTGCGAAGTCATGGAAAGGGAACCAAAAGCGATACTAGCGCTAGCTGCGGATAATTCGTGCATTTTAGGGCGATATTTTGTAATTTTGGGATATCAAATACACGTATACATTTTACTTTTTTTTCAAAAAACTAGGTAAAAACAATACAATAAATAAGCAACCGGAGTTGCTGCTGTGTTGAAAATTGTACAAATACTAGCCAAAAAACAGTGAAACTTATATAAAAAATTTCAGTAGCAAAGTGGAAATTAAATCAAAGAAATAAATGGATTGGTGTACAATAAGAAGAAAAATTACCTTTATTTATGTAATAATAACAGTAATGCTGGAAATAGTAGAAACTTGAAAGGTTTTAAATAAACAATAAATTATCATTTTACGATGTTCTTTAATATTGCTTTCTTCTAAAATGTTCATTCAGCAAGGACTAGATTTCAAGATTTCTGCCTTTGATTATTATATGTGGCAGGAATGCAAGTTTGTGATTAACTGATGGGAAACCAGTTTTAATCATTCATTCTATGTTTTCTTTCGAACAAAAATGAAAATATATATAACGATCCTTTTTTTTATACATATTAACTTCACGCTATTATTAAATGGTATTTTTTTATTTTGACAGAATAGGCTTATTCTTCAATGACAACTTATTAGACTTAGGCAACTTCTCATACATTTTCCTATAAATACTGTTGCCTGCCTATATTTTATTATTGATTTTTATTGATTATACACAATTTTCTTTAATTTAAGCGATACAAATATATAATAATAATAATAAATTTATGTTTTACAAATCCATATACTTTTATTAAAACTAACATATATACTTTTTAATTACGAATTCCATTAAAAATCGTATTTGTTAGTATACGCAGAAATAGTCCATTAGTACCAAAACGAATTGGCGCTGCTGTCACGCACGGAGCGAATACATAGTGTAAAATTTATTCTATAAAAAAATGATTTTGTTATTATCAGACATAAAGAGGCGAAGAATAATTTCTTTGATAGAATAAGGTAAGCCCCAAAAGAGCCATTGCCCACGCCGGACCTGTGCATAAGACAATACTCAGTTAAAATATCAGTCTGTTCACATAAATGTTGTCAATGTAAATTAATGTATTAGTGTTGGTGAAAATAAATTAAATAAACGTTACAGTATTAATTTTTTTAGAAGCCAAAAAATAAAAAATACTTACCAGTGATTTAGGAGATATCTTAGAAGCATATTTTAAAATTTTCGTGACACCATCAAAGCTCGAATATTTCACATTCATACAGCATTGCAAACTAAAATAACTTTCGTTAATTGAATCCATGAGTTCAATCAACAAGTTTATTTCTTCTGAATTACATTTCGTTTTATCAACAATGGATTCGGCTTTCGCCTTTAGGACAACAGTAGGATCTAGGTTGAATGTTTTGGCGAACGCTTCTGCTTCTTCGAACCTTTAAATTACAAAATTATATTAATCAATAATTATTATTATTATTATTATTCGCCTTTGATAAGAGCAGCAAATAAGAGATAATTTATTACCTCTGCCTTTTAAACAGTCCTTTGAATCTTGACTCCGGCTCCTTTTCATAAACAGTTTTCAAACGTAATTCCGTAATCCTTTCACTTTGACCCATAATAAATGAGAGAAATAGTAAATCATCTGTTGTTGAGTTAACATCTACCAAATGAACTTGTTCCTTCAATTTCAAGGAAAACACTTGCTTGAAATCTGAAATACCATTTTCAATAACTACATAAAAAAATATCCATATTGAAAAAAAAATTTTTCTTTATAAAAAACATGCAAAAAAAATATTTAAAATACATAATTGTTGCTTAATACTGTAATATATCATAACATATAGGCCAGTCATTAGAGATAATCAATTCACATTAATTACAAAAGTTTTCAAACTTTGTTGGAATATTTATTAAATTGAAATAATTGTAAATTTAATTTTGCAACTTAAAATTTAATATAACTTTTGTAAGAGATTTTCTCGCCTCAGAGCAAACGCTTTCTTACAAGTGGCGCTTGTTTTCGGGACGGCTCTCGGACACCAGATTTGGTATGTGGTTTACTCCACAAACTTTCGAAATGGCGTCGAAAGTACTCGGGCAGCACAGATGGAGATAAAAAATTCCAGGGGTCAAAGGTCACTTAGACTCAGATAATTAGTAGCCACAAGTAACGGGCTTTAATCATAACTTGTGGTTGTAAAGAATTTATCACTACTGAAAAGTAAGGGGGAAGTAAATTGAGGATTATTAACCTCAGTAATAGTCAAGGCAATGTTGACACATATATTGGTTTAACTATTTACAATTAAAATAAAATATTGCAACGCCCACCCTCTTGGTTAGGAAACCCTGAACAAAAAAAAATTAAAATAAAAAAAAGCGGGAACGAATGGCTGATATAGTTGGCAGGTATTCTCAATCAGACTGCTTAAATTGGATATGGTGAAGGGGTCGCGTATATAAAAAAAATTGTATTCGTAAATCTCAGACTATAAGGTCAAAATTTAAATCTCGGATAGTAGGAATTTAAAAATTTTAAATTTACGGTAATTACTCTTAAATCGCAACAAAAGTCAAAATGTATATGAATTTAAAAATTAAGGATAGTATAAATTAAAAAAAATAAATAAATTTACGGTAATTTTCTTAAATCGCAAGAAAAATCAAAATGTAAGTCATGGATAATACGAATTCAAAAAATTAAAATTACGGTAATTTTTTTAAATCGGAAAGAAAAATCAAAATTTAAATCAAGGATAGTATGAATTTTAAAAATTCAAAATTTACAGTAACTTTCTTAAATCGCAAAGAAAAATCTAAATGTAAATCCAGGATAGTATGAATTTCAAAAATTTAAACTGCGGCACTTCCGAAACTCGTGAGGACCACTTGAAATCTTTCTAAATGTTTTTTTTTAAACCCCTGAAGCCAACGAGCAAGCTACGCTGAATCAAACCCACACTACCTCTTATTATTATATATTATTATAACCCCAGGTCGGACAGGGACAGCCAGGAAGGAAAACAACACAGGGAACCTTAAGTTATTTGCGGATATCTAGGAAGGAAAACAACACAGGGAACCTTAAGTTATTTGCGGATATCTAGGAAGGAAAATAACACAGGGAACTTTAAGCCCTCACTGAGTTATTTGGGAATAGACAGGAAGTAAAACTAACACAGGGAATTTTAAGCCCTCACCGAGTTAATTGCGGATAGCTAGGAAGGAAAATAACACAGGGAACTTTAAGTCCTCACTGAGTGATTTGGAAATAGGAAGGAAGGAAAACTAACACAGGGAACTTTAAGCCCTCACTGAGTTAATTTCGGATAGCTAGGAAGGAAAATAATACAGGGAACTTTAAGGCCTCACTGAGTTAATTGCGGATAGCTAGGAAGGAAAATAACACAGGGAACTTTAAGCCCTCACCGAGTTATTTGGAAATAGCCAGGTAGGAAAAATAAAGGAACGGAGATTTTTATATTCAAAACAGGAAATGATACCCTCCCCTTCGGTAGAACAAAATCCCGGACACTCAAACTAAACAAATAAAAAAAAATGAACAATATTCAGTTCCCGTATTTCCCACGGTTAGGAATTTAAACAAATCTATCTTTTTAAAGTCTATCTATATTAAAAAAAAAAAAATAAAATAAACACTCTAATTCCTATCTTTTCCCAATTTACTTATTTAATAATTCTATTTACAAAGTCGATTTATATCTGAAGCAGTCCTCACCGTTTGAAGAAAATAATAAAAAAAAATATATAAACACGGCCAATATCCAAATAAAAAAAGTCTTCTGTTTTAACGAAGTTGAAAAACACCCTATTTGATCTTGCAAGTCATTCTCTTTTAGACATGTTAAAGTGGTATTTGTACCTAACTTATGCTAGAAAAAAAAAGATGTATTTATGTCTAGGAGCGGAGATATTTGATTCCTATTAAATAATCGGAAAATTCCTTTTGGCATTGATTGACGCCCTATTTAAACTTGCAAGTGGTTTTCTTTAAAGTATATTATAAATTGTATTTGTACCTAATTTGTATTAGAAAATAAATGTTTTTATACAAAATTAGTCGCTAAAAATTGTTCGCTTAGTTCACACCGGTAATAAATTTACGAAAACAAAACATGATTTATTTTATGAGAGCTTTGGTTTCTTCAACTGGATGGTCTGGAATTGTCAAAAACTATTAATTTCTTCTAAATTCATTGATTTTCATATGTCGCCAATTTACGTAGACAGTTGGTGGCATAGGAAAGCTTTTTTAGTACTAATTTTAGGAAAAAAAGTTGTTCTTTATAAAAGTTGAGCATGGTCTAAAATCTAAAATACAAACATCAAATATCAAATTTTATCAGTCGTATAAAGAATAAAGGTACTTTACTCTTGAGTAAAACTCATATTTTTTGACAAACCTCGTATACTACTGAAAAAATTTGATATTTGATGACTTTATTCTAGGTTTTAGATAATGCAAAACTTTTTATGAAGAATAACTTTTTTCCTAAAATTAATAATAAAAAAGTTTTCCATATGATTCCAATTTAGGGGGACATTCTGTATATTGCTTCAAGTTTGCAGCACTATTGCAATTTTTTTCTCAACATGATAAACAAAAGCGCCATTTTGGTATAAATTAACTAGTTCCGGACCTTAAAAATGATTGCAAATTTAAACTAGACGATCATTATTGCAAAGTTTGAAAACTTTTGTAATTAATGTGAAATGTTCAAAATAGGATGTCTTACTGACTGGCCTAATACTTAAGATCATTTGTCTCAGAGGTACGTATTTAAAGCATTTTTAATAAAATCAGACTAGAAATATACGTAAAACATTTTACATCTGACATCTGTGCTAACTGCTAACCTGTAGTGCATTGCAAAAACCTAAATACTTTCTTTTTCACTGCCTACAATTAACTATTTTTATAATAAAAAAAATAAGATAAAATAAATTATATGTGGCAACATTACGCAAAAAAAATATAATAAAAGTTACAAATGAAAAAGATCTATTATTAGTAATTACCTGTTTCTAATAATTGCAAATAAAAATTTCCCAGCTCATTAGGCTTTGTTACGGCAAGTATTTTAGTCCCGTCTTGCAGTACTAAAATGTCTTCTAGAAGGCAATCATAATCTATGATAAAACTTTTCATAGTGAGGCTACATAGTTTTCGTAATTTTCCTTCAAAGTCCAAATACAAAAATTTACTGAAAGCGAATAATATTGGTCAATAACATCATCTGATCAAGAAAAATATGTAGAAACAATCAAACTTATGTATGAAATTACACAGTATTTTACAAAAAAAAAAGGCATGTAAAGTAAAAATATCCTTGGATATCAGAATATAGTTTCAACACATTATCTTATTGCAAAACTTGAAAAATATCAAAAATAAAGTAAGAGGACTAATTTTATTAAAGCAATTATAAAAAAAATAGTGACCAGTCAAATTTTCTGAAACTTTGGTATGTTGTTGTTCAAGATACTTGATGTTAAAGTTAAAAATTGCCAGTATTTCGGATTTTTTATTTTCAAACTTAAGATTGAATTTCGGTTGCTTACACACGTTTACTACGTATTTATGTAATAAATTTTGATGCAAGAACGTCATAACTCAAAAATGTAATTTTGATGTCAGTTTTGAATTATTGAGAAATTAAAGATCATAAAGGCCCTATTTTTTGATAAACTGTCGCATCTGAACTTTCTATAATTGCCATTAGATGTCGCCCAATGGGTACCAAAAGGTTATTATCTCGTCATATTTCTGGTGCTGTGTTTTACAGCGTTTTATTTCTAATTGTGAGTACTTTACAATATACAAATATTACATTAAACAAAATCTGCATTATTACTTCTAAAATCATTAAATAAACACTACAACAAATAATGGTATTATCATTATAGGATCCAAACAATTTTTTTGAATTAAATAATGTTCCTGTAAAATACTGGATAATTCTATGTAAGTTTAGTTGTGTATACTTACCAGCCTAATGGAAATATCTTTTTAACTTGAAACGGTAAATCGAGTTTAATAACTTCTCGGGTCTCTGTATTTAAAACACTGCAACAGGACCCAATGGTTAAAAGTAACGGATGAAGGAATGATGATAAATTAACTGTGGAAGTTAAATTAAATAATTCTTCATTTACGACCTCAAACTGATTCTCTTTGACTAACGCCTCTTGTACAGAGATTCTAAAGACGATTCCGTCTTTAAATACCACTAAAAACTTTGCTACGCAGCCATTCGAATCTTCTATACTATCATATGCATATAAATTTCGGGGAATAGCACCCTTGTGAAGGCATCTAAAAGGAGTAATACAGAGTGTATAATTAAAAATGGGATATAGAACAACTAAAAATGTTTTAATGAAATATGATTAGGTAAAATGTTATTCGTTCCCGAAATAAAAGTTGAAAAATCAATAATTATTTTTTTATTACTCATTACAACTTTACTAAATTCGGCAAATGTTTTTGCGAAAATATCAGGTAAATAAACTTTACCAATGGCGTACTAGGCTATTGTCCAATAAGTTATTTAGACTATTATTTTAGATGTTTTAATGAATTTTTTGGTAGGTTTTATTTATTTATTCACGGGCCTTGCCCACTTTCAATACAACGTTACAAATAAAAACAAAAAAAAACTCAAATAATATGACATAAGGAGAATGTCTCTTGCAGTGCCGCAAAATCATAGAAACAGTCATCTATCCATGGAATATTTGATTTAAATACTAAATAGCGAAGAAATTTTCTCTGAACCTGTTCTAATCTATGAATGTGACAAGTATACTGGGGGTTCCAGACTGAAGAGCAATATTCTAGCAGACGCCTAACAAGACTACAGTACAATAACCTGATAGCATTAAAACTTGTAGTCTGATGTGTTTCTCTTTATAACCCCAAGCATACCAAGTGCCTCTGGGTACTATTAGTCAATGTGATTGACAAATGACAGCGTAAAGGCCATAATAACACCCATATCTCGAATGGATACAGCTTAAGACATTGGTGTACCCTTGATATTATATTGATAATCCTGTTGATCTTCCTAGTAAAGGATATCGAGTGATGTTTAGGTCCATAGCATTATTCGCACACCATTCATCAAGCCTAGCCAGATCAGACTAGAATTTGAGACAATCCTCTCAAGAGATAAAACTGCTAGGTAGCACTTTAGGTCATCAGCAAAGCATAAACATTTGGCAAACTTGAAACAATCTAAGATATCATTTATAAATAATAAAAATAACAGATGGATTGGGAATGTTTTTAGATCTGTAATTATTCAATTTAACAGTCTGAAATCTTTCAGATAAATAACTCGCCAGCCATTGCAATAATGTTCCCATGATCCCAGCAGTCTCCAGTTAACTTAACAAAGGTTTGTGATTGACCCTGTCGAACGCCTTGGAAAAGTCTGTGTATATGGCATGCACCTCACCCCCTCCATCCAAGACGTCCGACAGATAGTCAACAATAGCAAGTAAATTCAGTTCTGTAGATTTTTTGTTAAGAAACCCAAGTTGTTCTTCTATTATTGATAAACTTAATTTAGATCTTAAGTAATCAGCTACTATCTTTCCAAACAACTTTGGAATAGAACTAAGATTACAGATGGGTCTATATATAGTTGGATATGTCTGCTCTGTTACCAGACTTGAAAATAGGAATATGCCCGAAGCAAGAGACTTATTAAATATAATGTGAAGTGGCCAAGAGAGAACAAAAGCTGAGAACAGAAGGGAGGATACCATCAGGTACTGGTCCCTTGGTAATGTCAATACTAGCCATCTCTTCATAAATGGTTGATATATGAATAACATACTCAGATATAGAAATGTGATTAAGTGACTGTTTACTTTTAGGATCAATATTCGTATCAGTATATACTGACTGGAAGTATTCTGCAAAGAGATCAGATAAATCTGGTCCCAAATGACATTGACTATCATTAAAGAATAGCAATGGTGGTAAATCATTCCTGTTCCACTTTCTTTTAACAAAATTCCAAAACTGTTTTATGTTTCTATGGTTAAAGAAGACTCAGCATTTTCATATTTTATCTAGGTACACAAATATTTGACTGAAAAAGAACATAAATTCAAAAATAAAATAATATACAGTTTCTGCTTTTTAGTGTTTAAGCTCATAATTTTACTTGCTTCAAAATTACTTACCCAGAGAAAATTGATGTAAACTCTCCATTTTCGTTAATTTTTAATAATTTAAAAACGCCTGTGTCTAAACATACAGCAACTAACTGTTGGTCTGGGTATACAGCCATACAAATAATATCATTGCCAAGTGATGCATTAAATATTAGTTCTCGAAATTCTGGACTTCTAAATACTTTCAAATGTTTCCCATTTGAAAAATATAAAAGCCCGTTTTTCATAATAGTATTTATCATTACATCCGATACACCCTAAAAATATTTATAAGGAAAAATTTAATAAAAAATGTTAATAGAATAAATTGAATATTTTTTCATTTTAATATATCACTCTCAGAGCTGTCCTACATTTTCTTAAAAAAAGATTTACAAATAATTCTTAATCATTTTTAATCTTACAGTTAAATGTTCATTATCTGTTTTAAAGCAAATCAGGGTAGACATCTCATATGAACTTTCAGATGCGCAGGTCCTAGTTCCAAAATTAATAGGTTCATCTGCATTGCAAAAGCCTGCTTCAATCAATTCAAAATCGCCCATTTTTCTGAAACAAAAATTTAAAAAATAGCAAAAATTTTCTGGTAAAACAAATTATTTATAAAAAAAAGATATATATTAAAATAGTTATAAATTACATTAATAGGTTTTGAATATACTGCCTAAATCTATGTACAGATAAATCAAATATAAAATTATACAGATAGTTTTCCAGTCTAATTAGCTGAGGAATACGACAATTATCAAAAGTTTTAACAACTCTTCAAATCTATAAAAATAGAAATACTTTATTCTCAGTAATAAATATATACAAAAATGTTTATATAGTCATCAATACTTAAACCCTTAAATAGTACATCCACATAGAATTCTGATCAAATAAAAAAATATCACAAATATTAGGTGAAATGTTTGTCTCTTAGAAAATAATTGTTAGGTAATGTTATATAGGCACATGTCCAGTAATATATTTTTAATTTGCTGTTCAAAATCATTAGTGTATATTAAAAATAATAGAAGATACAGGTACAGATCTTGTGGAACACCTCTTATAATTATTAAAGGTTTACCAAGTTTATTTCTGTATTATACACTTTGTTTTGTAAATAAGAAGCGATCATCTTATTTGCAACTCCTCTAATGCCATATTTATCTAGTTTGTTGATCAACAATGTGTGATTTACAAAGTAAAGTACTTTAGACATATCACAGAATATAACAAATGGCAGTTAGTTATATCAGTGAAGTCATGGGTCAACCTTTTAATACATCTTATCATTTTCATAGATTTACCTATAATTGAAGAGGTGTGGTGGTTAAAGCTAAGGATTGTGTCAAAAATACCTTTAATTTGTTTTACATTATCTGAAAGTTGATCATTGATTGTGTATACTCAAATATATAGTGGGTTGTTGACAATGATAAGAATGGAACGGAATAATGCAACAGTTTCCCACACAGGTATCCTGCAATAATTTATTAAAGTTATCAGCACCAGCCAAAGCTAATCCTAAATTAATTGAAACCTCCCGAACATCGATTAATTTAAATTACAAATAATAGGATCAGAAAAAATAATTGTATAACATTAAAAAACATACAGAAAAAATATTTAAAAAAAATCCAAACTTTAAATTTGTGAAGTAAAAATAAAGTTTACAGTTTATAAAGATTGAAGGTGAATATATTGTGTAAATTGTATGAGGTATTTTATTTATTAAATGAGTTTTTTGCACTTTTGTTTGCCCTCTTTCACATCCTCCCGTTTCCAAATAAAGTTGATAAGAATGAAGAATCGATATGTATTTATATACATAAAAATACGCTACCTATTATTTGTCTTATTCTTCACTATATTTAACTAAAATGTTCAGCGCTTAAACAACACGCAACACCTTATAAATAAACAAAAATAACAGCACAATAACAGAGCCTAAATAATCAAAATTCAAATATTTCTTCTTCTTCTTTTTTTCTTTTAATTGGCTGTGTCCATGATACAATTTACCCAGCTAACTCTTCAGGGACTGTTTTAAGTCTTGCTCGAGGTAATTAAACAATCCCCATTTTTACATTGTTTCTTGATTAGTTCAAAAGGATTTTTCAACCAACTTAATTACTTCACTTTTTCACTTTTCGGTGACATATCACTTTAGTGTCACAAAATTACAGATTTGACATATGTTTTAAATAAAACTACAGATAGATATTTCTTGATTTTTGGAAAAAAAATTGCGGATTATAGTCAAAATTCAAAAATATGGCCTTTCCAAGTTGGAACTATTTTTTATTGCGGATGTTAAAAACTACCTATTACTTGATAAAAGCGTAGTAATTTAGATTCGCGCATGCTCTCTTGTGCGTTTGTCGAGAATTTGATTTTATTTATCGCAATTTTATTTGTGTTTTTATATTTTACATAGGTTTTAAGTGTTTTTTTTGATTATTTATTAAAAACTATTTATGAGCATATTGCATTTTAAATCAATAAATATTTCTAAATTTTATGTTGTGTTTACTGCAACAATCAATAGATAAGGCAACTTAGGTTTGTTTGGTAGCGATATTAAGCTGAGAAGCAAGAACGTATATTCTTTGATCTGTGTCAGTTGGCCGGGAAGCAAATTATTTTAAAAATTATGTTTTCATTACAGGCGACATTCAATTAATTTTTTACGTGGGTTCGGTTACGTATTTTTTTTTAATTATTTTGATATTTCCATAATGACAAATATTCAATTTTTTTGTAAGTGATGTTTTCTTGTGCAAATATGGAAAAAATGTTTCATGACGAAAAATATATATTTTTTTAAATTGTTTCTCTATAGGTAAACATACTGCATTTTTCCAAACAACAAAATATATGGTTTTAGATCACTTCAATTTTTCATTATATTTTTCTCGAAAAATGCTGTTTTTCTATTTTTTTTTGCGAAAATTTACTATAGAAACTAGTTATTTTTGGGTGTTGACAAATTTTTGCAAAATTCGTACTTGAACTCGAGGAACAATTCACTCATGTTCCAAAAAATAAAAAAATTGAGGTTAGAAAAAAATGGTTATAATTTGAAAAAATCCGCACTTTTTTGTAAAGAATTAGTCTCTACTACATTCAAAATGGTTCTATTTTTTTTCTAAATGGCTTATTTTTTGTGACACTAAAGTGTTATGGACCCCATACGCTATTTCTTTGCCTACTTCGGCGACTCTTCTATTCAATCTTCTGACATTCAAGACTTTACAAAAAGCTAATTGTGTATCAAAGGAATTTTTAATTTCCTCATCAGTGAAATTTTTATAAACATTTTTAATTATTCCTTTACATGAAATGTTGTGATTCGGGATAAAAACCTCATATTTTAATGTTTCCCATTTTTTATCATTAATAAAATTATTAGCTGAAGAAATATCAGAAAAAATTACACCTATACGGTTTTTGCCTTTTCGGGTGACCTTGACAATTTGTTTTAAATTTAAGTCGAAAATTGTTTTAGCAATGCTAATTATGTGAAAATTGCCTATATTTTTATCATTTCCCTGTACATAAACCTCGTAAGGGCCAGAGTCAGAGGCTGAATAAAGATTTTTTTTGTTTTCTTTTAAAATTAATTCAATAGTCAAAGTGGGATCAGAGGGGGGAGGGGGTTCATCTGGATCCCCCATTTTTAGGTTGGGGGAGACCTAATTACTGGAAAAATTTCTAACAATAGAATAGAAAGAAAAAGGAGTAGATAGGAATAAATTTAACAAAGGTAATATTAGTAATACCCTTATAAATACCTTCAAAATTTTCAGTTGGAGAACGAACGATGTGCACAGTTACAGTTCAAAACTCAAAAACCGTTTTCACTTCTATGGTTTTCACAAATATTTAAAATGGACATTGACATTTGACATTAAATTCAGTTAATAAGGTGGGTTCGGTTAGTAAGCAGTTCACGTGAAGCAGGACAGGTGCACTGAACTATTTAGGTATATTTCAGTCCCAGTATTATGTCTGTAATATTATTCTTCATACTGGAGTTTTTTTTTCGATTTATGGCCAAGGTGTATATACCTAATATGCCAGTCTCAAGTTTGTGTTTTTAAATTCTCAATCATGTATGCAGGCTTTGTTACTGTTTCCCAGCGCAACTTCAGGAACAGCACTGTTAATTAGAACCCAACAGTGAATGATCGAGTGGGGAATCCTACCAAGGCATTAGAATTAATTTTAAATAATTAAATTAAATTAAAAAATCCCTGTCAACGGTGGGATTCGAACCTGGGACCCTTGGATCCACAGGCAGAGACTCTACCACTGAGCCACCCACCCCCTCCATAATGGAGTTAGTGGACAGGAACGGATCGGGGAACAGCAATGAACTGGAGTGGGGTAGAATGCTTGTCAATAGACTTGATGTGCGACTCTATGGGCGAAGATAGGTTATTTTTTATCTCACTCGGGAGTATTTAAAATAGCCAGTTTCTATTTCACATTGTTATTGTCTGATCCACTAGCTTGTGGATTGAACAATAACAATGTGAAACAGAAAATGGTTATTATAAATAGTCCCGAGTGAGATGAACAATAAAAATGGCTGCGCCCATCGAGTCGCACCCAATGAACTGGAGGGGGGTAGAATGCCAATGTACATGTTGTACTATTAGAACAAGGTGCGACTCGATGGGCGCAGCCATTTTTATTGTTCATCTCACTCGGTACTATTTATAATAACCATTTTCTGTTTCACATTGTTATTGTTCAATCCACAAGCTGGTGGATCAGACAATAACAAAGTGAAATAGAAAATGGTTGTTATAAATACTCCCGAGTGAGATGAAAAATAACCTATCTTCGCCCATAGAGTCGCACATCAAGTCTATTGACAAGCATTCTACCCCACTCCAGTTCATTGGTCGCACCTTGTTCTAATAGTACAACATGTACATTGGCATTCTACCCCCCTCCAGGTCATTGGGGAACAGGGATTCATATGTGGGAACCATAGCCCTCAGAAAGTCTAGATACCGCTTGGCGTGTGCTGTCAATACAAAAAAATGACCCCATTCAAGCTTGTCGCCATGTTAGTTAAATTTATGTTTTGGCTACACTGATTTTTAGTTTGTGTGTTCTGTAATACGTGAACACCGATAATCTGCACTTTGTTATTAGTTATATGTGAGTGAGACGCACAATTTCTAATTTCAAATTAAGAACAAAACTTTGACAAACCTATTTGATTTTCCTAGATCTGTTCAGACAGGACCGGTTTTATAAATTTTCTCGTTCTTGAAATATTATTTTTACATGGTTATATATATTATTGGATAAGTGTTTTGTTTACATATTGCTATGAAAATTATAGAGAAATTCAGTGAGATTTATGTAATATAATTCAAATTACAAGTAAACCATCTGTTCTTGTTTGGCAATATGGAGAAACTACCTACTTGAATGTCAAATGTACTATTTAAAAGAATGTGATTGTTAACCGGTCAATTATTTATATTATATTATGAAAATAAAAACTCGAATTTTTTAACTAGGGAAAGATATACTTACATCGGTAACAAGGTATTTTTAGAAAAACTGATAGATTACTCCTATTCCTATAGTTTATTTGAAAATGAATAATAGCAAAATTATATAAAAATATGGACCTTTGCCATAAAAACTGTGCTACCAAGCATTTTCAAATAAACTATAATGATAATTTGATTTAATAGAGCGAGTATAAGATCTCACCTGTTAGAGAAATTGGGGCATAGGGAAGAGATTATGAAGCAGGTAAGCAAAGTCGTTGCAGAAGATAAATATATAGAAGTTATTTTAAAAATTTGATAAAAAAACTAGTGGAACAACAAATGGAGTTGTCGCTATCGGAGATCCAATCAGCAAAAAGTAAAAAAACAACTTTGGGAATGTTGGAAAAGGGCACAGCAATAGGCCCAAAACAATTCCTTGGTTTTTTAATAAATATAATCTTGTGAGATGCAAAAAATACTGCTAGAGTGGAGAAGCAGTATTGTTCTAATGTAGAAAACCCAGGGACATACAGCAGTGCACTAACCATAGGCGAATAGTCACTAAATTATACAAGAGTCCCATCTCGATTTTATTTTTAAATATTTTTGAGAATACCTATTATTATTTGTTACATTGAGTTTAATAAACCACAGATTTCGAATGTATTGAAAGTTATTTAAAAAGTACCTCTATAAATATATAGAAAATGTGTATACGACTAACTGGTTTTATTAATCTTTTTTTGGGGTAGGTAAATATATTTTGAAAAATTTACAAACTTCTTTTGAATAAAAGACAAAATATTTCTGCTTTTATTAACTGAACAGTATTTTATACAAACATAATATATACCTATTTAAAAGAAAATATTACATTTTACAAGTATCGCATATTTATATGAAATAACTTACTCAATAAGAAAGAATTAAATGAAACAAATTAATAAACAATGGATATGAAAAATTGCTTTAACAATTTAATCCTTAGATAAACTTATTCTTACATATTGCTTTAATCAATTTATTTACTATAAAAGTATATTTTCTATCATTTATTACATGTAATAAAATAAAGCATAAAACATACAAACTATAATATGTACCTACTTAGAACGGAACTAATATTAATAGAAAAACCTGACCAAAAGATGTAGAATAAATGTCGCAACGGTTTTTAAAAATTACGACTTTTATATCATTTCGTTGGCAGTATATGTCCAAAAGTGTACTAAATTTCTAAAATAATGCATTCAGATATTTCTCTAAATGAACAAAAAGTACACAATAATATTGGTCTATAAATTGCCGTTTGATTTCGTCATACTTTTAAATATTATATTGTACATATTATTGTTTCTTTACACAATTCACTATATTTTCACGTTTTTTTGTTAATGCAAAAAGAAAAATTTGTTTCATAAGTTATTTCACTGAATAAGTTCTAGTTTAACAATATACATTCAAAGACTTAAATTAATGTCACCAGTGTGTTACATAGAAAGAGTTTGTTGGTGATTATCTTTCTTCAGCAAATATTTCATCATGGCTGAAGAAACAATGAACTTGTAATATAACTAGTGAATGATGCAATACACATTGCTCAACTTTTATAGGCTATATAAATCTAATGAATTTATTACAAAGAATAATGGACCATAAAGATGCGATATAACAGAAAAGTTTTATTGTAAAATTACTTGGTTAATAATTAAATTACAATGGCATAAATTAAGTTGTACATAAATAATTTAAATAAACACAAGTAAGCTATAAAGGGTTGTACATGGGCAAATAAAATAAGACAAAACCATATTGTGAAAAAATTATCATCAGAAGAAAAAGTTGTGTCAAGGTAGTAATAGTGGACATTTTCCGAATAAAAAAAAAAGTAAAAAAGAAGTAACGGTCGACACGTTTTTCTGACTATTGGTCTTCATCAGTACGGTGCAGCCAAGTTCAAAGGATCATGGAACTTGTGTTGGAAAAATTGTACAACAAATCACTAACAAGGAGCCAATAACACAGTTGCCGTTTCAGCTAGTATCCCCAAATTTTCTGGGCTTATACTAAAGTCACAATGATTCAATGGTCTTCCTATGGCTATCAGTTATTCTTTCCTAAAATTTTTTGGTATGCTACAACAAAACATACAAATTATTTGATTTTGTAAATACACGAATATTTGTGAAAACTTACACATGAAATGTTATTCCTTCCTTGTATCTTCTACCGTTAGATGCATTGTTACATTCACGTACAAAACAACAAGAGATTTTGAAAATCCTGTAAAAATTTAACACCAAACCACAAATGTTTTTTATTAAAATAAAACACTAAACGACTAAACTAAAAAATAATGTATTAAATAAAACCTCTACTAGAAGAACAAAATAAACAACATAACATATAATAAAATCGATTATATACGTCGAACGCCGATCTTACGCTTATTACTAAACTTGCGCCGATTCTGTCTTGTTAGTAGTGCCAACTTAAAATTTATTGACATTTATTTATCATGGCGCCCATCATATAGGGGGTCAAAATGTTTTTACGATGCGGTATCTAGACCTTCTGAGGGCTATGGTGGGAACTCGTCTTGATACGTAGAATAGAGAGAGACATATTACATAAGAATCTCTGTCTGTCGAACGAAGGCGTCTCGATACGCGAGGTCAGGCTAGGGGATCTTTAATAGGGAAATGCTTACTCCAATGAACTGGAGTGGGGTAGAAAGCTAATGTGCATATTGTATCAATTGAACAAGATGCGACTCGATGGGCGCAGCCATTTTTATTTCTCATCTCACTCGGGAGTATTTATAATAACCATTTTCTGTTTCACATTGTTATTGTTCAATCCACAGGCTGGTGGATCAGACAATAACAAAGTGAAATAGAAAATGGTCGTTATAAATACTCCCGAGTGAGATGAAAAATAACTTGTCTTCGCCCATTCGCCCATAGAGTCGCATCTCAAGCCTATTGACAAGCATTCTACTCCACTCCAGTTCATTGGCTTACTCGTGTTGTAGTACTGTGCACCACCCATAGATGGCGCTACTTTACACAAAGTTTGCTCGTTGCATTCGTCGAGCAGATTCAGAGTGTATTCAGAGCAGGTTCAGAGTAACGCAAGTTGTTATTTAAAACTTTCAAAGAAAAAAAACGCTAAATGGTAATGGTTGATTTGTTTTATTAGGGTAGTTTTTCGAAGAGAATTTTTAAAGCTTTAAACATATATAATTATGGTGCGAATTCGTCCTTGTGCTGATCCAGATTGTCAGGATAAAGTTAGTCGCAGGTATTAAGGAATACATTTATAATTTTATTTCTTTACAAGTAAAAACTTCTTTTTGTATTTTATTCTTAAATACTTTGCCAAATTTTAAGAGCATATATTATTACTTAAAAGTACCCAATTTGTGAAATAAATTTCAAAAATAATGCGGGTAACCTAATGTTTTCTAGGAAAAATTAAAAATCTTAACCTAACTTTTATCATTTTCTATACAATTTCAGTAACTAGATAAAATATATGAATATTAAGAAGATTGAAATAAATAGTGTTATTAGTATTTTTTTAGAATTATACAATATGTAATGGATACTTTATATTAGATACCTATGTACGGAATTCAGAATGAGGTACTTTTCAAACATACTAATAATTGTATATTTTATATTGTGCGACTCTTATTATTTTTTGCTCCATATACTGTGACCTACCTCACCTAGGTATCTTCACAATTTATTGATTCCAATTAATAAAAGTTGCATTCTTACTATATTCAAATTCCTTCATTTTATTGAAAAATCTTCTGATATATTTTTAAGAAATGCCGATTCATTCTCACTAGCTAATAAATTAATAGCTCAGCTGAATTGACTCAAAACAAAAATAATAAAATTGAACTTTATATTTTTTAACTGATACTCTTCTTCATTTTTTACATGAAAACGAATCAGCAAACACTGCAATAGGAAGTGACAAGTACACCCAACAGCAGCCAGAGCCAACTTTCCCCAGGAACTTTCGTTACAACTTCTAGTGGATACAACCATGGGTGAACTTCGTAATAGTTTTATATTCATATTTCTTTATTATTGTGTACTGTAATAAGAATTCGTGCAATTTTAATTCTAATAATAAAAAATATATGGTTATAATCGTGTTTTACTTCATAATAAGATGTATTTTTTGTTCCACAAATCCAAAATTATAATTTTTCGTTTTCTTTTTAACTTAAAATATTTCAAATTTTACCTATCACAGAACATAACCCAATGGATTATATCCATCTAAGTATGTTGAGTGAAGAATAAAATGTTTGAATCATTTTAGGTAAAAAAGAACGAAAAATTATAATTTTGAAAACTTAGTAGTGGTTTATTAGAAAGGCCGAGTTTGAAAAACCCGCGCTCATTGACCCCTACCGCCATCTATATAATAAATCTTGAACAAATTTTCAATTATTAGTTATCTTCTTTTTTTTTAACTCAACTATTTGCAACCGCTACGGATGGCGCTGAAAGATGAGTAAAATTTTTCACTGTTGAGTGGGCCATCTTTAAAGGGTATGGTCTGTGCGCGAGGTATCGAAAGATGACAATTAGGCCAAACCGTGATTGTTCACTAGGTTCTTTCGTTCGCTATTGGTGAAGTGTACACCAGTGTAAATTACACCAGTTACACCACTTTATTTACCTTAGTTTACTTCCTTCCTTATTCCTTATATACATGTCGAGTGTAATTCACTCCTGCTAAATAGCTGGTGGAGAAAATATCCACCAGTGGAAAGAAAATTAATTAAACAACAAAATCAGACTAAAAGAAATATACGGGGCCCAAATTAAATTAATTTTAATAAAATGCACATGTTCATAACAAATTCATAACATTGTCAGTTTTAATACTTTTAATCGATATTTCGACGTCAAAAAACCAGCAACACCAGCGCCCTCTGAAAATGGTGTTAGTTTTATTGGAGAGAGATAGACATATGTAAAGATCAATGTAAAAGAAAAAGAGGGTCATATATGTAGTTTAAATGGACCACCGAACATATTTTCCTATTAAGTTACACGTCTCTGTTGTCTCCGCTGCTGCCAACGACACTTTTCTTTAACCAATCACTAACACGTATTCTCCTATCCGTCAAGAATAGATGTTGGTGATTGGTCGAAGAAGAGTTTAGTCAGCGATAGACATCGTCCTGTGTATTAATGGTCCAAGTGTTTAACTGTCATCTGTCAATCTGCATTCGTATCGCGGTAAAATTAGTTTTTAAATTATTAAGGCTTAGAAAGTACGTGGAAAGTACCATGCAGGATGCAGGCTTCATTTATTTAGTTAATAACTAAACAAATATGATTTAACTTGTTCAGAAATCATGGCCATGCTAATTTGTGCTTAAATATTATTACTGTTATTCATATAAAATATACTATTAAATGAGTCAATGTTATTTTTCTTTGATCTTATGCACAAGGTGAATAATAATTAATTTAATAGTGGAAATGTTTTTATAATAGTAATACTATAGTTTCCTAAATCGTGACGTCAAACTAATTTTGTACATATATAAAGATAATTTTTAATTTAAAACGAATTGTTGGCAACCAATAATACACAAAAGGAGAGGATGTTTTATCAATTTTACTTCTATCCATAGAAATATTTATATTGCTTATATCTAGAATCTGGATCTAATAGGATTTTGTCTACTGCTCTTATTATATTTTCGAACATACTGCATCAGGGTTTAAAGAAACATGCGTGCATCCAATATTTAAATTTTAATTTAATTAGTTAGACACTTTTACATATATTTGATCATTATAATTGATTTTAGTTTAAATTAAACATAAATAATAATGTACACCTATGTATAATTTTAATTCCAGAATTGGAAAAGGTGTTGAAAAGAGAAGGCGAAAAATTATATAAATAATATATTTAACACAGTTGGCACTGACAATGTCAATAGAATTTAAAAAATGAATTATTGTTTTCCATAATTTTATTATACACATTTTGCTGCTTTTTGTATTCCTTTTTTCAGAGTTTTTGTAGAGGTAAGTTTATATTAAAATACAAGTATACCTACAAACAATTATATTAATACATTATAATGCATGTTATATCACCTTTTTATTCGACTTAAGTATGTTACCTTCGGAACTGTATCTTGACATATATTTAAGTAATTTTAAATTTAGAGGATAAGTAAATCTATTCATTAAAATTTGTTGCTGATTAATCGAAATCAGAATTTGCTTTGCGCACTCTGTAATACATTGATTAGGTAATTTGGCCTTAAATATTGATGCTATAAAGATTAAATTTGAATAAGTATATTTTCCCGGGTTCTGCGGATGTTTGACGTTCCCCCTCCGCAAATACTCAATAACCTATTGCCCTTGCGCTTAGACGCAAGACGCGCCATTTGCTAAACATTAGTTCGTGATGGCAATGGTAAGTTTTTTACACAAATAAATAGTTGTATAAGCATTGAAATGGATAATTGTCTATATTATGTCACTTCCTTATTGTGATACTTTAACAAGTTAATTTTAGATGTTTTTAAAACGTGTAAAGAAGGTTTTTAATTGTTGAAACGAGGAGGAGTTGATAAGGTTTAGCCAATTGATGGATATTTTTTTAGATAAACTTCTCACGGGATTAAAATTTCGTGACAAACAGGCCTAGTATAACAAGAAACATTTATAGTATTGTGGTAACTACACAATACCAGTTAGCAACTATGGGTACAAATATAAAGGAAGAGTTTTCAGAATCGAAGGATTACGTCGTAAAAACTGAAGAATTCGAAGATCTATCTGAAACGATGTTAGAAGGCATAGGAAATGACAAAAAACCATTAGAAGATGCTTTATTGGCAGATCCAGATAATTGTGCCATGTGTGGGTGAGTGGATTATTGACATTTTTGTATAAAATGTGCGATCCTAACCCTTTATTTTTATTTTAGTGGTGCTCTAGTAATTCCTCGAATGCTTCATTGTTTACATGTATTTTGCGAGGATTGTCTTGACAAAAAACTTGTGTGTGACGGCGCTGGTGATGCAGGATCCAGAGATACTTCAGTCACCTGCCCTACTTGCAGTTATTCCACTCTGGTTAGTGCCTATTTATTGTTATTATTAAACTGTCTTTATTGTATAATAATGTGCAAAGTTGTATAATTTTGAACCCTACATTACTCGGATTTAAAGTGGATTTGCTAGAATGCATGTTGCTTTCATCTTCAAATGTTTTATTTTTGGCTTTGGTGAAGAGAACAACTCTGAGGAATTACTTATATATGACAAAAACTGTTTTTAATAATCGTTGTGTTTTATTGAAAATGAAGGTAAGGTATTGATTATTTTACATAGTTTTGTTATAATAATATTAATGGAAAAGGTCCTCAATAGGTAATAGAAGTGGGTTGATAGGTAGTCAAATATGAAGAACATTTATGATGATTTGTACAACATTTATTGCCATTATCAGCTAATATATTGTCGAATAATTAAATTTTAATTAATTAAAATCTTAATTTTTAATTTTTTTTACCCTAAAAAGATAGCAAAGATTAAGTACCTTAGTTTAAGGGATATTAACGAGTTTTAAATAGTTATCAACAGGTCAATATTTAAAAATTTGAGAAAGTAGAATTGGACAATTGTGTGATTTTTCAGTCACACTTTGAATGGGATATTCTCCTCTGAATAGAAAATATATAAATAATGAAAAATTAGGCATCCCAACGACCTGTCCAAATGGCTACCAGTGGGGACTGACAGAGACAGTTTAGATAATGGCAACTCTGTTGTCAATGCTACATAGTTATAATAGATTGCTCAAAGCTGGTCATTTGTGAGCGGCCATATTGCCTGGCAAATAATTTGAACTAGTTTAGCAAAAATGTGTTTTAAAACAGATTTTCAGCCTTTGGATACCTAATTAAAAAAAAATGTTACATTTTTACTTTTAAAACAGTGGATGATCAATCTATATAACTATCTATAGCATTGACCCTATCAAACCACCAGGCTCACAGTGTTGCCCTAAAAATTGAAAAAGGGCAGGTATTTAAAGTTTAAAACGCTATATTACTATATGGACATTTGGCAAAGGTGTAAGGTTGTTTCTTAGATATTCATCTGTTCTGCACTCTTAAAATGATTCAATCCTTTTCTCTCATTTAAAACAAATGAGAGAAGGATTTTAGAAGAGTTAGGATCAGTCTCTTAAATTTATTTATTATATCCTTTATCAGTTAGGCATTGTAAAACAAAATGGTTGCCTGTGGGTAATGACAGGTTATGATATGGCAACCCTGTGGTCCTGGTGTTTTGACAGGGTCAGTGATATAGTTATATGGATTGCTCATCCATGTTTTTCAAAATTAATACAGTAGTCTATTTTGTATCATGCAGTTGCTAGCTAGCAAGTGGCTTAGACAAAGGTCAGTTGTTAAGTTACCACTTTGAAAAATCAGAATTCTCTAAAGTAAAATCTGTAACAACTGCAACTAGATGCTGAGAAAAAAATATGGATAATAAATATTTAAATATATCAAGACATTAATAGGAAATATGTTTATTGATAAGATAATCAGAACTTATCATATTTTTTTCTAAAGATTTGTTATAAGAATAAAGCAAGACTTAGCAAAGCTTACTATTTATTGCTTGTAATCTGTATCTGTAAGGTGTGTTCCCCTTACATTACTTAGGCCCCAATAGCCTCATTGTGCACCCTCCATATGCTAACTTTCAGGTGAAATGTCTATAGGGATGACTACCTCTCAGATCGTCAACAAGGCCTGTAGAACTGCTTGAGATAAAATTGCATAATACATTTTGCTGTATTAAGTTTTTTTTTTTAATTTCAAGCCAGTCCACCAACATAATGTAACCATTTCCAAATGATAAAATTACACTTCACTTGACGTCCCGGCACTTTCGACTCGAAGGTTAAGTTGTTAAAAGCCTGATCTACGCCACTTAATGACTTATACTACCCACGATAGATTTATTCATTGCTAACAAAATACTGAAACATTAATATGTTACACTTTTCCTTAAATTTGTCCATTACGATATTCATGATTCATATTGGTAAAAAAAAAAATGAAAAACAGATTTTTTAATTCGGTTAATTTTCCGTACACAAGTTCAGACCCGGATTTATTAACTCATTTTCTTTTCAGTTTTTCTTAAAGTTATTTGAAAAAGATGTTTATTTTAAAGACCACAGTAAAAACGTATCAACTTAAGATTCACCATGTATATATATTTTTTTTGAGTATATTTATACTTATTATTATTATAATTATTAATTTGCTAAACGAAACAAACAGATTTATTAAAGTGGTAAAAAAAATGAAAAACAGATTTTTTAATTCGGTTAATTTTTCGTACACAAGTTCAGCCCCGGATTTAAATTTACTATCTCATCTCTTATTGTTGTTTTTTTATTTAAAAAGGATGTTTGTTTTAAAGACTTTTATACAGCAAAAAGTATTAACTTAAGATTCACCCTGAATATACTTTTTTTTTGAGCATATACTCATTATGTTATAATTATTAATTGCTAAACGAAAAAAAAAAACAGATTTATTAAATTGTTTAATTTTTCGTACACAAGTTCAGTCCCAGATTTAAATTTATTATCTCATTCCCTCTTAATGTTGAGTTTTTTTAAAGTTATTTAAAAATGATGTTTATTTTAAATACTTCTATATAGTAAAAAAGTATTAACTTACGATTCACCCTGTATATACTTTTTTTTGAGTATACCTATCATACTCATTATATAATTATTATTAATTTGCTTTTTTTACAATAATATTTATGTTCTATTTTTATTCAATAAAAATCCACTGTTTTTGTTCTTATTTCACTAACCTCTTACCTACTCCTCTACAAAATTTTCACAAACATTCGCTTATTTTATTTTTTCGTCACATTGTTTATAAAACGTAATAAATGTAATTGTATTTGCAATTCAAAAAGCTACCCTTCCATTAAAAAAACAGTTGGGGGTTGCTGCAACCCACCAGATATTTAAAAAATGTAAACAAACCTCTTTATAATATGCCCAATTAAAAATTATGTGTTTCAGGAATTCTGTGACAAACCTTTATTATGTTACATAATTTGTTCCAGTTAAACCCAGTACATAATATAAAGGTTCTTAATATCCATAATGTAACTTTCAATGAAACGAAAATTTGATAATTTTTTTTATTTCAAGAATATATCTAATAAAAAACAGGTGGGCGGAGGAGGCGATCCAGTCCTGATAATTGATTTAGGCAACCAATAATGCAAATGTGTAATTTTCGTAGTTTTTCCAAAAATGCCGTAATGTGCATGCGTTGCAGTGCCGTTAAACATCGCAGAGCTGTTCCATTTTTGATAACGTCTGCAGGATCGTGTAGCATTCCACTGCTGGAGAGTTCAGTGGTCTATACTGATTTTTCCAAGACTTTCAACAGGGTTAACCATAACTCTCTTACTTAAAAAGCTTGTCAAATATGGCCTGGGTGGAGCATTTCTGTAATAGATTGGTAGCCATCTTACTAATAGAACTTAAATGGTTAGAGCTTGTAACAGACTTCTGGCCAATTATCTCGGTTGTTACGGACGGAACCACAAGGGGGGGTTCATCGGTTAGTAGTTCGGGGATGTACAGCAGTACTCGGTCCTTGGCAATTTCCTTGAAAATGCAAATTTCGTCAAGGCGTTCCAAAAATGCGGCTGGATCATCACGGTTTCCAAACGAGAGGTTCCACTCGTGCGTTTGGATAGGTACGGGCCTAACGGTGGGCAATGGGGGTGTCATGGCGGGGCAGAACGGTTTTCTCACAGAAAAGAAAAGAGAAAAAAAAAGAAGATGAACAGAAAATAAATTCGGAGAAAAAGGAGAGAGAGAAAAAAAATCTACCCTTATTCCGGGGGTGGAAAACCTTTAGCAGTCAGGTCCCTGCTCGGGCGCCATTTGTGACAGGCTTCTGGTTCACCTACAGTGAATCGGCGAGTCTGTGTGGCGCTATGAAGGTGATTCCCGAAAAGGGGTTGCTCAGGCGCCAGTTTTGGTATCCCAGTTTGCTCTGCGACCCTGTGGTACACCAGAGTGTACTCAAGGTGAACTCAGTGGAGGTAAATAATTCCAGGCGGTCACTGCTAGGTAGCCACTATATATACTAGAATAAATAAAAATAAAACACTTATCTCCTTTACACCTCGTACCCTACGGTACCCTGAAAGAGAACGGTTAAGAACCAGTAATAAGAGAAACAGGAACAGGTAATAAAATATATATTTACAAAAAATAATACAACAGTAATTAAATATGAACGGCCCCCTATATGCGAAAAACTTATTAAAAATAAATTATTACAATTGAAAACAATTTAAATATGACGGTAATCAAATGCAAGCAAATAAATGAAATCAAAGTTTTCGGAACGTCCCTGTATCTTAGACCGATCGACACTCTGGCAATTATTATTGAACGAGAATGATAATTTTTAGCGCGGTGTTTGGGACAAAAATGCGATGGTTAACGTAAAAATTATTTTGAGATTTGAATTGATTTTACAGAATTCGTCGGCTTCGTTCAATAATTAGTTGTGGACGGGGAACGGAATGATTCAAATACAATTGAATGAATAAATAAAAGAAAAGAGAAACATACATGAAAAATACTGGGTGCTTCTTATAAAAAAAATTGCCAACGATTTCCCACTAAGGGATGAAATGAAAAATGCTGGGCATGAATCAAAATTATTTCACTTGTCGGATGGGTGTCCCAAACTAATTGTAAATAAAAAATAATAATTGCGGTTTCCTACCTTTAGAAAAATAAACGGGGTTGTTCAATATTCTTTCGATATTACGGCCACTTACGGAGTATTTACTAGGCACTATAGAAGAGCGAATAGTTTTCGGCTGTCGGCAATCAAAAGAGTAGAGCTTACGGTGGTCGGCAATCAAGAAGGGTAATTCCCAGACGTCATCGAATTTATGCTTTTTCGCTGTGACAAGATGGAAGACCGGTAAGCCCGAGTGGGGGATACCACCATTACAGCTGACTATTTACAATTTAGAAATATAAAAAATGTCCTTCTAGTACCTTGACAAATAAAAGTAGATAATCGGTACGAAATCGACTCTACAAAATGCCCATTTGGATTTCGGCAAATATAGGAATATTTTAATCTACGAGGGTACTTGCAAATGTTGAAAAACGGCAATTCCTGGGAAACAGAAATACGGGGGAACTTTACATGTTCTCAGGCGGGAATTAATTGAAATATACATTTTTAAAGTAATTGAGAGCAAAATTTAGTGACTTCGTCACAAGCTAATCACCACTATTATAATTTATTTCAAGTAACATCAGATGTTCCTCAGGAGTCAAATCTAGGACCCTTACTATTTAATTGATTTATTAATGATATCATTTATTGTTTTTATAAAAGCAAAGCTTTATTATTTGCAGATGACTTAAAATTTTTCAAAATTGTTAAAACCCATGACGATGCTCGTAGACTTCAGTCTGACCTCGATAATATATCAGAATTATAGTTTTTAAATGACATGGACTTGATTGCCAATAAATGCCATATACGTTTTTATCGTTCCTACCTACCTCCAACTACATTTGACTATAACTTAAATGGGCATATCTTATAGTCGGAAAGCTAGTAACACAAATTTCATTAAGTGTTTGATGCACTTTGAAATTTTGTAATTTGAACTCATTTGGATGGAAAAGCAGATATACCTGTGTTGGCTAGACCCACCCCGGGACACCAGGTACTGCGCATAATAGAAAGGGGTCGTAAAATATGACCCAAAAAAAGTGTTTGATTCAGAGGCCAACAAACAACAATTGAAAGTTTAGGTAATTCTAAAAATACTAGTAATTTAGACAGGCACTTTTGAGAGGGTTTATAATTAATAAATCAACTCCAAAGTTGATTTTTTTTAAATATGATTTAAAGTGTTTGATTCACGCTGAAATTTTAATAGCGTCTTAATTAAATATAAAAAAAATTAATTTAAAAAGGCAGACACTTTTCGGGGTTTAATTGCCGGCCAACATAAAAATAAGTCCTATTTACTATAGTAATAAATTGTTATATATTATAAGCGATTCCAAACTTCTATCAATACGTGCTTGGTGGCGCAGAGCGTACAGTGGTCAAAATTTGGATAGTGTGGATAGCAAGTTGGTGGTTCGAGCCCCGAAACTTTTAGTTTTTTTTGTTTTTTTTGTTTTTTTTTTTTTCTTAAAAAGAAGGAAAAATATGATTGTTTTATTATTTCACAGTCTTGGTAATTTAAAATGTTTAGTTTTTCCTTTTTTTTTAAGAAAAAAAAACAAAAAAAAACTTAAAAGTTTCGGGGGCTCGAACCACCAACTTGCTATTCAAATTTTGACCACTGTATGCTCTGCGCCACCGAGCACATATTGATAAAAGTTTGTAATCGCTTATAATATATAACAATTTATTACTATAGTAAATAGGACTTATTTTTATGTTGGCCGGCAATTAAACCCCGGAAAAAGTGTCTGCCTTTTTGGAATTATTTTTTTTTATATTTAATTAAGACGCTATTAAAATTTCAGCGTGAATCAAACACTTCAAATCATATTAAAAAAATCAACTTTGGGGTTGATTTATTAACTATAAACCCTCTAAAAAGTGTCTGCCTAAATTACTAGTATTTTTAGAATTACCTAAACTTTAAATTGTTGTTTGTTGGCCTCTGAATCAAACACTTTTTTTTGGTCATATTTTACGACCCCTTTCTATTATGCGCAGTACCTGGTGTCCCGGGGTGGGTCTAGCCAACACAGGTATATCTGCTTCTCCATTCAAATGATTTCATTACAAAATTTCAAAGTGCATCAAATACTTAGTGAAATTTGTGTTACTAGCTCTTGGACTATTAATAGACCTTGGAATTATTCTTGATCTCATTTTCAACTTTAACCAACACATATCTGCTGTTGTCCACAAATCCATGAAAATGTTGGGTTGCCCCATGATTCGGTAGTTAGACCTTAACTATTGCTCTTCTGTTGGTCTCCACACAATAGCTTTATTCGCGGAGCCTGTCGGCGACATGTCCATGACAGATGAGCATGCGCATGCGCATTTCGATTTTAAGCGTTCGTAGAGCCGAAAATCGAACTCTTAAAACATCTTAAAATCTAAATGCGCATGCTCATCTGTCGTGGACATGTCGCAGACAGGTTCCGCAAACGAAGCTTATATAACATAGTAGGAATATAGACAGTGTTCAGCACAATTTTCTCATAAGTTTTGGGTGTTTATTGTGAATATGATTTCATGGAACAGTTTCTGAGAATATCTTCCTTGGAAACTAGGCGAAAACAGATCTTTCTTTACTATTTAGTAGATGTAATTGTACTATTCTTGAAAAAATAAATCTTATTCAAACTCGTTCAACTAGGCAAATGCAAACATTTTATGTACCTATTTATAGATCAAACCAAGCTTTTGAACAGCTGCGTTCCAAGAATGCTTAGATTAGGTAACTTGCACAATGATCTAAGCTGTTTAATATTCCATTTTCATCATTCAAAAAAAACAAAAACTTATACTGAGCTTTAATGCTAATGTTTTACTGTGTATTTTCTCTTTTTTTAACCTTCGACTGACTAATTTTGTTTTTTTAAATGTTCCTGGTCTATACGACATGTTTTTGTTTGTGTTACAGCACCGTCAATATTTGTGATATTTTAAATAATATTTAATATTGTAAATCGTAATTGAAATGGGCTTGCCTATAAATAAATATACATAAAATTTACTTCTGTCTACTAGTTCACCGCAAAAAGATAAATTATATTTTTTTAAACGTAGTATAATATATAATAACTAGTATCTACAAAAAAACACGTTTAATTGTTAATTGTTAAAAAACGAGTATAAAAATGGTAGATGTTAAACGTTTAAGAAATCAAACAAGACGAAATTTATAGGAGAATTATAATATATACATTTATACGAATTTTATTTAAATAAACCTACAGGTATATTTAAGCCCACTGTCTATAAATCGTTAATGGGAAACTAAACATAGTCGTATATTGTTAACTTTATTTAAAAATAGAATAATTTACATAGGACGTTTAAAGAAACGTATAATATTTAAAAAACGGTATGTATAATAATCGTAAGACTGTAAACGTATACGAAATCAACCAATACCAAATTTAAATGAGAATTACATATAAAATATATCAATTATACTGTGTGATGTCTGGGTAGTAATTTATTGTAATTTGGTTGAGTGAAGCGGCCATGAGCTGAAGTTAAAAGGGTTTAAAATGAAGACCTTTCATTATTATTAATTTGAGTGGAAGAACAGCCCTTTGGAGGCTAATCATTTTTAACAATTTGCATTTCTGTATATTTTGTAATTTTTCATATTTATTTTTTAAGTAGCGCAGACGGCCCTAAATATTATGGTTTTTAAGGTCATAACTATTTTTTGATATTATTTAAGTGTGTAGAACCAAAATTAATTTTTTTTCCAGGTTGGAACAAAAAAGCTTGCTGCACTTCCCCTTGACGTTACAAAAACCAATATCTCTGATGTCTCAAACTCGTCAAGTCTACATTGCACCTCATGTACAGCAAAAGAAGTCGCGAAATCTAGATGCAGCACTTGTCACAACTTGCTATGCAATAATTGCGATACCGCTCACCACTTCATGCGCTGTTTCGAGTCGCACAAAGTTGTCGCTTTAGACGATATGCGCAAAGACGGCGCAAAGATCACAATTCACAAGCCTCTCGAATGTGATATGCATCAAGGCGAGAATATCATCTACAATTGTACCGTTTGCAATGTAACTGCTTGTGCGGAATGCGTTAAAACAGATCATAAAGGTCATCAGTGCGAGGGTATATTGGATTCCGAAACACGGGTTCGTCAAGAGATGGAAGCTTTGCTTACAAGAAGCCGGGAGAAAATCGAGAAGCTTGCTAAAGCTTCTGCTAATCTGAACAATAATATGGAGGAATTGGCTCACCAACGATCTACCGCTAGAGATCTTATCAATGAATCATATCAGAGTTACAAGGCTGTTCTCGAAAGGTGTAAGGACGAGATCATTGAAGAACTCAATAAGCTTTACCACGAACGTGAATTGAATATCATGAAGGAAACTGATGAATTGGATAAAACTATTGATAACATGGAAGATGCTTGTAGATACACTTCTCGCTTACTAGAAACCGGTACGGTGCCCGAGATGATGTATTTGAGAAAAGTGGTCGCTTCAAGATTAATAGCACTAAACAGCAAGTCACCTAAGTTGGAGAAGTGTTACACGATTGAGTTCAAATCTGATTTGAATAAATTCGAGAGTGTAATCAAGAATAACTTTGGTGTATTCCGTACAGAGAGCGACATTATAACAAAATCTAATCTACCTGATTTACCGCCCCTTAATATAAATGGGGTTACAAATAGTAATACCAACCCATCGACACCCGCTATAATTACAAACGGTTGTAACGGCCCGTCTGTAACAACAGGTAGTCCCATATCTCTACCGACGTCCATGCAGTCTTCGTTCGACGGAGATATAGGAAACAATTTGCAAAACTTAATGGCCCAGAGTCCTCCTTTACCTCATGCCAGTTCCACCGCTGCTCTTCAAGGGTTTTCTAGCATCGCCGAGTACAATTTGGCCCAATTGGCCACCCTCGCTGAGACCACTAACAGCGCTGCCACATCGCCTACAGCGCCACCATTCAATTTGGCCGACCTTTTAACCAATGATACTGCCTACAAGAATCTTGCTTCGCTCGCCAAACTGGGATTGACAGCAAATGGTGAGTTTATTAAAAGATGACTGTACTTCGTTTTTAAACTAGAGGAGCAATTTAAATTTTCCGCGCCTAAACGTTTGATTGGTTATTTGAAAGGCTAGTTCACATAGATCAGAATTGTCTAATAATGACATTTCTTTGTCGATGGTTTGACACATTGCGGTCGATAACTTTAATAATTTAAAATATAACTGTTTTTCCGTGTTTTATTTTTTATAATTACCTATTATTTAACCACATTAGTAATTTAAGAATGATAATATAAAGACAAAAAATATAAAAAAAGACAAAACAAACAAAAAATACAAAAAAAGAAAACAGGAAACAAAAAGACAAAGAAACACAAAATACAAAAAAGACAAAGAAAGACAAAACATACAAAATAGAAGAAAATACAAAAATGAAAAAAGTCAAATACAAAAAAAAGACAAACACCAAAAAAAGACAAAAGACAAGAAGACAAAAAATACAAAATAACAAAAAAAAGAAAAGGCAAAAAACAAACAGGAAACAAAGAGACAAAGAAAGACAAAAAATACAAAATAGACAAAAATAAACAAAATAGACAAAGTACACAAGAAGACAATAAAAGACAGACAGACAATAAAAGACAATATGAAGTCGGTTAAAAAGACAATAAGACAATAAAAGACAAGACAATAAACGACAACAAAAGACAATAAAGCAAAAACCAAAAAATGTAAAAAAAAAGACAAAGAAAAACAAAAAAGATAAAACAGACAAAAAATATAGAAAAAGGCGGAAAAACAGACATGAGAAACAAAATGTATGTCCAAAAAAATGCTTTGATCGACCCCTCAACCAAAAAGTGCCTTGTGGTATATCCTTAAACAGAAAATGTAAATATAGTGCAAGTTAAAATTATTACGCCAAATGCACAAATGTATAAATATTAAATATTAACATATATCTCATTCTTAACAAAAAAATAGATCGGCTAATGGACAAAGTCCTTGGTCAATAAATCCAACACCACACCATTACCTATTATTAATCCAAAATGAAATTAGTTATTTTCATTGTTAAACCAATAAATTAAATCTTTTCAGGACTAATTACGTGGGCAATTATTGTATTGCTTTTCGTATTCGTTTAAACTGAGACTTGAATTCACCATATAACTAAAGGTACGTTTACATCTGACATTTATTGCATATTTATGTCTGGCAGTTGTTTAGTCCAGTGTAAACACACAAAAATTTCTCTCAGAGATATATTTTTGAATGTTTACACTGGATTAAACAACTGTCAGACATAAATCTCATGCAATAAATGTCAGATGTAAACGTACCTTAAGATAATTACACATCTATTTTTAAAGGCCCCACGTTGGGCGCCAAAAATGCAACTTACAATGAGGGAAATTACCTAAAACAATAAAAGATTGGTCAAATATTTATTTTAAGCTATTTAATTTTTACCATAGCACCTCTGGTTTAAAAACAGTATACTTGCTCAATAAAAAATAAATCGTTCATGTGTATTGATTTTGTGTTTTATTATTCATTTAGTTATAGATGGTAGTATTAATCATAATTTTAACAAAACCACAATGTTTAGAATGTTCTAAATGATTATTATTTGTGCAGATACCGTTCCAAACGGCAACAACATGCTAGCCAGATCGACATCTGCAGCATCCTTAACCTTATCCAATAATCTTATAAACGGTTTTGGTGGCGTGTCCACCTCAACGTCTCCACTTTTATCCACTCCTGATGACATTATTCCAGATCCCTTGACCAATATTCTCCCCTCTACAGGAACCACTACCGCTCCATCCATTCCCCGTTCCAACAAGGTCAGTCCCATGCAGATCAGATGCAAATTTGGGCAATTAGGACCCAGCAAGGGGCAGTTTAACTCTCCGCACGGATTCTGTTTGGGTTTAGAGGAAGATATTATTGTCGCTGACACTAATAATCATAGAATTCAGGTAGAGTAGACATTTTGTAATGATATTTGTTTGTTTGCACTTGTAATAACACAAAAAACTGCTTTGTGGTTTCTATACGACTTTAATGCAATAGAAAAAATAGAAACTAACAGAATGAACCTTTGCCGGTCAACGTTGCACCATCTTCTTTTAATAATTATCTTATCTCAAGTGCCCTATGCCTTTTAGAACAAGGCGCAAAGATATGCCATGTGTGCGGCGTTGCCGGTTTTAAAATAAACTCTGTAACAATAAGTCTTATTTTGTTTAATTTTTATCTTACAGATCGTCATTTTTATATATTTTTACTTTATGTTCTGTACCGTGAATATCTGCGACTCTGAGAATTGTAGATTTCACTCAAAGCGTTCCGGTAATGATTGTAAAAAGACTTATATTAATGCTTCGAAAAGTTTTAAACAAAATTCAGTACAATATATTTGAGAGAAGCGGTTTATGTTGCAGACAAATAATGTAAACAAAGCGCATCTATTTGATTTTCCCTAAAATATCGCTACCAGATAAAAATATATTATTTTCTTATAGGTGTTTGAAAAAACTGGCACGTTTAAATTTCAATTCGGCATCCCCGGTAAAGACGAAGGACAGCTCTGGTATCCGCGCAAAGTGGCCGTCATGAGAAACACCGGCAAATATGTCGTATGCGATCGCGGTAACGAACGTTCTCGCATGCAAATTTTTACCAAAAACGGCCATTTTCTCAAGAAAATTGCGATACGCTACATCGATATCGTAGCTGGATTAGCGGTTACTTCGCACGGAGAAATAGTAGCTGTCGATAGTGTTAGTCCGACGGTTTTCATTATTGGAGAAAGTGGAGAGTTGCTTAGATGGTTTGATTGCAGTGATTTCATGAGAGAACCGTCTGATATCGCCATCCATGGTAGGAATATCGTTTGATTTATTGGATATTTAAGTGTTGGTACCACTTGTTTAAACCTCAAGGGGGTTATTTTCAAAATTGAGACTAACTATCCTTGATTTGTATTTTCATTACACCTTACTGAAAAACTTATTTGTTGTATCTTCTCGGGTAGACACGTCGTCAAATTCTCTTATTTTCTCAAAATAAACATAGAGAAACAGTCGATAAATAGTCACTGTTTTAAAATACTGTTTATAGGTTAACTTGTGAATAATACAATTTTTCTGTACTGTTTTTTAATTTTTGATAGCCAGTGCTACCAACATAGCTTTATCTATAACTTGAACAAATCGGTTTAAGTTGTACATAACAATTATTTTTATTTAGGAAAAGAATTTTACGTATGCGACTTCAAAGGTCACAACGTGGTCGTTTTCAGTGAAGAGGGTCATTTTTTGCGTAGAATTGGATGCGAGAATCTGACCAATTTCCCCAACGGAATTGATATATCGGATGCCGGAGACGTGTTGATTGGTGATTCTCACGGCAACAGATTCCATGTCGCAGTTTTTTCGCGCGATGGATCATTAATTTCCGAATTCGAATGTCCCTATGTCAAGGTAAGTTCTGAATTTGTGCATTTTTAATTCTACAGTTTTCTAACTTATTGTCGGTTTTTAATTATTTTTGTTCTAATAATTTTTCAATAATGTTTAAGTAAATGAAACGGACGTTTATGATTATAATAAAAATCGGTAGAGCGCTTTTAGCTGAGTTATCATCAAAGTCTTCCTAAAAATATTACAATAATTGGATGAAAAATTTCAAGTCAATTACAAATGTATAATGAATTTATTTTTAGATAAAAAATCTGATGTGTCCAACACATGACTTTCCTATCTAGTTATTATAGGCTTTTTCCGGTTATTTTGTACAACTGATTGTAGCACCTCTATAAATTTTTAGAGGATAAACTAAATATATACATTTTCCACATACATCTAACTCGAAACATTTTTCTATATTCATTGAAAACGGAAATACTGAAAAATTTAAATTTAGCACTTTTCCTACAATTTTTCTATTACGGTCCATTTTAGAAAAATCATTTAAAAACAAAAATTATAGAGATTGATATCGCAAACAACTTTTAGTTTAACAATTTTCTTCTCCAATCAGAATTTTGCACATTTTTTCAAATTTCTCGAATACGAACCATTTCAGGAAAATTTGACATAAAACAAAAATTATAGATAATAATATTAGAAGTAACTTTTATTTAAACAATTTTCTTCTCCAAACATAAATAACAGATATATTCCATAAAATATAAAAACGGCCTCCCATAAAGTACCCCCCCCCAGATGTTCCGACTTTTTTCAAATCTGATCATTTCACGTCAGGCCGAAATAAAACTTAAGTTTAAAATTTAATGTTTTTTCCTTTATCCGTTTTTGAGTTTTCTTCGAAATTATTACATCATACAAAAATTGTAAAGAAAAATTTGTTTGCTAATTTTTAATATATTTTTATAGGCAATCAAGCACCTTTTTTAGCCTGAACAAAAAAGAATCTGGATATCTGATAATTTTTAGACATATTTTAGTTTATTTTAAACAGAACTATTGAAATATATTTTTTCTATTATATTATATTAATTTATTTTTATTTATATATTTTTATTTATTTATATTTTTTTAAATATCTATTTTTTTGTGTTTATTTTTTTTTTTTATTTATTTTTACTTATATATATTTTTTATTAATTTAATTTATTTTTATTTATTTTAATTTAATTTATCCTAATTTATTTTAATAATTTAATCTTTTATCTTTTTAATTTGATTTATTTTTGTGTAATTTTATTTATATATTTATTTTTATTTACTTATTTTAATTATTTTTTATCTTTATTTATTTTTATTATTTTTAATCATTTTTATTTAGTTTTATTTTTTAATTAGTCTTTAACAATTTTTATTTAATGGCACTTCAAGCGGGGACTAAACTGTCGCATTGTCGTTTTTATTAGTTCGTTACTCATATTTTTCATGTTAGGCAAGCCATAATAAGTTCAACATTTATTTTACCATATAAAATGTATTGAAAATTTGTAAACTTAAATTCTCATAACTTAAAAAAAAACAAATGAAAAAAAAATATTTTTCTGAAAAGAAATTTCATATTTTTCTAAGTAAATAATTATAAAAATAAAAAATTATCGAATTTTCAGCTCATATATATCTCCTCTTAACCTTTAAACACCCTAACTCTGTTAGTTTTAATAATTGCAAAAAATGCTAAATATCATTTTTATATAAAACTTTATTCTTTACAATTTTTATTAAGAACTTTTTTGTATAGCACCCACCGTTTTTAAATAACCTTAAAAAAACACTTTATTTTCTTGGTTTTTGCCACTTGCCGGGGCCTGAGAAACAAAATTTTTTCACACATCGTTTTCAAATACTCTAAAGTGACTTATATCAAAAATTCCTGTATTTCCACCAAAATTTTGATTTTGATTGGACTAATTAGCAGCATCTTTCAAATGTGCACTATGTTGAGCTATCTTACTATTGCTTTCCAAAAGTTTCTCTTTTTAAAACTGTATGCGGATCCAGTTTGGATGTTAAGTTGTGCAACTCTACATGATTACTCAAACCAATAGGCGATTTAGAGTTAATGGATGTTATTAGTTTTTGTCATTGACTAATAGTAAGTCGAGCAATGATTCCTGACCGTTGCGCATTCTAGTAGGGAAATTTATGAATTGTTTGAAACTGGACTCTTGTATGATTTAATAAAATCCCTCGCTATGTGTTGCTTTCAGTCAGTGTTAGAATTACCCAGTCTATTTCTCGATATGGTAGGTAGAGGAATGGCAGAGGAACCAAACTTGAATATTCTGAGAATGTCTAGAACATTCGGGCTCGCCACATATGTATACAAATAATATTGTTAAAACTGTTTAAATAAAAAAACGCTACAATAATTTTAAATTCTACATCCAATTATTGTAACATTTTTAAAAAGGCTTTGATGATTTTATTAAATTATTTTTTAATTTTTCGTTAGTGTTTAGTGTGTTTTAAATAAATATTTCCTTATATAAAAAAATCGCATATATTTCAAAAATAATAAAAAATAATTAGTGTATTTTTCTTAATATACAAACACAATATGGATGTATTTCCAGGTATCGAGATGTTGCGGCTTGAAGATAACTTCTGAGGGTTATGTGGTAACCCTGGCGAAGAACAATCATCACGTGCTAGTTTTGAATACGCTGTACATCCTGTAAACCCCCGAGCAAGTAGATTTGATCTCGCATTGTACACAGTACTGAACTGATTTTTATTTTACTAATAAGTAACTTAAATATTTTTTATTCGTTTTTTCAAAAGGAAAAAGGATATTTTGAAGTTTTTATTCGACGTTTCGAAACTCCTCTTCAGGTCTTATTTTTTTTATTATTATTATTATTACTTAGGAGTAACTTGTTTTTTACAGTTTTTTTTATTATTGATTTTTATTTTTATTTCGAGAAAACAAATTTGTGTTAGTTTTTCTTTTTTAAACTTATCCAAATTTGGTTTTTGTTTTTAGTGGCAGACGAAACGTGGTTCCTAAATATTTTTATTTTTAAGATGTCAATTAGGTACTATATTAGTATGATTGGACGTGCCAATGTAGTTTTTATTTTTATTTTCTCTTAACGATAAGCGCTGTTGTTGATTTTATTTTATTTTTTGTTTTTATGTGTGACTGAGTAGAGCGTGTGCATATGACCGTGTCAAATTTTTCCGTACAGCCGTGAAAAATTCTATTTTCATTGTTGTTGCATTCATATGGACTCGTCTTTTTATTAAAAATCACTTTACAGGGTAAAAAGTAAAAAATTACGTAATTTTGAAGGCGTTGGCACTTTGAATGTAGTTTTTTCGCTTCTGGCTTTTTTAGTTCCTTAGAAACACTTTAAAAATCTCTATATTGGTTCATTTAAATGCAACACACGTATAATTCTTATTATTCATCTAATTTGACGTTCAATACCTTTTGATTGCTGTCAAATTCAAAACACTTAACAGACGTTTTATGTGTCAAAATATATAGGGTGATTCATTAAGGGTAACGTTAGGCTGTGTCTACAAACTATAATTGGATAATTTATGAAATATTCCCTAATTAAGGTTGGTAAAAAATATCAGCTTTAGAAACTACTGTCCTTATTCTACAACTTTGCTATAACTATAACTAGCTTACAAAAAGGCAAATAAGATGACTCTTTGACCTGTCAAAACCGCAAACTGATATCTCTTGTCGTTCCAAGGATATAAGCATTTTTTAAAATTTTGATGAATGTGGACTCACCCTGCAGGTTGTTAGGAAAATTGTTATTTTATTTACAAAATAATTTTGGCAACATAATTTCTCTTACAGCCTACCTGTTGAGTACACTCGTAAAAATAAAAAAAAATGTCTATATCTTTGGAATGACAAGAGATATCAGTTTGCGGTTTTGACAGGTCAATAAGTTACCTTATTTGCCTTCTTGTAATCTAGTTATAGTTATAGCATTGTATTTAAAATTGTCCAGAAAAGTCATAAATAGAGCTAGTTGATACGTAACGCTATCTAGTTACCGATTGAAAGATTTAATGTGACATTTGTTTTTGCAAGGCACCTACGGTTTAACTTCAACTGTTTTCAAGAAAAATGCAAACGGAACACTTCATATGTATTTGAAAATTGTTTGAAATGAGAAACAACAGACAAACTTGTGACTTGGCATAATAAACGAATAACATACCCATAAAAATTTTAAAAAATGCCTATATCTTTGAAACGACAAGAGATATCAGTTTGCGGTTTTGACAGGTTAATAAGTCATCTTATTTACCTTTTTCTAAGCTAAGCTATATCATTGTATTTGAATTTTCTCAGAAAAAAACCATAAATAAAGATAGGTGTTAAATACCACTCTCTAGTTGCCGATTGAAAGATTTAATGTGTCATTTGTTTCTGAAATATATCTTTTAATGTTCTTTGCATGGAAGTCTATGTTTAAATTTGATAACTTTAACCGTTTTCTAGAAAAACGCAAACAAACACTTCATATGTGTCTGAAAATGATTTCAAATGAGAAACATCATGATGCCCACTTTTACGCCTATAATTATTTTGTTAAGGGACTTTCTGTCATTAAAGAAATCTCCTAATAAAATCTACAGTTACGTTTATATTCCTTGTAAAAATTAAAGGCTACAATTTTGTCCCCTAATAAAATTAACCACTACAATATTGTCATCTATTAATAATTAGTCGTTACAATTCTGTCTCCTAATAAAATCAGGGATTACAATTATATCCCTCAATAAAATTAACTGCTACAATTTTGTTCCTAATTAAATTAGCTGCTACAATTCTATCCTCTAATATACTTTGCCGCTACAATTCTGTCCTCTAATAAACTTAGTCATTAACAATTATGTCCCCTAATAAAATTAACCACTACAATTCTGCAATCTAATAAAAATTAGTCGCTACAATTATGTCCCCTAATAAAATCAGGCGGCTACAATTATATCCCCTAATAAAATTAACCACTATAATTTTGCTCCTAATTAAATTAGTCGCTACAATTCTGTCTTCTAATAATCTTAGCCACTACAATTCTGTCCTATAATAAACTTAGCCACTACAATTCTGTCTGCTAATAAACTTAGCCGCTACAATTATGTCCCCTAATTAAATTAGTCATTAACAATTCTGTCCCCTAATAAAATTAGCTGCTATAATTCTGTCCTCTAATAAATTAAGTCTCATTTGTGAAAATCGAGTCAACAGTCTCTTTTATGTGAATAAAAGTACATTTCTCCCACCACTTAAAAATAGGTGATACAGAAAAAATGATTTAAACAAAAGTTGTAGAATAAGGACACTACTTTCCAAAGTAGATATTTTTTACCAACCTTCATTAGGGAATATTTTGTAAAAATCTGATCATATTTTGTGCTTGATAGACTGTGCTATTTAGCGGAAATCTACGAATATTTTAAGTATTCTCCGGTCGCTACCCTTAATGAATTACCCTGTACAAAAATTTTGAGTATTACTGTTTGACTTTTCAATAACTTTGGATATACCGAATAATTCGAAAAAAAAAAAAAAGTTAGAAGGAATTTTTCAAGGCTGGTACGATGATACTCAGGTTGGATAACGTTTTCTTAGTTGTGCAAATATTGCACGGCGACCAGTGCCATGTAGGTTAGGACCTAAGGTTGCAGCCTAAACAGCTTTTGTGATTCTGTAACAATCTGAAGGTTGCCACTAAAAAAATTAAAATTCCAGTTAAGAGTGTGTGTTCTTCTGATAGTGGAGTAAAATTGAAAAAAAAAAAAAAACATCGTCGGGAACGAAACGTTAAGAGGTTTTTCTAATGAATAGTTGATGGATGTTTGTCGGGTTTTTACAAATATTTGAGTTAGAATATGTATGTTTTAGGTGTGTTTTAAATGTGAATTAAAAGCAATAGTGTTTTGTGAAAACCTCGAATATTTTTTAAGAAATCGCTACAAAAGTCTCTTAATTTATTTTCCCGGCGATAATGATGCATGCGTTGAGTTTTGCTTCACTACGAAAAAAAAAATTAAAAAATCATCGCGGTTCGGGATCCTGTAAATCCTCCGCGGTAAAACATGCCTGTGATAATAGTATCTTCAGGATAAGTTGTGACCTTAGTCTCTTGTTGTTATTTTGTGCGCCGCGCGGTAATCGCCCGATTTTTGGGCGGTAACGCGTCGCCACAAGTGGTTTTTAAAATTATATGTATATAATTATATAAAAAAATACCAAAAAAAAATTACTCCAATTTTAAAAAACCAGATTGTTTATATATTTAAAAAAAATAATCGTATATTATACACTATATATCGATCCTGGAACGAGGAGGAACTGCGAGTCTTATTTTTTTTCTTTCTCGAAAATTTTTGGACTTCTTATCGTTTTAGGTAAGAATACAAAAAGAATATATATCATAAAAGCTGTTTCGAATATTTTTTAAATGTACTACTTACTTCAATATTAACTTAAAACATATCAGACGTGGACAAGGTGAGTCGTAATTATTGGAACTATATAGTAAGTGCTGTCAGGATATTTGGACTTAAATATGAAGATTAGACTAGACATCCTTTAATAAAATATTGCTGTGAAAAAAGATGCAGGGTATTAGTTAAAATATTTATTTGACGACATGTTTATATACAAAAAATATTTCTTTACATTTTTATGACCTGGAAACTAATTTTAATCCCACAAATATCTCGAGCAGGCTTCTACATTGAGAAAACCCTATTCTACTTTATTTTAAGTCTAGTGGCCAGTTTCTTTTCAATCTTCTATTGTCTTTTTTTCAAATAGTGGTTGGAGTAACTTCTTTGCTAAATTGTTTCTTAAACTGTTGCATTAAGGATGTATTGATGTACAATCTGGTTAGATACATACCAGAGAACATTTACTAGTTTTCCTGGCACATCCCCACATTTCTGTGCCATAATATCTTGATGCGTCATACCTTGTCTTGATAAAACTTTTTAGAAATTTTGAATAGAGAACATGATACAAACATGTACTTGTTTAAACTTGATAATTTTCACCGTTTTCAAGAAAAATGCGAACTCTTTATATGTATCTGAAAATGTTTTCAAATTAGAAACGTCAGACAAACTTTTAACTTGGAGTAACAAAGAAAATCACATGAATGTTCCATGTAGCCTCATATCCTTTTTCTATTCTAATTATTTTGTTGAAGGACTTTGACATTAAAAAATACAATTCTATCCCCTAATAAAATTAGCCGCTACAATTATATTCCCTAATAAAATTAGCCGCTGCAATTCCGTACCCTAATAAAATTAGCCGCTACAATTCTATCGCAAACACTTAATCTTAAAATGCTTTCAAACGAGAAACGCCAGAAACTTATACTAATAAACAAAATAACATGCTCAAATTAAATGTTCCATGTGGTCTCCTCCTACTTCTAATTATTTTATTGAACGACTTTCCTTAATAAAATAAGCCGCTACAATTGTATCCTAATAAAATTAACTGCTACAATTATGTCCTCCAATTAAATTACTCGCTACAGTTCTGTCCCCTAATTTAATTAGTCGCTACAATTATGTCCCCTACTAAAATTAGCCACTACAATTTTGTTTCCCAATTGAATCGGTAATTTCAAAAAACATTTTACAGGAGAAGCAACAAACTGATAGGTTGTTTTTGCAGCGAATATAGAAAATTTT